ACATTTGCAACGAAACAAAGAAGAAACGTTAAACCCCCGACTGTACATCTCTGCTGCAGTCATTTTATGCACATGGTGTCTGGTGACCTAAAAAAGTTAAACATCAATGGACCTCTGAAAAATTTCATTTTGCAAGCTATGGCAGTTCTTTTGAACTGTAATGATTTTGAACAATTTAAATGTAAACTGAAACATCTCTTAACTGTCTGTTTAAATTCAAACTTGTCTCTGATGGATTGATGATCTCCTCCATAAGGATCGAGATAGCTCATGGCTTTGCGTTTAATGTCAACTACAAACAATGAAAAATGATTTGATTCGAGACAAGGCATAAAAATGACTGACATTTGACTGAGTGACATTGCAACTGGTTTCAAGGTGACTGAAAACTTTTCTTTTAGGGCAAACCGTGTCTCACCAATAGAAAAACAAAATTGGTCATCTTTAACAAATGTTGCGTTACAAAAATCAACAACTGTTTCATTTAATCTTTCACTTCCAAACAAGGTTCTGTAACTGAGTTGATTTAACCTTTCATCAAATCTACCCATTGCTTTGTTTTTCAAAATGGCAATTACAACTTCTTTTGTGCTACACACATTGGAAGAATAATAATCAGGTTTTCCAACCAACCCATTTCCAAGACAAAACACGCTGAAGTCCCTGTGGTTTGAAACAAGTGATCGACACTTCCACCTGTATGCATCAACGTCAATGTTACCAAAATCATCACCAAGAAGCAAGCCTTTTCTTAAAATTGACTCAATATAAAACAATATAAAGATTCCACAATTAAAACTGTCATTCTGTTTTGGGTAAACTAGTGTGTGAGATTGATTGGTCCAGCCAGTTAAGTTAATTTTTCTTCCGGGGAGAGAGACTTGGTTCAGGCATTTAAAAAAGGAAAAAACATTGGTCAGAATTGAAGATGCATCTACTTGCGATGAACTTGGGTCAAAACAAAAAACGGACTTTTTTGTAACATCTACTACAGTAAGTGTCCAATGCATATTTTTGTTTTCAACGTTGACAGGAATCAACAAGTACTTGGAATTCAATATTTTTTCTGCAGTGATAAACATGTTGTCTGAAAAGTCATGGCCTCCACCAACAATCCAAGTGGCTGCAGCTCCGTGTTCTTCAGAAGTCCTCTGACATGAAAGACTTATGTTTTTTGTGTGGGTCAGGTGAAAAAAAACGTCACGATTGGTGCCAATGCCATCAATGTAAACGCTGGCTCCATTATCCCTGCCTGGAAACCGAAGTGACATTTGACGTGATCCAGTCAGAGGGCTTTGAGTTTTACTGCCCTCTTTGTTCACATGTGTAATACAACACAACATCGAACATAGTTTGGATTACAGTTGTGAATTTTTGTTATATTCGAAAAAGTTTAATTAAAAACAATCAGTCAGCTACATTGAGCCATATTGAGTTAGCAATTTTTATTCAATTTAAATATAAATCACACTTTTAATTGCCATTTATTGTATTTATTGCTTTCATATGTCTTAAATATTAGTAATGTTTTTAATAACGGAAACAATCCTAGTCACCTTGCGTATGAAGGTTTCTGTTTTAAATGCATTGCTTTGATTTGTTTACTAAAAGAAATTGCTAAAAAATCAAGTATAAGAACATTAAAACTTCATATGTCTTACATATTATAGTAAGGTTTTTAATAACGGAAACAATCCTAGTCCCCTTGCGTATGAAGGTTTCTGTTTTAAATGCATTGCTTTGATTTGTTTACTAAAAGAAATTGCTAAAAATCAAGTATAAGAACATTAATACTTCATATGTCTTACATATTATAGTAATGTTTTTAATAACGGAAACAATCCTAGTCACCTTGCGTATGAAGGTTTCTGTTTTAAATGCATTGCTCTGATTTGTTTACTAAAAGAAATTGCTAAAAAATCAAGTATTATAACATTAAAATTTCATATGTCTTACATATTATAGTGATGTTTTTAAGAGCGGAAACAATCCTAGTCACCTTGCGTATGAAGGTTTCTGTTTTAAATGCATTGCTCTGATTTGTTTACTAAAAGAAATTGCTAAAAAAATCAAGTATAAAAACATTAAAACTTCACATGTCTTACATATTATAGTGATGTTTTTAAGAGCGGAAACAATCCTAGTCACCTTGCGTATGAAGGTCTCTGTTTTGAAATGCATTGCTTTGATTTGTTTACTAAAAGAAATTGCTAAAAAATCAAGTATAAAAACATTAAAACTTCACATGTCTTACATATTATAGTGATGTTTTTAAGAGCGGAAACAATCCTAGTCACCTTGCGTATGAAGGTCTCTGTTTTGAAATGCATTGCTTTGATTTGTTTACTAAAAGAAATTGCTAAAAAAACAAGTATAATAACATTAAAACTGTAAACCAAACTTTCAACTATAATCATAATTCAAAAATCTTCCAACTGTAACATTTTGGTTTATTGTAACCTTCTTTCCATGCATGATTATCCACCGATAGCACTGCCTTAATCAAGAGCAGTGTATTAATATATTATTAAGTTTATATAAGGGCGCACTTTGGAGGGCTGTGCCACGCAGGGACTATGCATTGTATGCAGTTAGCTTTGACGGCCCCTGGGGAGACCGACTTCGGAGGCAAAGCTTCCGGGGAGGGGCTAACAGCAGCCTGGTGGCATAAGTGCGGTGCGCGGTTTGATTGATCAAACCATAGCTTTTAGAAGAATGAAAAAACAAAACAAAAAAATAATAATAATAAAATAAAAAATAAAAAAATATTTATATAAGAATGCCTACACCCTTGTGTGAACATATTAATTGATTTTATGTTTCAGATACCTAGTGCCTCTCACCCGAGAGGCCATTTATGTATGAACAACCAGGTTTGTGTTTATTGTCGAATCTAGTTGTTTCATACTGAAATGGCCAAGCTATTACGACACGACTATTACGGGCCCAAATAAGTAACCTGTTTACCACTCTAGCATAGTTGAAATATCTATATTTCATTCTAAAATACTGCACTACAATTTGTAAATATAGACGTATTTGGTTAGGAATGTCCTTCAGTATATTGAATCCATTCATTATATTTGTTAGATGAACAAATTTTGACATCTACCATAAGAATCAGTGAAATTATCTTCTAACTGTAAACCAAAACACATCAAACACTGTTCTTTAAAATCATCATCAATTTAATTTTCAACGCTTGATAAATTACACTTTCTGAAAAGTGTCAACAGTTTTGATTATATATAACAGTAATAAACACTGATATCTCTAATATTGTTATAGTCAAATATTGGTACCATCGTTTGTTTTTACGCAATAACAAATCGAAACTAGCAATTTTTAACTCACAGCCCGAGACCCGCAACCGTCGAATCACGAGCTAAAAACTACTTTTCAACGCTTGATCATTCAACTTTCTGAAAAGTGTCAAGAGTTTTGATTATATATAACAGTTAAAAACACTGATATCTCAAATTGTGTGATAGTCACATAATGGTACCATTGTTTTTTCTTACGTAATAACAAATCGAAAATGACAACTTTTTAACTCGCAGATCCCGAGACCCGCACATGTCGAATCACGAGCCAAATCCTAATTTTCATCGCTTGATAAATCAACTTTCTGGAAAGTGTCAAGAGTTTTGATAATATATATCAGTAGTAAACACTGATATCTCCAATTGTGTGATAGTCACATATTGGTACCATTGTTTGTTCTTACGTAATAACAAATCGAAAATGACAACTTTTTAACTCGCAGATCCCGAGACCCGCACATGTCGGATCACGAGCCAAAACCTAATTTTCGACGCTTGACAAATCAATTTTCTGGAAAGTGTCAAGAGTTTTGATAATATATATCAGTAGTAAACACTGATATCTACAATTGTGTGATAGTCACATATTGGTACCATTGTTTGTTCTTACGTAATAACAAATAGAAAATGACAACTTTTTAACTCGCAGATCCCGAGACCCGCACATGCCGTATCGCCGGCTAAAACCTATTTTCAACGCTTGATAAATCAACTTTCTGGAAAGTGTCAAGAGTTTTGATAATATATATCAGTAGTAAACACTGATATCTACAATTGTGTGATAGTCACATATTGGTACCATTGTTTGTTCTTACGTAATAACGAATCGAAAATGACAACTTTTTAACTCGCAGATCCCGAGACCCGCACATGTCGGATCACGAGCCAAAACCTAATTTTCGACGCTTGACAAATCAATTTTCTGGAAAGTGTCAAGAGTTTTGATAATATATATCAGTAGTAAACACTGATATCTACAATTGTGTGATAGTCACATATTGGTACCATTGTTTGTTCTTACGTAATAACAAATCGAAAATAACAACTTTTTAACTCGCAGATCCCGAGACCCGCGCATGCCGTATCGCCGGCTAAAACCTATTTTCAACGCTTGATAAATCAACTTTCTGGAAAGTGTCAAGAGTTTTGATAATATATATCAGTAGTAAACACTGATATATCTAATTGTGTGATAGTCACATATCAACAAATCGAAATTGATAGATTTAAAAGTGTAAAATGGTAAAGTGAAAGCAGCTAGTCCAGGTGATCTGGCATTAGAATTTTTCACGAAACTCCGAAGTCTTGTACATTAAAATTAAGTGTTTGTCTATGACTTTTGTACTGAATAGGCTAGTTATTAATAACTTTTCCAATCAGTCTGTTTAAGTTATTGTAAGACAAACATTTTTCGGGTCAATATTATCACCAGTCTACTCACACTAAGACTGAACCATGGACAGAACCAGGACCAAGCACTGGTCTGTTGTAAGTTGAAGCGAGTGTTCCTATTGTTCCCTCCTGACAGTTTTATGACCTAGCATTCGTCAGATGCTCGACAGCTAACTTCAGCCTGGTCCACCACACCACGAGTAATCCAGCTCCAGCTGTCACTTGGCTGTCAGTTCAATAATCAATCAGTTGTTTTGTTTAGGTTTTCGTTATCGTTTCGTTGTTTTGTTTTGATCTTGCTACAATTGCAATTTCTCATTCTATTACTTATCGATTAAATGGTTGGAGAATGAGAGACTTTAATTAATTAATAAAAGTCTTGTTTTCTCATCATTCTCTGATAACAGTATTTTCATTTGTTACTTACCAATTTATGTTGTTATTTTATTAGCTAAGTATTAACTTTTTTCGTGACCTCACTCAAAGAAAGAGTATCATTCTATGATTAAAAATATTGAATATTTATTTTGTGTGACAACTGACAAAAATCTCCAACTGTAAGTTAGTGTTACTAAAAAAGTTATGGTTTTACAGCCACCTTCCACTGAAAACGACAAATGAGGTTCTTATCCAAGCCTACTGCATTATTTCAAAACTAATATATTGAGGTAGGAATAGATTGGCTGCACTTTACTTTATGTCCTACACTCATTCGAATGAAAAATATCTATATATAGATTATTCAATCGATTATTTCATTCGGTTAGTTAGGTTAGGTTTTAACCTAACTAACCAAACTCGATATATCGAGTGAAATAAACTATATATTCATTTGAATGAGTGTAAGACGTAAAGTAAAGTGCAGTTAATAGATTTACCAAACCAGTGTGTTTGCGACTCTATGTACATTTTTACTTTATAGTAATTAAGTGTTTTTGTGGCAATTAATTGGATTTTTATATAGGCCCCTAACACCTTTCATTCCACATTATAATTTGATGGCAGCTTTATCATGAACTTATTTATTCAAATAATTGCCTATTGGTCAATTTCTTTCTACCAGATTTTAGTATGCTAACTGTAGCTTAGAAAGTAATAAAAGATATGTAGGCCTATATGTTAATATAAAATACTTGCCTACACTAAACTATACATGATGTGAGCAAGGTTGCTACCTTTGGTTTGGGAAAAATCGGGACGGGCCCCATCTCCCCCCAGGATTAACACAGATATAAACACAGCAAAGGGGTCCAAAGTCAATACCGTTCCGACAGAATAGGGACAGGTGGCAACCCTGGATGAGAGTGATGGAAATTTAACTTATACTACAAATATTCTGTGTGTAAAGTAGGTTGCAACAAGGTGGTGTGCATGAGTTTGAATTGCCACTCAGTTTTCTAGTTGCAAATAAAGGTCCTCAAGAGAAACAAGAAACAAAGAAAATTTTAATTATTCTTTTTAACAAATTTCCTATATAGGGAATAAGCTATTACCGTAGTATTTTAAATTTTCAAAGGTTTTTGGCTCTAATTTAACCCTATAAGCAATGTGTCAATATGTAAACAGCTTCAAAATAAGTAAAAATCATCACAATTTATAGAATTAAAATTTACGCCTCCATGCGTATTATTATCATCGATAACAATTATTATCGATTATTACCATTGGCTATTTAATCATAATGAGCATATCTCAACTTGTAATCATAATCTGTTAATTTGGTGTTAAATCCGTTGGCAAATATATAAATAAATAAATAAAAGCCTGGTAAAACCGAAGGAAAATTAATACATTTTTTAGTACGGTAATCGACTTTTGCCCTCACCAACTAAATTTGTTCAAAAATATTAAGCCATAATTAATTTATTTACCTTAGCCAAACTAGCTTGGTATACGATCTACCTTACTTACATCCTTATGCATTGTTTTCAGCTAACTTACAGGTAGCATTTTATAAAAGAAATGATTCTTAAATTGGTTACATTTGATGCAACTGGAACTCTTCTCCAATTTAGAGGAACTGTTGGAAGCCATTATGCAAAAATCGCATCTAAATACAGTGTTAATGTACAACCTCGCACGCTGACAAAAAACTTTCCTTTGGTTTTCAAGAGAATGTTAATTGAACATCCAAATTTTGGAGCTAACAACGGGATAGGTTGGCAACATTGGTGGGAACAGTTGGTGTCTAGAGTTATCAAGGATTCACTGCCTGGAAGTGTTTTAATAGAATCATCAACTATTAACAAAATATCTTCAGATTTAATAGAAATTTATTCAACCAAAGAATGTTGGAAGTTAGCTGACGGAGCAGAGCGGTTGTTGGAAGAACTGAGTGGTAGAAAGTTTCGTTTAGGAGTGATCTCAAACAGTGACCCAAGACTCGAGACTATTTTACAAGACCTTAACATAAAACATTATTTTGATTTTGTGACAGTTTCGTTCTCAGTAAATTGTGAGAAACCAGACAGTGCTATTTTCAAAGCTGTGGAAGACATGAATGTTGGAATAAAAAAGTGTGAAATATTGCACATCGGTGACAACCCCAAATTAGACTTCATGGGAGCCAGAAATGTTGGTTGGAACGCACTTCTTGTTGCTAACAACTCCAAAGTATTGAATGATTTTCCATCGATTGAAAAGGATTGGGTTGTTGATAGTATTGATGAAATATACCAAGTACTTGAAAACAAAAACATCATTTAATTACTGTTTGATGAGTATATTTGAGAAAACAACTAAAGACATGATTGTTTACATTTGAAGAAGCTTGTCAGCCCTGTCAACTACAGTTATCCATCGATAGTCTGACTTTTTTAATATGGTGTACTAATGTAAGTAGGGCTAAGTTTGACAGCAGTCTTATTGATAGAAACAAAACAAGCCTGCAGTGGCATGAATCGGTGAATCCCCATCCCCTTGTAGGCATATAATAAATTGAAGTCACTGGCTAATTACTGACTAGCAAATAATTTGTTAGCTACTTTTTTTAACTTCACTGTGTTTTTATACTGTCCTAAACCTTGATAGTCAATACTGCTTGAAGGAATCAGATCTTGATAATCAGACACCCTCCTCACTCCTTATCTATCAGATTATCAAAAGGACTTTAATGTATTAGACCCTTTAAAAAACTGACTTTGCGATAGATTTTTTTGCAACACGGAATTAATAATTCATCAAATTTCTCTAAAAATCTATGATATATTATGAACCTTGGAAAAGTAATACATCTGTTAGATTATGATTCTGATTCTGACAAACAAGGACATGCAAAAGATTGTTTTAATTCAAATTGAAAGGCTTATTTGAATCACAGAAACATACTGTAAAGTGAAAGAGAGATTTGGTTTTTTACTGTATCTCAACTTTTACCATGTTTTCAGCGAATTTTCATTTGGGGAATTATAATTATAGCTGTAAACCACTGTCATTTTTTCACACTCCTCAGTAGCCCAAAACCAAGTTTGTTTGGTTTTTATTCTCAAATTTGTTACTATTGCGTAGGTACAATATTTATCACTTAGAAATTCTCAACCTATAAGAATTCTCTGATTTTTACAAAATCTGGAATGAAAGTGTAAACAAAATAGGCCTTTTCCTTCTCATATTTGAAGAAAAGATTTCAAGTATTTTTTACTATAGGGCCTATACATGTTTACCAAGACATACAATTTGGTATATGCCAAAAATATCATGCCCAATGGTAACTGAGTGCTTATTGTGGTATACTGTTGTGTTATCCTTAGTAACAATAAAATAGTTGTAACTAGAAACTCATGTAGTTTTCTATTCAAGGACGTCTTTGTGAGATTTGACAAACTTATTTTTTCATTACACGTTTACGCTATAATTTAACCAACACAACTCTTGTTTTATCCTTTTCATGGGCCATACCTAAGTGATCAATGAGCCAATGTAATTTATTTTGGACATGTATGTATTTGGAAATTTCCTTTTATTGTGAATCTGTTTGAATAAACGCTCGACTAATTAATTGTGATTAAATTTCTTAGTTTGCAGTTTTTCTGCAAGTTTTTAAAAATTTTACATTTTGTTTAATATTTTTGTTATCGTTTTATTGTTGAAATAAAAGTTACCATTTTTAATATTGTTTTACTTCCCTGGAGTATGTTTGATAGCCATATCTCATGGCTGTGATCAATTATGTGTTGTTTCAATTTTAAAAATCAATTGAATAGAAACAGAAGTTGAGATCACATACAAGCATTAGTAATGTGTAGGTTTCCTAATGAAGAGTAACATTTGATAATAAAATTTTGACTAATTAAGTACATAGCAAAATACCAATTAAATTATCAAAGTTTAGACTTTTTAATCCAAAGATCGTGCTGTTAATTAACTAATTATTTGTCTTTGGTCTTTGAAAATAGCATCTAGAAGCCAATTAGAGTAAATTACATTTATCGAAGAGTAAGATTGATCAAAACTGAATCTAACAAGGTTTTAATGTAACATTATAAATCTACAAAGTTTCCTACATTTTGAAGGTTAAATGAACAACAACATTAATTTTCACTATTTGTTTATTTCCAAACAACCTTTGTTGGTTAATTATGTGGAATACAATAGTTCTAAGCAATAATAGGCATAACAATAGGATCAAGTAACAATCTTAAGTATATTGTTGGTAACAGGTTAACAATACTTGAGAATAATCTGACTCCCTAATCATGAACAACCTCAAGGAGCATAAGTCAATTGTGTTAAATTTGGCACAAACTACACAGGCTGCCATTTGAACTTGTGTTTAGGATAGATACTTTTTTTGGATTCACACTATAATAGATTTTCTACAGATCGAGCTGGAGTGTGTAGATCTAATTTAGAGAAAATGGCAGATTGGGGGAAGAGAATAATTTGTCAGTAAAACAATTTCATTGCTAGGAAAATGGACCTACGATTTTGTAAACTGAAAAATTAGTTGAATGAAGAAACTAAAGGTAGATTGAGCTGCAATAATCTATTATGTACATAAAATGATTAACAGACAGTAAACCAAAAATGTAAAATAATTATGTAAATAAAATTGACATTTGCACACCCATTTCGTGTTTGCTTTGATTCAAAGTTTATTTTCAAAAACCTGACTAAAGTTTATGTATAAGATAGAATCATATTGTTTGTATCATCAGTCAATAGTGACAAAATTATTCACTATTTTACACTGTTATAAGAAAAGAGTATATTACACAAAATATAATTTATGAGATTGCTAAGCATCTACGAAAACAAAGTTGTGGGTTGTTTACTGAAGATGGTGTATTTTTAAGTAGGCCGATACAAACTTCAATGGTCAAAACAATTTTCTGCATGAATATATTCACAAACTTCTAACTTCTTTCTCTTTCTCCCAACCCCTCTACGACCAGCTGCTCGTTTCCTGCCGAAAACTCTAATTCCATCACCACAAAAATATGGAAGAACTGCATAAAAATATAGTGCATTGCCACTGTTGTTCTGAATAAATTTTGAATTATTTACCAGGCTGACATATACATGACAACTCTGAATTATTTACCAGGCTGACATATGCATGACAACTAATAATGTGTTGAAGTTGTAAACCAAAGGTTAATATCAAAATGTACCCTACCGAACAGTATACAATGACTTTGATCAGTAAATACTAAATAGCCAGTGTGAATCCAAATATGTTTAAATTTAAATAGCAGATTCAATGAGGAAATAGCAAGGACTAATAAAAATGTTGATTATAGAGAAGTATTGTTCATCATTTTTTAAATTATCTGGGGTATTATAAAACTATAAAAGTTTCACACATCCAAAAAACCTTTAGACAAAAAATAATGTATACTTTTTCATATAAAAATAAATACGATCAGTTCAAAATTATCTTTAAAAAATAATAGTTAAATGTGGAGTAGATTAAAGTCGGCTAAGTCTACACAGTCTAATGCATTATTTTCTACAGATATCTAACCCTTTCTCTAATTCTAAATTACATTGTGAGGATATAAATTTCTGGGCTATGAGATGGCAAAAGCCTTTTCAAGGGCTTCTTTGAAGACATAAATTATAGAATGCATTTGTCTACTTTGAGATTTGCAGTGAAGTTTTTCATTTAGTTTTTACTTTCATGATGTAGACAACAATTTAGATTTGTGATGTGTGTTATAGTGTATTAGTATAAATTTACAGCCTCACATATAAGTATCAATTACTACCGCTACAACTAGAAGAACAAGGTGCAATTACCATATGTGGTAGGTTAAGAATTTCTGAACCACAGTTAAATGACATTGCATTTCAACAGGTAGTGTTACTTGTGGGTTTTAAAGTGCAAAAACCATGCAATATAATTGATTTTAGTATAGAAAAGCAAATTTATGTTTTTGTACTATCATTTTTATATACTAACTACGCTTATTCATTTAGCAAACATGCATGTTTTTTTCCTATAGCTATGTTTAACATTTTCGGAATATTAAACCATCAAAATTTGTTATTTTACAAAGTACATTTGATCTTCTATAGGCTACCTGCCCTTGAGAGCTGCAACACAAAAATATAGACCCAAGCCACTCAAAAATGGAAGAGATTAAATCAGTTAACCAATACGCTTTGTTGCATATTTTGGAATGTATCAACTGTCAAAACTAGTGTATTAATGTAAAATTTGTTCTTAAATATATTTGATTTGGTAGTTACAGCAGTATTATGTAAATTATTAACTTTCCCAATAAACTCTGTCTTGATTGTGTAACACTATTAATTTAGTAATCTGTAGCATCTACAAGATTATTAATAAAATATTTTCCTGTTAACTAGTAGCAAGCAGTAACTAAACAATTAATTTGTTTTACATGAATAAACAGTGTAAGCATCATTATTAACAAAATACAACCTTTTCAGGTTTAAAAATTAAATTGATATTGTATATTCTGCATCATCTGTATTTTTTCATTTGTTTAAAAAAAATAAAATAAAAACACTACTGGATGTAAAGAACTGAAGACAAACGGTATCAAAACGGAAACAACCAGTTAGTTAGGAGTATTGTTTTAATGTAAAATTCTTACGATATATGCTATATTGCATTTTAATTCATATTCGAGTAATGGAATGTTGTGCTAGTGAAGCAAAAAGCTATATGTAGCAGGGGCGACTGATGGATAAATCTTAGAGGGACTTAAGCTGGATTCACACATATCAGTTACGGCACGTCACAGTCCGGACATTGTGATCATAATCAACATCATTTTCTATTGCGTCATCTACACTCATCCGGCACAGATTCCTCAGTCACTCTGTCGGCGTCCGTCAGTCAATTTCAGGCGATATTTTTGGATTGTTCGGACGTGTTTGAAGTTAGAAAATAGTGTTTTTGTTATTTAAATGATTTAGTTTATATTTTCATTTTGAGTACTGTTTGTAACAACCAACAAGATGGACGATGAGAATTTGATAGAGTATATGGTTTTAAATTTAAATTTAAAATATTTGACTGACTACAACATCACTGTAAATATTAGAGACAGAAGACTGACTGAAACCAACTGACGGAAAGTTGACTGAGGAATGCGGATGCAACTGAGACTAAACTGTGACTGGACTGGTGTGAATCAACCTTTACTTGACCATTAAGAGGTTATTATAAACACCTCTTACTTTATCAGTCTAATAACTTATTAGATTAAAGGTTTTTTCATATAAATATCACCAGTTTGTTATGGAAATGTATGTTAATGTACATTTCATAACCTTTTTTAAGACTGGCATTTTTATAATCTGTAACCTTACTTAAGTACATTATTTTAACGCATAACCTTAGAGGGTGCAATGAACCAAACATATAATACAGACGTATTCCTGTTGATGATTGTATATTTTTGTCCATTACAGTACCACATCCTTAAGTGACTAGAAAAATATATCTTATGAACCAACCTCTTAGAAACAACCATGTTCTGGATTTTAAGGCGAATAAAATATGTAATAAACTAAATGCTTTAGGTAACATACTAAAGTATACCATAACCATATTCTAATCCAACCAACTTTTTGATGCATTGATATTAGAGTAAAGCTGGTTAAAAACCCCCAACTCAAAAAAGACTGACTCGTGGAATAATAATTATTAAAACTATCTACACGCTATGACGATTTTAATCATTGATTTGGGTTCGACTTTTTAAACAAATCAGAGATTTCAAAAAACCCGTTTTCCTTGCCCTGGTAATATTGTGTTTATTGCTTGTAGTTTAAACTTGTTGGTTGAATAAAGTCAATGAGCATTTAAAATCTCTTTAAAAACAATAAATAATTAGGTCAAACTCAAATTATCATAGGCCAGTTTTAAGCTTAGTGAGTAATGTAACTGAAAATTTTGCCTCCCATTTTAAATTTTGTACAGGTACTAATAAGCATTGGCCAATGGTGATTCAGCAAAGGATAACGAATTTGAATCTGGGCAGTGAATCAGAGGAAGACAAATTGGACGGAAAACTCAGATTTCACTAGATTTCACTTGATATGCAACAATATTGACAGGCTGGTAGAGATTTTCTGAAAAGGTGTAACAAACTTACATGAACTTTTAAGATAAAAAGGTTCTATTGATAAAAAAAAACCAAATTCTATACTCACCGGAAGAAAAAAAAAACCCTCGAACGATATTGGAATGGCGAAAACATATCATTCTTCCTGAACTACATTCACCGGAAGAAATGATTAGAACTGGAAGTAAATGACTGAAAATTACTTGCGTCCGCCATCAAAGTGACATCACTATGATTTACGGAAAGTAAAATAAAATAAAAAAAAAATACTTATCTGATTAAGAAGTTATTATTATGATTTAGTATGGAAAAAGAAATAAAACTTTGCTAGTGTAGAATGTACCTTAGCGAAACGTCTGACTAGAAATCACATAATACTTATTTTTGTATCATTCTCAATGCTTGAACAATGATAAATTAGTTAATTTTCTTATTCTTCCTTTCTCCTCACTTCATTTAGGTATCGTGAGCTATTTTAAGGAAGACATCTGAAACTTCTATCTCCACAATGTTTAATCCTAAAAATAAACTGGTTCAGTAACTCAAATCTTTGTTTTAGTGTTATACATACTAGAATCAGCATTTAACTTAAATGAGTCTTTGCCAGTGAGGACTGGCTGATTTAAGTCTCTCAGTAACCAAAATCAAAAGTCTTAAAGACTAAATAACTTGATAACTAACAAATTCTATAGTTCTTACTAAAGTAAAATTGTATACTCTTCATATCCACTGACTGGAGGAGACAAATCTGCAACAGAACACTGTGATTGTGGAAAATAAAGTTTTATTCTTTCCGATTGAGAAAAAGTTTTAAGTATATTTGAGAAATCAAAAGATTTCATTGTTGACTGAAACTTGAGGTTCATTAGAATGTCCTAGGATCATATTGCAAGAAATCAAACATATTTAATAGAGTCAAATGAATCAGGACAAATGCCTGACTGAACTTATAACAAAATATGTTAGTACAAATTTCCAAAATGATAACCTGTGAGGAAATAAAATGAGAAAGAATACTTTAGTCATCTTGACAGCCAAACTACTAGATTCTAGAAAGTTATGTTTGGTAAATTAAATATCTCTGATCATTTAAAAAGTTAAGCTGTTAGAATTTATTTTCACATCCTCTATGTTGAACGTATAGTATTTATCGTGTTTGCGTAAGATTTTAAGTACCCTGTGCAAGAAAAACAAAGCTGTCTGCAATTCAGATTTTTTTTTGTCTCTTAACTGGGCTAGCATTGCAGTTGTTCAATGTAAATCTTGAATCAAGTAATTGAAAAATCCATTGTATCGACAATCAGCCTAACTTGGTTTGAAGTTTGATTTTTTTTTACTTTTTAAAATTATTTCTTTGTTCTACATTATTTGTAAGTATAGCCTAAATTTTAATTGGAAACGATTTGTATAAACCCATAAGACACACACACACTTATGCTATTTAGTAGCATCATTTTGACTTTCTCCCCCTATACCATAGTAGGCTATATGGAGAAAGTATTGTTTTCGTCAAAATTTTCGAGTTTGAGTTTTGAGTGGATATATTCGTTTTGGGTCCCCCTGGACCCAAAAAAGTGGTTTTCGAAGTGATGTCTGTGTGTGTGTGAGTCTGTGTGTCTGGATGTGTACAGAGCTAGAGACTACACCTGTGGTCCGATTTCGATGAAATTTGGTATGTAGGTTCTAATCCATGGTATCTCCAGGCGTTTTTTTCATTTTTTTGAAATTTTGATTTTTAATGGGGATTTTCCCATAAAAACCCATAAAAAACCGGAAAAATCGGATTTTCTCAAAAATGGAATTTAGTATGTCATTGTCCTTTATATTCTGAACAAAATGGTACAAATCCCATTTCTGTAAAAATTACCGGTCAAAAGTTATTGTAGATTATGTTTTTTTCCCATAAAAACCCCATAAAATAACGGGAAAATTGGATTTTCACAAAAATGGCCTGAACGATTTTGATGTATGTTATAATCCTTTAAATTATGATCAAAATTGTACTAATCCCATTTCCGTATATTTACTCTCACCGCTTACACGTGATTAAGGTTGTTGACAAACTTACGGGAGAAAGTATGTGTCAGAATGCTGATACCGTTTATTAATAATAGTGTTTACTTTACCACAATATTCCAGACAAAGAACAAAAGAAACAGAGTGCAGAAATACTTCAACATCAGATGTTGGCGATAGCTTCCCCCAATGGCATACTGGACCATAACAGAGCTAAGTAGGCTAATGTAATAGTTTACTAACACAACACATAATTAAAATGCAAAATTCATGTCTCCTGATTAAGAACTAGTGACACAAATTCTAGAAAATGGTGGATTCTATTTTTTTGTACAGTGCAAAAGCATGAAGATGGTTTAAAAAGCGTAATCTTAAATTAAGATTTAAGGTACAATCTTTTAGGATTGTCAAGTTTGGCATACTTTATTGTGATGCTAAAGTGACCTTTTCCCTAATTTTAGATTAGATATTACAACAATAATTCTGTCAAGAGGTATTTCAACAAAATTATCTCTGTTCTTGAAAATATTTATGTAACTGATGTACTTTTAAGTGGGCTGTAATTTAATGTCTATGAGATGACTAGCCACAATTCTATCAACTTAGACTTGATAGCCTAATAACATAGCCTAATAGAATTAAATAATTAATTCTGTTTATTAAGTAAATACAAATGGATATTTTCATATAGCATCCCCTGTCCTGCCTCTTGTAGCCACAACCGTTCAGGGATAGAAGGAAAAGATCTTTAAATTCCAAGAATTTCAAGAGATTTTTGAGCGGAACTTTGATTATTAACGAGAGTTGACTGTAAATTAAAGTCCACCACTGTTCTATGACTACAGATAATGTGTGTAGGCTTTTCAACGAGCCTACCCCCACCACCCTCAAGCGACCTGTCGCTGAACAGTGCACTACAGAAAATTGATCGGTTTTTTTGCCGCACCCTGTATAAAGTTCTTATTTATTGACAATTAAATTGAAAGGTGAAAAAATTCTAATGTACTTTGATATTTAGTCTTAATTTTTTGTCTGGGTATTAGTTTTGATTTTTCTTAAGTTTATTTTGAATGTTTACTTGTATCGTGATGAAGTGACATCATAGCATGATGATTCATAACTTGTTCTCAAAGAGGTATTTCAACATAAGCTCTAATTACTCCCACATGATGCAAAATAGAACAATGAAATTTTTTGTTACTTGCGTCAGTTCCACATCACACGAGAAACTTGAGCACTTACAGGGAAATACCACTTTTGGTACTGAAATGAACACCACTTCATCACTGATAATAATTTCTTGAAAAAAAATTGTATTGTACTTGTTTGTATTAAGACAGAACAACAATGGCTAATACGTACCAGTAAAAAAATCATCAACGTGAGAACTTGAAGATAACATAGAAGACTACTATGTTTTGACGGTAAATATAGACCACTGTATGTCTGTTACTGCAATTGGATCGAAATTATTTCAGTATCAGGTATTGATAAGACGATAATCCTTAGACTACATCAGTACGTAATAGTCTACCTCACAATCCTATCTGTGACAATATGAAAGTGTGTTAATTCTATACCTACGAGAGCTCACTTTGGCTTTTTTGTTTGTAAATCTTTTTTTGTGTTAACTAATTCTGATGCTTAAGATGATGACGGGGTTTTTGAATAACTATTGAAGCGTATATAGCAAGCTACCACCAAAACAACAAGTCATCTACAAGTTCAAATGTTGAAAATTGTTTTTGTCATAAATTTTAGCCATTATTTGTCATATTGCAACTCTGGGACTGTAAAACAGTATTAAATAAGACAGAAAGTGAACTTAGAAGCGGTGTGAGGTGAGCGTTCTACCTGTGCGCTAGAGTTAGACAGAGGTGCACGAGAGCAGTGGCGTGTTGGCGTTGGACAGGCGTATCAGCTCACTGCCAGGTGCAGACCTTGGCTGCTAAGACGGCGTAACCTCCTCCTTCTCTTCCATCCAGTTGTACAGGGGGAACTCGAAACACAGCAGGAACTTGAGGAAGTACGGCACCTCCATGTAGATACCGGGCGGTATTGGAATCAGCGGAGAGGTGGACTGCTTGTACAACCGGTACTTGGGGATGCTGCAACAGGATGAGAAGTATACATACCAAACTAAAAAAAAATAACCATTTTAGTGCTAATATTGAATATTTCATTCTGAAGTAGACATACAATCTGTATGGATCAGCTGTCGCCAATTTTTATTTTTAAAAAAGGTAGTTGAATAAGAATAAGAAATTTATTGACCATTAAGTAAATACATTGTTTACAATAGATCTCGTCAAATTAGTCTAAACAAGTGTCAGGCTTTAAAGCTAATACTATTTTCTATTTGTGTGGGCCAGACACAGAATGATCTAGTGTCTAAAATTCAATGTTCTACCATATTTTTTGTTGCTGATCAAGTTAATGGGTCGTAAAAGTTGCTATAGCTCACAATAAGTCATTCCATGAGATTGACTTGGTAAAAAGGTTTGTGTATCAGACAGAAATCAATCATTTAGTTTTAGATCAGCACAATCTGTCGCTGGCTCACATCAACTACGCCGGAATTTGGTTACAAATTGGCGACAGCTTTAACATGGGGGTTGAATGTCTAGTTGTATCAATAGTCAAAGGTGCTACGACCCTTTATCCAATGCCATATTGAAAACTGCTAGGATGTGCTAAGCGATTGGAACTAATATTGCGATGTATTGGTTCATCATAAGTGTTTGTTTGCAGTGAAAGAAATAGTCACTTAAACTGATCTTATTGGCAATAGTTATATCGTACAAACAAATTGCACTAAGTAATGTATCAGCGACTCCAACAGTTATGTAACCAAAATTTTACATTTCTTTCAATCTTTCTTATTCTTCTTTCATTGGCCCTTTAGCCTTCTATCAGCTATGGTTTCCTGTGGATGTTTCTAATTCTAACGACCTCAGGAAAAAGCTAATTTCAGAATTCTGTCACGGCCTAGGGACAACGATGAAAGAGGCTCACCCTCGTGAAGTGGTGCTGCTAAATTAATTATGTATACGACTAAATTTTATAACTAAAGTGTAATATAATAACCAATAAAAACTCACTGTCGATATTTCTGATCTGACGATCTTTCCAAGAGAGGAATCCCAGATACAAAGAGGATGATAAAGGTTGTAAATATCGGGCTGGCTATTCCGGCCCACTCCGGTCCGTCGATGACGTTCAGAGAGATAACAAAGATCCCCCACCACAGTAAGATCTCACCAAAGTAGTTAGGGTGTCTTGACATTGACCAGAGCCCTGGAAAATCACTAGAATTCAGTAACCTACTACATGTGGTCTATCATGAATACACTATCAGGGTTCCCACTCAAGGCTGGGTATTAGAGTGGGTCGAAAAAATCACAAATTATTTTTTGAGTTGGAATACTTCGAAAGTTAAAAAAAATTAAAAACTGAAACTGAAAAAATGGAAAACATATTTTGTGGAAAGAATCACATCTGGGGAGCCAAGAACTGTGCTACATATGGAAAAGTCTGTAGTAAGTGTTAACAAAGGAGGAGAAAGTACATTGTGCGCGTCGAAGGAAAAGATTACATTGGAAATAGATAATTTTTAAGAACTTAAAAACAGTCTTGAGTTGTGATGAAGACAGTTTTGTGATATCTTCTATGTAAATAATACCCCCGCCACAGCAAACCTGCAGACTAAGCGAATTTCAACTTGTCTGATTACATTTTTACTCAAATATTTCCATAAATAAGACATATTTATTCCCTATTTAAATAACATTAAATTTAACAAGTGCTTAGGTTTGCTGCTACGGGGAAGGTAAAAAGTGTTTTTTGACCATACGTGAATAGTATGGGATGAAATAAATAAATTTGCCAAATTTTATCAATATATATCCATAAACAAGTAAACTAAAACAATTTTTATTTTCTCCATAAGAATAACATGGGAATTTTAAATTAAACTATTTTTGAATTTTCTCCGTGACCGTTAGGCATACAACAGCGCTTCAATATACTAAATTATTTCTTTTTTTAAGCTCTACAAAACGGTTTAGAAATAAATTGCAAATATTTTTGTTTTTAGGGTAAAAAATGGGAAAAACACATTTTTACCCCATAAAACCCCCCATAAACCCCTGTTCCCATGGTCCGATTATGCTGGATCGCGAACTCGTTCGAATAAACGTAGGTTTACACGTTAGTACCAAATTTCATCAAAATCGGATCATTTTTGCTCGAGTTATCGCGCTAACGGACACATATATATATATATAAATATATATATAAATATATATATATATATATATATGAATTCGAACGGATGGTGTTTTTGGCCTCTAGGGACCTCAAAATGAAAAAAAAAATCGGTCCCGCGTCTAGGTCTTACCATGAGTACTACGGTAATAGCTTATTCCCTATATGGGAAATTCGCTAAAATTAGAGTTTTGTCTGTACATTGGTCAGAGTTATATATTTTTAGGTTATTTTTACGTTTTGGTTTTATACATTAAAGAAGCAGAAACAAGTCTTATATCTATTTCTGTCTGATTGTCTGTCTTTCTTTCTGTCTGTCTGTAACACTCAAGATGGCATTTTACGCAATCTTCTCCATGAAAACAAGTGTACCTATCATGATCCAAGACATTTTAATGTATTCAGTGGATTGGCAAGAGCCAGTGGATTGGTCTTTAGCCATTAAAATAAGGCCTCACTACTTTGTAAATAAAATTAAGGATGTTCAAAAATGCAGTTTTGTGTGATTTTTGTCAAATTTTCGTTCAGTTTTTATCACATAATCATTAATGAAATAACGAACAGCTGTTTGGATCAAGATTATTTTTTCTAGCTGTCACTGATATGTTTACAAATGTTGTTTACAAATACCGCAACCATTTCTGTTCAGGTTTTGAAAGCAAATCCCAACCAAGTGAGATTAAAAACGTTTTTCTTACATAACAGATTTAATTAATCGCAAGTCCAATATGATAGTGTAACCGTAAATGAAATTAAATAACTAGGCTTCATCCAGGTCAGGAACCAGAACTTCTTTGTGTATAAAATTGTTCTTGAGTTTTGATAACCAGAAAAAAGACCTTCAATCAGTGTTGTATAGGGCTGGGACATTTAATGATCGTCGCCAATAGCTTACAAACAAGGTTTCCACTCATTGACAGCGCTTCAATGGCGATTGTGTAAAGTGTAAAGTAAAATAATCACAACTGCAGAGGGTGATTGTAACAGAGGTTTACGGATGATGCTAAACTCGCTTTTCCAATGTGTCACTTTCTGTTTCTACTCACCTTGTGATGCAATCGCTGGACCATACAGCCAATAGGCCCATAGCCCATCTCTTGCCTACCTATTTATTCATAACAACCTTTTCAACGACGATCCTTAATACCGGTACTTTTCCATAGAAAAATGGCCTACCTACCAGGATACTTAAAAAATAAAATTACAAATGTCCAAAAACCCAACATTGTGTGATTTTTGTCACATTAAACTGACTACTATAAGATCCCTGGGTACTTACGTATTAAACGGAGGCCACATTTTGTCAGCGCGCTGCGGCGGTTATGTTAGGTTGGGTTATCATAATAGAAAGTATAACTCGTCTAGTATTGATTCATAACGAAGCGAGGAAAGTCGTACACACATAATATTTACGATAACCCAACCTAACACAACCGCCGCAGCGCGCTGACAAAATGTGGCCTCCGTTTAATACGTAAGTACCGATCCCTGTGCGTAGAACGGGCACACAGCTAGTTACAATATTAAATTAGTTTGATATAAAATTTGTGTTACTTTATATAAGACAGTTATATCAACAGTTTCATTACCATCATTGCACCATTTTCCTTTGTTTGCTGGATCTTGTCGAAAAGAGAACTTCTGCAGATCGGCATATGTTTCGATGAGAAGACCAGTGAAAAACATCCCAGTTCCCGTAGAATCGAGAGTTGTCATTGTTTTGGGAGCTCCTCGAGCGATGGAGTTGTGAGGAGAATTGATGAAAATAACAGGCAAACTCACCACAAACACCCAGACTGCCTGTAAATTGATAACAGAAAACTATCATTTATAATTGACCTACACTAAATTTTTACAAATCTAACAGATGATTATATTTGACAATTTTAATAACATTGACTTTAAACCTAAAGTCATTATAGAAACTATTTAGGCCTAAAAGAAATCTACAACTAGTTTATTACAGGCAAAAAACTGGCTCATTATTGGGCATATCCCTCCATAAAAAACCCATACAAGCATTCAGCTTTTAAAATTAATTTTCATAGCCCCAGGATTGCGTTAATATGACAAATAATGGCTAAACGTATCTCGTCAGACAATCCACAACATGTAGTATCAAATGTGCTAAATAACCGCCGAAACATAGGTACCTATGTCATTATTTCTATTTTTCTACAGCTTTTATTTATATTTTGAATAACTTCTTGATTAGTATTTTATGTTTGGCACTACAACGCAAATATAATAAAATACTTTTCTCAACACTTGTTAATCAACAAATATACAGTAAACATGACAATACAAATTATGAATTACAATCCTGATTGGTTTTTGACCACTCAAACCAGTCATCAGACCGGTTTAAAAGGTTAACAATTTAAAAGGCTAAATTGCCTTAGAACCTTCCCGCAACAATCAAATACCTATCATGCTAAAAAAAAAAAAATTTTAAAGGCTCAACATGCCGGAAGCCTGGTGTCGAATTTTGTACAATGCGTGTCATTTTGTGTATAGGAAGATTGAATAGGTATGGTAATTTAAAATCTACCATGTCCTGTATTTATTGTAATAGGCTCACCTGAAACGTCCAAAACACTCCAAATCTGATAATGTTACTTCTTCTGTCATCAAATCTAGCATCTCTGCCTATTTGCAATATTCGATACAGGAGATATCCAGAGAGTCTCACGCCCCAAAGACAGACAAAAGCAGTCACCATCAATTGTCTACTATCGTAACTCTGCAACAACAACAAATATTTAGCTACTATTGCCATCTGACAGAGTTAGGCAATTTTTGTGAACTTTGAAGGTCGGAACTAATACATTTCTAAAGATAGCTATAGGATTTTTTTATTTCCTTACTGTTTTCTATTGTGCTCATGTCCTACAAATCTGAAAAAAACTCATTAGGCCTAGAGCTCAGAATATATATTTATTTTTTATTTTTACGTTTCATTGGCCTAAGTTACATTAAAGAAGCCAAAAACAAGTTTTATCTCAATTTCTGTCCGTCTGTCCCGGCCCAGAAGGCATTTTACACGACCTTCTCCTGAAAAAACGAGAGCATTGATCGGGATTCAAATAGTCTTTTTGTATTCATTGGATTGGCGAGTGTCTTTAGTCAAAATATGCCTTCACTACTTTTGAAATAAAAAAACCAATGTTCAAAAACCCAATTATGTGCGATTTGTTAGGCTATCAAATTTTCTCACAATGTTTACCGCATACGTCATTTAATGAAATACTGTTTGAGAATACGACATCTATAAAATTACGAACAGCTGATTAGATAAAGATAATTTTTTCTAGCTGTAATCTCGGTGAGGTGTTTAGTAAAGGAAACTGCCCTGTCACAATGTTTTAGCGAGTTTTTAAGGCGTGGTGTCTAGTAATCTAGGCATGGCGTCTACAGCAAGTCTCGGTATTGTAAAATGGACTTAAATTGTGTAGAATGATAAAACAAAAGGTGTAGTAGGTACAAGATTTACTTAATGCAAAACCACAACATGACTTTCCACAAAAACAACATCTGGTATCCATTTGATCGATGTCTAAGTCGTGTTCAGCAGCAAGAGCTAATAGAAACCTAAACGAACTGTAACGCACAACAGGTGAAAATGTTTCATCATAGTCTATTCCCTGTTGTTAAAGGACTTTAATTGTGTAGAATGATAAAGACAAAAGGTGTAAGTTATTAGGTATTCCATATCTGTTGGCACAACAACCGAATCAAATCAAATCAAATCAAATCATGTTTATTAGCACATAAACGTACAGAGGTTTTAGATAAATGCACAGGTGCTTCGTCATTCTTCTTATAGTCTAATATTCTAATATTATATAATGTCCTTTTTTTACAATGTATTTATTAATAATAAATAAAATAGTTTTTAACATTTGAGGAACTCTTTAAATAGACTAGTCAAAAGGTTTAATAAAAAAGATAACGTCAAGCTTAAAACTAAATAACAAGATTTATAGAATTTAATTATAAATAAAACATAAAAAATGTACAAAACATGTAATTTTAGTCAATAACGAGGTCTTCATTAAAATTTCACAACAAAAACGATATATATAAAATATGTAACATTTAAAAATCAACAAGATTAACATGGAGAAGGAACTTTTTACCCTATAAAATATTATGGAAGTAACAGGACCTGCTTATAACATTTGAGAGTCATTTAGAAAATCGTCAACTTTATAATAGGCCTTTCTGATCAAAATACTCTTAATGTTATCTGCAAATTGTGCTGGACTCATTGCTGTGTTTTTTAAGTGATTTGGAAGTTTATTGAACAATTTAATTCCCATGTAATGAATACTTCTTTCTAAAGACGTTGTAGAATGATGAGGGTATATAAGCAAATTCTGGTTTCTAGTATTGTAATTGTGGCTATTTTTTTCTATAGAGTACCAATTTAAATTATTTTTTACATGACACAGAACCTCAAAAATGTAGATACATGGTACTGTAAGTATTTTTAAACTTTTAAATACTTCTTTACATGAGCTTCCAGGCTGTTTGAGGGTCATGGCTCTTAGGCATTTCTTTTGTACTTTCAATACATTTTTTATTAAATTTGTTGCGCCCCATAATGTTATTCCATATTTCACTAGTGGGTAAAAATAGCCATAGTACAAAATAAGTTTTGTTTCCATGCTGATACAGTGTGTAAGGCAACTCATATTAAAACAAATGCTATTTAATCTCTTACATAATGGTACAATATGTTCATGCCACTTCAGATTTTCATCACATATTACCCCTAATAATTTCACAGACTTCTGATTCTTCAAATCATCATTGCCAACTGTAACCTTTATTTCACCCTCTCTATATTGCATACTTCTGAAGTGAATTATATTTGTCTTGTCTGCATTCAGCAACAGTCCATTTATTTTAAACCAATTTTCTAATTCTTTTATTATTGTCTCTGCTGTAAATTTAATTTTTTCTGTGCTATTATCTCTAATTAATGCTGTAGTATCATCTGCAAACATTACTATATCTGTCTTTATATTCATTGGAAGATCATTAACATATATTACAAACAAAGCTGGGCCTAAAATTGATCCTTGAGGGACTCCTGAATTTACAGTACAATATTTTGATTCATACGTCATGTTATCTATACTTAATGATGTTTTTTGTATTCTTTTAGTTAAATATGATCTAAACCATTTCAGACTGTACCCTCTGATTCCATGTACCTCTAGCTTTTTTAACAGAACATCATGGTCTACACAATCAAAAGCCTTTGACAGGTCACAACAAATTGCTGCAGTGGTCTGTGACCTGTCCCATGCCCTGTAAATATTGTCAGTTAGAGAGATGAGTGCTGAGTTGGTGGAATGAGATTTTCTAAAACCATGTTGACTTTTGGTTATTAATTTATTTTTCTCTAGATATTCCTGTAATTGAAGATTTACAGCTTTCTCAAATATTTTTGAAAAGACAGGTAACAATGAGACTGGACGATAGTTTTCAATCAAGTTTTTATCCCCTTTCTTATAAATTGGCCTAACAATTGATATTTTTAGTTTTGATGGAAATTCACCTGTAAACAGTGACTGATTAATTAATGTGCAGATTGGCATAGCTATATAATCTTTACACTCTTTGATTAAGGTGACAGGAATCTCGTCCCAACCAGTAGATTTTTTATTTGGTAGTGATTGTATAATCTTTAAAATTTCATGAACATTTACTTCTCTGAATTCAAAAAACAAACTTTCTGGGTTTATCCCTGTTTTGCAACTGTCAACTGCTTTTTCTGGTGAACTTTTAATATTCAGTTTTTTCCTAATGTTGAGATAATGATCATTAAAATAATCTGGAATAACTTTGGGGTCTTTTATTATGGATCCGTCAATTAGTACTTCTGTCAAAACGCTCTTTTTCCTTGTATTCATTCCTAACTCATTCTTAATTACTTTCCAAGATGCTTGACTTTTACACTTCGCTTGTGTGATGTACTTATCATTTGCCCTTCGCTTTGCTGCTCTAACAACTTTTTTGAATATCTTTCTATAATTTCTGTAATAACTTTGCGCCTCGGCACACCCACTCTCCTTAGCCTCTCTGTGGAGACGCCGTTTGTTCATACTTGAAACTTTTATCCCCTCTGTCACCCACTGTATTTCTTTTTTATTTTTTACCCTCCTAGGTCTAGGTGGAAACACTTCATTCATGGTCAATATGAAATCGTTTAAAAAATTGTTGTAATTATCGTTCACACTTTTCCCAAGCTCTACCTTCCATTTCAAGTTTTTTATTTTACTCTTAAATTCAGCTTTTTTACTTGAAGTAAAATATCTTTTAAAGGTTTGTTCTTTAATTTTGATCTTATCCTTAAATCTGGGTAATGTGGCCCATATGGCACTATGATCAGAAAGACCTATATCCTCAACATGAATTCTCTCTATCTGATGTTTCTCATTAGTAATAATATTATCAATACAAGTTCCACTTCTAGGTCTTGTTACCTCCATAACATTGACTTTGAAACCATTAAAATGTAAAACATTTAAAAATCCATCACAAGCCTTATTATCTAATACATTTATATTACAATCAGTAGCTATCAATACATTTAACCTTTTCCTCCCTTTCAACTTATTTAATAAAAACTGCATATTTTTTAAAAAACTAGCTAATGTGAACTTATATGGTACTCTATATAAAGATACAATTATTGTAGGCTCAACAAAATTTAGAATTTCAATGATGGAACATTCAAAATAAAAATCTTCGTTAAACTTTTTAAGGTCATTTCTAACTTTATATTTTATACCTGCATTTTGTTTTAATAAAATTGCTGAACCTCCTCTTGCACCATTCTCCCTAGTATAGTAGTCTGCTAAGCAGAAACCATTAATTTTATTTAACAGTTCTATATTTTCTTTTGATAGCCAATGTTCATTTAAAGATATAATCAAAGTATTTTCTTTAACCTGATCCAAAATTAAGCTTAAGTCATCAAATTTTTCTTTTATTCCTTGAATATTTATATGCATTAAAAAGTCAAAGTTATTTCTATTCTTTAAATCTAAACTAGAGCTACCTAACCTAATTTGGCTGGTGTTGTCATCTCTTGGTCGTTTCCCTGTGGATGTGGACTCCTGCGGCTCGTCTCTCTGTCTGTGATGGGGATGACATCCTGCGACGTTTCTTCCCGTACCTTGTAGAAGTCATCATTGTGTTGTGGTGTAGGGGCATCATTCGTTGCTGTAGGAGATTCAGAAGTCGCTTCGATGATTTTGTTGGCCAGCCATCTCTTACCAGTTCTATTTAGGTGTTGCCCGTGGTTTGTGTGATGTTTACGCTCAGCTGAGCTCACCTTTACTAGTGTTACATTATTGTACTGACAACACATCTGCTCCAAAGCTTCATTTGTCCTCCTGATTTCCTTGTTCACGCAAGACCATTCTGCTAAATCATGTCTTACTGGAAAATCTGCAACTATTATTTTTTTCTTGTTGTATTGTAAGATTGTTCTTGATATACTATCAAGGGCACGCTGTGCCTCATTCCTAGCGATGTCATTTGAACCAGCCATTATTAGCAACGAGTCATCTTCTTTAAGCTCCTCTCCGTCAATATTCTTCTCGATTAGGATTTCATTAGCACAGGCTCCTGGTCTTACAAAACCTACTGCCTCAAACAAATTTGTGTTTTCATTCAGGTGGTGCGAGAGATCCCTGCCATGGCTATCTGCACACAAAAGCATTTTTGTTTTTTTCTTGATTTTTTTTTGTTTGACGTTATTGATTCCAGTTTTATTTGTTTGATTCATGGTTGTGGATGGAACTATTTCTATGGCATCTTCTTGACTGTTCTCGTGGATTTTAGAAAGAGCATCAAAGCGATTATTGAGATTGATTGTAGGTGTACTTGTGGTTATTTTAACTGGAGATTGCCTTTTTTTGGAGATTTTCACTTCCTGCCAGTCAGATAAACTTTCAGGTTCAGCCCTAATGTTTGATTGAGTAGCTAGAGGGGGGAAGCAACTTAAACAAGTAGATTTAACATTTTCCATAGAATGTAGTTTTTTTTCTAAATTATTATTTTCAGTTTTTAAGAGTGATATAATAGTTTCTAGTGTTCTTATTGATGACATCATGTTGTTTGTTTCTTCTCTAAGTATTTGACACTCCATGCATTTGTAATTCACTGTTGTTGTTGTTGGATTAGAAGTAGGCCTACTGTTTTTATTATTTTGGACCCGTTTTTCTTCTTCTGCTTGTAATATTATCATTTCTTTCAATTCCTTTTCCTTTTTTAGTTTGTCATCGAGGATCTTTATTTTGTCCTCCAACTCAAGTACTTTGTCTTCATGAAACTTTTTCATTACTTCCAGTTCTTCCTCTTTTTGTTTTAAATCATCTTCCAATTGAAGTTCGAAAAACGAGCTTTTATTTTTTGCGTCATGTAACTGTTGCCTAAGGTTTTCATTTTCTTTTAACAACACATTGTCTACTTCCTCTGCTAAAGACACTTCCTCTCGTTGAAAGTCGTTTTCCAGATCTGGTTCATTTTTTTGTGTACTTTTTAGGCATTCAGTACATTGCCATTGTTTTAGTTCTTCAATTGAAAATTTTTTTACTCTTGAATAATTCAAGTTCAAACAATTAAAATGGAACCATTTTTCACAGCTAGTGCAAAATATTGCTGATGACCTCACCCCTTTAGAGCAAATTCCACATAAAGTTCTAGACATAGTTTAAATATACTTAGAAGTCCTACAATGTCTATATAACTTAATCCAGGTGTTAAACACTCTTTTTTATAGAAATTATCAGTGCCGTGTAAATAAAAGTTAAATAAATAATTGTTGCCTACTTGAAATTTCTTAATAAAATATGTTTCTTGTTCCAATATTACCGAATGAGTAATATTGATTATTCGATTGTTTAATTCGATATATTGTTTGGTTAGTTAGGTTAGGTTAACTTTACCTAACTAACCAAACGATATATCGAATAGGCCTAATCGATATATTGATCGATATTTTCATTCGGTTGTTTGTGCCAACAGATATGGAAGTGTAGGCCTACCCCAAGTTTTACTTAATGCAAAAACACAACATAACTTTCCACAAACAACATCTGGTATCCATGACAACTAACTTATACAGAACACATGTGATACCAAAATGAACTAAGTTATTCTCACAAATCATATTTCAACACTCTGCAACAAAAGTCATTTGAGAAAGTTGTAGAGTTGGTGTCCAGGAACAGTTTTAAAAGGTCTTAGCCTATATAACGTTTCAGGTGAGTTGGGTGTCAGAAATAATAACCAAGCTGCCATTAGTAAACACACATATTATGTAACAAGAACTTACCTTTAGGCTATGAGTTGAAATGAAATTATTAAACCTTTTGTAGTACTTACTGGCTTGAAATGGGCTTGTCCAAAGAAGAATGATAGCAAAGCTACAACTATAAAATTTGTTCCACCAGCAAAATCAGTAAGTTTGTCAAACTGGAAGTAAGCTGCTATTGAGAAAAATGTCAACTGCATTAAAACAACCACTATAGCACATATTCCAAGATGCCATTTATCAAGGATTTCAACAACCATTTTTACAAATACCTCTGCAAGGGATCACGTTTATTGCTGAATATCTTGTAGAAATTGTGGTCTACGCCTAAATCCACAATTTCTTTATCGTAAGTAGCTCTTGAAACACTTGCTGGAAGTCTTAGTAAGATTTTTAAGGACAATTTCTAAAACAATAGCCATATAAATTGTTTGAGCGTAGAGTAAAGTGGATACTGTACAACCACCTAACAAAATAATAACTAAACAATTTTATTTTATTTACAGAACTATCAAAATATACTCAGGGGATAACCAGAATTAGTAAGTTAATACTGTTGCAACGAGCAATAATAATACGCAATACAAAGACTAAAATCCAAATCAAAACAAAACATGAGCAAGTGCAGACGACAGGCAACGAAAAAAAACATCCCCACCCAACCATAGAAATAAAAATTCTCTATGACTATCTAATGATTGTAGGTTACTGTAGGTCATTGATTATTGAGAAATAGATTACGTGTTTTCAGATTTTTACGCATACGACATACAAACATTTTTTCGAAAATTCATATCTTGTTAATAAAGACAATCTGATTTCTGGCACCCAAATAAACTAGCATTTGGGTATGGAAATTACCCTCCTTGGGGTCAAAACCTTCAAGCTTTGTAAAGGAACATTTTCACCTCTGTATTTTCATAGATATAAAACATACTCCCTTTAGTCGATTTGTCATCCTTATGGATCAGAATGTTTTGGTTGTTAATTGGATCAGAACGAGACTGACTTGCTCAATTTTAAGGGCAACAAGTATATGTGCCTGAGAAGATCTCGAAAAAAATGGAGATCTGCTCGAGAATTCGAAGACGGAGCAGGCATCCAACATATTTATTGAAAGAATCAAAATGTTTAGTAATATCTAGCTCGTATCCTAGTTATATAACCAAATAGGCGTTCATGGCGTCCAACAGATTTGCAGGAACCACTTGAGGAATTAAACCCCATGCACATAGGCTAGCACTCTGACTATATGAGGCTGAAGGGCTCAAATACCTATTTTTCGCTACGTCTGGTGGAAAAAGTGAACCATGTAACTGGCATAGCCAAATTAGAAAGCCTGTGTGAAAACTTGGCACGCTTCAAGCTACTGGTGCCTTCAGGAGCAGTCCGTCTTGGGCACAGACGACTGCTTATTCCTAATCAATTGAAAAATCAGGCTTCGAAGTATACCAGTCAATCACCCAGAACCGAACTTTCTTCCAGTCTCGATACTCCTCCAGGCAGATATTTGTGGTGCATTGGCTTGTGCCACCCTAGGACTAGGCAGGCGCTACCAAGACAAGAGGATAGGTAGTAAATTTGTGTGATTTTGTCAGGATGCTTAATTTAGCTTTAAACGCAAATGAAGTCACTTCATGAATCGTGTTTCAACAGGTACCTTCTGGTCATCTAGGCATAGGTGCTGGCTTTAGAGACGGTAGAGATAATTAAGCTCTGGCAATAAAGGTTTTCGAGCATGTCATTCCCTTGGACTGGAGCCATTCTGTGGCATCAGCAGAGGTCTAGGACCATGAGTTCACCCTCTTTCAAACCTCCCTTAATTTCTATGTGCCAATGCGCCTTAATTAATGCTGATATCAGCAAATCGATGTCATCATGCTTTGCTGCAAGTTCTGGTGTTTCTCAGGGGTCTCACCTAGTTCCATTCTTGTTTTTCATCTTTTATTATGGACATCAAAGTTCTTTCTTTTGCATCTCATCATGTCTGCCAGCCCTTGCAAGATGCCCTAATGACGTATTTCACTGGTGCCACTCCAATGGCTGGAAATCCCCCAAAATCAAATTGATTAGGTAAGTCCAGCAGGAAATTTAATACAGTTGTAGCTGACTACTTTTCTTGATGGTTACCGGCTGGAGAGATGCAATACCATCCAGGATCTTGGCGTTTTTATTGATTCCTCATTTGAGTTTGGGCGCCTTGATACCTGCTCCAGGGCCTCTTAATTGTATGCTCGGATTGGTCTCCCACTCTGCTAGACATGGCTTGGGCGTCCACGCCTGTATACTATCTCTGTATGTATAATAAGTCTCTCGTCCTGCAGCTACTCAAGTACGCTTCTTTGGTTTGGTCACCATACCATCTCGGTCATATTCACCATCTCCAGTCAGTGCAAAGATGTTTTATCTGGTTTCTGGGATGTCTGGCTGGACTTAACTCTCATGACGCCCCAGTCGACAAGCTAACTGCTACCCAGGCCCTTCAGAGTCTCGAATGCAGGTGGCGAGTGGCTGATGGCGCCCCTCTATTCAAACTGCTTCGTAAGCAAATCAACTACTCCTTCTTACTGGAAAAGAATTAACTTCTGTGTCCCTATCAGAATCACCGAAAATCACCACCTCTTGGAGCTTACCATGGGGACCAACTACTCAAGATCTAGTTCCATTCCCCGAATTATGCGCTTCGGGAACGAGATCGGCACCTCAGTCGACCTCTTCACTGCCACCTTGGGTGCAAATTCGGCGTACTGAGGCTGATGCAAACCTTGGGATTTATATGTGTAAGTATATGACTGTTATAAATTTGTTTGATGTATTGTAGTAGATTATTCATATTGTTAATATTTGTTGTACATTTTTTTTTATTGTTTGCTCCTATATTTAATTTGTTGTTGATTCTTGTTTTCTTTTTAATAGTTTATCTCTGTTAATTGTTAGTTTCTCAAATGGCACACACCTAAAATGGTGATGCTAAAGGTGAATAAAGTAAAATAATAATAAAATTTAATCCCAAGGGCCAAAGATCAGTTTTGAGTAGTCTAAAACATGCTTCAATTGTGGAGAGAACTCTACAAAAGGTTTCATCGACCACGTACTTCTTTTCCCCCTTGAAAACCCAAGAAAATAAAAGGGTACAGACAAACTATCACACAGAAATCAAAATTGACTCTACTCATTTCGGTTTCTCTGTATGATGTAAAAGATAAGAAATAGCCTAATATGAATGAAACAATGATTTTTTTCAAAAAAAAATGTTCCATGCAACAAATGTTTACAAATTAATTACAATAGGTACGGAAGCTATATGTTTTAACAAACTTATACACTTATACAAGTAGTTATAGTGATAATACAATAATATACAGAGGGAAAATTAACAAAAATGTGAACATAAATGTTGAATGATACCTACTAACAATACCTCTGCCCGCAGCAAACCTACAGACTAAGCGAATTTCCATTTGCCTGATTGATTTTCAATTAAATGTATTTAAATAATTTTAGATTTAAAGAGTACTTAGATTTGCTGCTACAGGGAGGGTGATAAAGTGTGTTTTTTCAACAACTAGATTTGTATAAAATAAATAAATTTGCCAACATTGGTCAAATTATATCCATAAACAAACTACTTCAGTTCACTTATTAGATTCACTTATGGAGATAAGAATAACATGGAAAATTAAAATTTATAATTTTTGAATTTTCTCCATGACCAATAACTGTGCAAAAACACTTCAATATATAAATTATTTGTTTTTAAGCTCTACAAAATGGATTGGAACAAAATTAATTGCAAAACTTATATTTCAGGGGAAAAAATTGAATGGTGCTAACTGCACTCAGAGACAAGATCTGTCAAGAATTTTGGGACCATGCAAGTTAGTCCTTACAAATAGTACAAAACTGAAACCATATGAAATTATATATCAGATACCACTTTGGTCAGAAAACCCAGTAGTAATTTTGTTTCATCTCACTTCAAACACAGGAAATTTTCCTGTTGTTTTAAAACAGCTTCTGCAAATATTGACTTGACAAACATCACTTGAATATGACAGAAACATTCAGAGCAGCTATGTGAGTTTGTTTGCAAAAATTAAACTCTCTGTCAAGTCAATCTCGCAGCTTCGACAAGTACATGCCGTTACTTCAGCACACCTGCAGACCCTGCAATATCTCGGTAAGACATGGTGTATGCCTTCATGAGGCGATTGAGAGCATATTATATTGGTTCGTATTTTTAGTTCAAACAGGACTAGCAGAGTACCTGTCCTTTGTACAGGGTTGGCGTAAAAGTAATGCTTATTGCAGTTGTGCTTTGCGTTTGCAATGTGAGAGGACACGATTTAAGAAAATTTGGTTCTTTTAATTTACGGTATGCTATAGTATAGCACATCTACCATAGCCATAATGTTCTACCACTGCCCCTAAAGAATAAAAAAAGTGATATTCTCATTTTCCACAGCTTTTTGTTGCTAGTTGGTTGAAATTAGATGTTGTCATAAATTAAAAAAAAATTAATAGTGCTGTACCCTGTTGGTAAACCTTATAGCTTGTTAATGCTATTTAATATCTTAGAACCAACTTGTGTAGTTGAAACAGCTGACAAAATTCTTTTATTCCTTTTAAATATGAGTACTCATAAGGTTAACATGCAAAACTTCAGAGCCACTGGGGCGGAGCCCGATAGGATTTTGGAGATAAGAATGTGTCTATATGTTAATAGGGAATGTGAGCTATCAACACACCAAATTTCAGCCCAATCCGACCAGTATTTTTCGCGTTTACTTGTCACAAACATCCATACATCCAAACTTTCTCACTTATAATATTAAGTAGGGGTAGGATTATTGACCATCTCAATCACGTCCTGGCAAAAATTAGGTGATAATCTTAATACTTTTGGTTCACTGAAGAATCAAATGCTTTTATTCTTTTAGTGAATTTCCCATATAGGGAATATTAGTGAATTTCCCATATAGGGAATATTAGTGAATTTCCCATATAGGGAATATTAGTGAATTTCCCATATAGGGAATAAGCTAATACCATAGTACTCATGGTAAGACCTGGACCCGGGCCGGGACCGATTTACTTTTTCGTTTTGAGGTCCCTAGAGGCCAAAAACACCATCCGTTCAAATTCATACGTATATATATATATGTGTCCGTTAGCGCGATAACTCGTGCAAAAATGATCCGATTTTGATGAAATTTTGTATAAACCTACATTTATTCGAACGAGTTCGCAAACCAACATGATCGGACTATGGGAACGGGGTTTTGTGTGGGGTTTTATGGGGTAAAAATAGGTTCTTCCCATTTTTAAGGTTTTAAAAGGGAAAAAAAGGGAAAGGGGGAGGGTTAAGGATAGGGCGGAAAAATAATATTGCTTAAGGGTGATTTTAACCATTTACTGCCTGTTGAGCCAAACCAAAAAGTTCAAATAATTTAACGTAACATGTACATAGCAGTATACATAGTAAGGGGAACATGTATATATAACAGTAAAATCTGGAGGTAGATTCCGTTTCTTTACGTTTTTTAAAACTAGGTAACTAAAATATGCGTATCAATGCCGATGAAAACAAATTTGGTGATTTGCTTCGACATATGGGAAACTGGACCCTACCCAGTGTCAAAGTATTTAGAAATCAATTGATGATTAGTTTTTTAACAGTATGTAACAGTATTTTAATAGTAAAAAGTATTTACTCAAAAACAATTACATTCGTTACCTTGAGCAGATTTAAAACTCTAGAAGGAATTAAATTATTTATTGAAGATTAACAAAACCCAAGGCAAACAAACAGAAGGTGTTTAAACAAAAGATATATGGTGTACAGGGGTATCTATCTATCCTGACACATTGATGAGTTCATTCCTAATTTGTTTTACATTTGAGATTTTTAGGGACTTCTGTCCCTACAAGCCACTAGTTGGGTCTATAATCTTGCAAGATGATACCTTGATACACACCGAACCAATTTTTTTATTTAGTAATATTTTCTAGACTTTTTGTAATATTTTGCAGACAAAATAATCAGGAAATGAAGATACTTATTGTTCAACTGCTTATCACCATGACAATATGTTGTGAGGCGTTCTATCAGCCTTTTAAACACGGTAAAATGAAGAGAATCGAACCCAATACTCTAGAAGAACTGAAAACAGCACTTTGTACCAAGGATAAGGATGGAAAATGTGATGACGAGCCGAGGAAAATAATAATCAAGAAGATATTTGACTTTACAGATTCAGAGGGTTACAAAACCGAACTCGGATGTTTCCACCTGTCTGAACCACTCAAGTGCAAAGTGTACGGACAACTGAAACTGAATATAAATGAGCAGTGTAACGGCCTAGAACCAACAGACGTGACGTACAGTATAGCAGGGAGAGTGGGACTGGACGTTGGCTCAAACAAGATCATCGAAGGCAGCAAGAAGGGGGGATTGATGGGGAAAGGACTGATGATGATGAATGTGAAAAATGTGGAGATCAGGAAACTTCGCATTACAGATATAAATCCCCGAGTTATATGGGGCGGAGACGCAATAGACATAAGGAATAGCCAAAACATCTTGATCGATGGATGTTACATCAAGAACATCGGAAGACAAATGATGGTAACTCATTTTGGATCGAGTACAGGAATCCTGGTAAGGAACACGGTGTTTGACGGAAACACACCTTTCTCTCCGTACTGCAATGGCCGACACTACTGGCTATGGCTGTTTCTGGGCGAGGCGGACCAGATAGCCATGCAGAACAATGTGATATTCCACACCAACGGGAGAGGCCCGCATCTACACGCTAAAAAAAAGTCCATATTACATCTGATACAGAACATCTTCTACGATATAAAGAGTCCTGGGCTGCTGATTGAGCAGGACGACCCAGAAACGAGCATTCTCGCAGAAGGCAACATCTTTTACGGCGTGGAATACGTAGTGCGCCAATGTTCCGGTCACATTTTCTTCCCCAAAACTGCAAAAGAAGCTGAGCAATGCAAAGCAGTATTGGGTCGTGAATGTCTTGTGAATAAAGTGGAAGATAGCAAGAACGCAGATCCTACTAATGATTTAGTTGTGCTGGAAGACTTTCGGAAGATTAAAAGCTCAATGGTTTGTCCAATCAAAATGAAAAATTCAATAACCAAGCAAATAAAAATTCCTAAGGTTGTTAAGAAGCTGATTGAATAAATAATAATCACATATGTAGTCTATGTAATTAATCTTAACGTAATTTGTTAACATATCAACACTTCAAACAATTGGATACATATATATATCTTAAAAACCTCAGAGAAAAACATAATTTGTTTTGTTTTTATCGTCCTTTCAAAAGCAGCATAGAGCATACTATAAAAAATAAAAAATTACCAAAATAAACATTTAAAAAAATAATTCAGTGGTCAGTGGAAACAAACTGGTATTGTATACAATTTGAAAACCCCCAACTCAAATTGTAAAATACTAGTAGTTGTAGTACTATGATGTTTATTTTTGTATATATAAAATATAGTGAGGCTATAAGGTGTACATAATAACTTGAAATCCAGTTCTATAGATATGGGTTTTATGCAACTGAAAAATCTCTTGCGAAACACAATTTTACCCAATATAAAAGAATGTTTAACATTAAAAAATACCTTAACCTTTCAAGTATACAGGGTGTTTAGAAAAATACTGTTAATTAGGTAAACAAATTTTCTTAGTAAAGCTTTTAATTTCTTACTTATAATAGCCTACTTATAATGTACTGTATAAATAGAACAACAAATACAAATAACATGGTGTCAATAGATTCAAACGAGTCTTATATGCTAAGCTAAATACTATATTTTAGAATCGTAAAAATTACTTTTTTTGAGTTGAACTTTATGTAATGTAGATAGTATTAACCGAGAAAAATTATATGCTAACTCAGTCTTTGAAAGATTTAAACATTTTCAGATCAAAAGTAAACATTTGCCTCTTGATAAGCATGCTTGTCACCCGATTTCCTGAACTTTTCTTAACTCATCGAATGTACTTGTACTTGTTAACATTTTCATTGGAATCATTTAAGAGTTTATAATACATTTTCACTTATCATTTATATTACGTTTATTTGGCTTTTCCTCTGAATTTCCCACTCGGCGTTGCCTTCTTCTTTTTGTTTGTTGATGACTTGTCTTCAACCTGTTCATGAACAAATGTTGATTAACTTAGTTGAATGAATGATGAATGGTTAGGTATTTTACACAATACATACGGTGGTAGACTATAAAACTTGTGATTATGGAACATTCACAAATAGTGAATTGAAACGATAGATTAAATATGCTAATTTCAGGTGGTTTGTTCATTGCTTCTCCACACCTAACCTAACTTTGCTCACTTGCAAGAATATCCACAACTACTGCTTATTATTAAGTTTAGTGATAGTCAAAACCCTAATTTTAGAAATCAAATCATGAATCTAAAAACCTAAAAGCGAAACATTTTACTTGCCTGGTTAAGGTTAAAATTCAAAATAATAAAATGCTTGTCATGGAATCCTAACTGAAATAAATTATTGGACTCTTGACCCTGAAATAATAGCATGGCTACTCTTTTAACCTAAAAGAAAACACTTTTTATAAACAAAAAATACTGAAATAATTAAACTCCTGACACTGAAATAACATGAACATTTGATCAGTATTTGATTAAATCAAGAATTAGTTTTAAATCTCGTAATTCGCCAATCGAATCTCAAACTTAAAGTTTTCTGACGTTTTGGTGGTTTTAAGTTTTGAGATTCGGTTTGGACACACCACTAAATAAGGTTATACGACTCATGTACTAAACAATAAGGTAATCCAGTAATAACATACTGAACAGCTCAATACAAACAGATAGTGAGTAGTTTGTTTACATGGTTATATAATATGGAATGGTTCAAACTCGGATCTGAACGAGAGGTAGTTTGTTGAATGGTAGTTGCAGTAACTTACTTTGCGTTTAACGCCGGTGTTGGGAGTTGCTGGCAGCACTTTGAAGAAGGAGTCGAGTCTACCCTGCGTTGAGTTACTCCTGGAGCTGCGCAGTTTCTTGACTCCATTCCTCACTCGCTCCTCGTTGAACTGTTTGTCTCCGCAGAGGTATTTGACAAGTCCCTCCTCGTCTGGTTCAACCCACTTGAACTGATAAACATAAAATATAGTACGAAATTCCAAGATATTTACATCCTAGCCTTATAAATGAGATAGTTTGAATAGAAAATTTTATTATTTTAGGTAAATTTTTGAAGGGTTAAGACTTAAAATGAGGTCCTAAGTTGGTCACAATAGAGTAGCAACTTGACTTAAGCATACTGCAAAAATTATAGTACTTCATAATTAATTCTGTTATTTACAATCTTAAAACACACAGTTTTGCTTGATTGTAAAAATATGGTAAACCGAAAAGATATGTTGTTCCCATCGATCTCTATAACTACAACCAACACATTGTAAAGATTTTAACACCTTGGAACAAATGTTGACAGTTGTCTCGACAGTCATTATCCTGGATAAAGTATTTGTACAGTAATACTATGAAGATAATTTCACTATCTATTTTAATATCTTGTACCAAATCCTAAAAGAGAGAAAATCAACAAAAGAATACTTAAAAATGTAAAGTAAAACATAATGGTAAACTTATAGAAATATATAGAGATCCAAGAATTGAGGACAAATTACGGAGATGGGTCGAACTTATCTTTAGAAAAGAGTAACGTTCGCTATTAGTCAAAGGATGTTTTAATAAACAATCCAGAAGGCTAAGACCACCAGGTAAACCCACATTCAGAAGATAGGAGCATCTAGAAAGAAAGTAAAAACCAAAGAAGACTAGGAAAGATGAGTAGAAAAAGTATTTAAAATGAACATCTATAGGCAAAGTACCATCTGGGGTACTGTGAACCACGGCAGTAAGAACCTACCTCTAAACTTTCACAATCTGCGACTTCTGGATGAACAAACAGCTCGCGAGCCTCTTTGTAAATCCAGTCGCTTGGAACAGTGAACTTATTCTTGTCTAAGTTGTCCAAGATTGTCTCAATATTGCGGTGTTTCTGTATCAACTCCATTGCCCGTTTGGGACCGATTCCTCGGATGCTGTCGCAGTAATCACATCCTAACAGGATACCCAGGTCGATGAACTGTAAAGTAGCAATGTGTAAAGAAAAGACAAACAAGGAAAAAGGTTTTTTTTTAAATACCTATATTATTTTAATGAGAACAGCAGTGTTTGTATTTTAATATGGGACAAAAAAACAAAAAACAAAGGATTATAGGACAAAATTTTGACAAACAATGTTTGATTTTTCAACATTAAGTTAAAATGAAACAGAGTAGCTCAATTTTAGCGTCTTGGGCTGATAACACAGACGTTGCTGGTTCGAAACCAGCTGCCTTCAATATCTTATCACTACAATTACCACTAGCTTGGCTATGTGACTCATACCATCACTGTTTTTCGGTACTTCACTGTTTTTAACACTGTTGAGGTTCTACAAAAAATCAAAACAAAAACAAACCGAAACGTTTATGAGCTTTTAACACTGCACATAATTATTACTTGATCGATTTATGCCAAAAGTATAACATAATGTTATTTTTATGTTTAAAACAAAACAAAATAAATTTGCATTTAATTATTATTAATTATCATTCATTGAGATGGGGACGCCACCTTTGTGCATATTTTTACTTTCTCCCCCTATACCATAGTATATGGAGAAAGTATTGTTTTTGTCAAAATTTTCGAGTTTGAGTTTTGAGTGGATATATTCGTTTTGGGTCCCCCTGGACCCAAAAAAGTGGTTTTCGAAGTGATGTCTGTGTGTGTGTGTGTGTGTGTGTCTGTGTGTCTGTGTGTCTGGATGTGTACAGAGCTAGAGACTACACCTGTGGTCCGATTTCGATGAAATTTGGTATGTAGGTTCTAATCCATGGTATCTCCAGGCGTTTTTTTCATTTTTTTGAAATTTTGATTTTTAATGGGGATTTTCCCATAAAAACCCATAAAAAACATGAAAAATCGGATTTTCTCAAAAATGGCCCGAACGATTTTGATAAAAATTTAGTATGTTGTAGCCCTTTAAATTCTGAACAAAATGGTACAAATCCCATTTCTGTAAAAATTACGGTTCAAAAGTTATGGTAAATTATGTTATTTTCCCATAAAAATCCCATAAAATAACGAAAAATAGGATTTTAGACAAAAAAATCCGATTTTATTTAACATAGTATGTTATGATCCTTACAATTTTGATAGTTTTTCTCATTTCTTAGAAATTTTTATTTTTAATGGGTATTTTCCCATAAAACCCCATAAAATGACGGAAAAAAACGATTTTCCCAGAAATGGCCTGAACGATTTCGATAAAAATTTAGTATGTTATAGTCCTTTATATTCTGAACAAAATGGTACAAATACCATCTCTGTAAAAATTACGGTTCAAAAGTTATTGTAAATTATGTTATTTCCCCATAAAAACCCCATAAAATAACGGAAAATCATATTTTCCCAATATTGGCTCGAACGATTTTGATAAAAATTTAGTATGTTATAGTCCTTTAAATTCTGAAGAAAATCTTACAAATCCCATTTCCGTATATTTACTCTCACCGCTTACACATGATAAAGATTGTTGACAAACTTATGGGAGAAAGTATGTGTCAGAATGCTGATACCGTTTATTATTAATAAAATGCTAAATATTAGGCCTACATAGGTACTTTTGTTGATGACTAAGAATGTTTAGTTTTTTTCTATTTTCTAGAATTGTAACAGCTCTAACAGGTTATACTGCTTGCCTTCAAATCTGAAGGTCGCTGTGGTTTATCTCGAAAGCAAGATCATTTCCAGTCCCAATGCCATTTGTCAATGGGATATCATTTTATTGATGATGCTATCTAACAAAAAGGCTGGCGTTATGTGGTAACAAGACTAGGGATTGGACTGATAACCTTACAAAAATGCCAAAGGTGTAGATATAAATACAAATTAAATGGAAAAGCTCTGTTTATAATCCAAACCAACACTAGAGTCGAGACCACGTAAGTTTGCAGTTGGTGGCAGCCAATCACAAGATAAGGCTAGTGCGACGTTGCTACTTCGCCCGCTGACAACACTAATTAAAATAATTATACAAAGCCATATTTTCAAATCAGCTGGTATTATTAGATTTGGTAACACCGCACGGTTCTCATTGGTTCATCCAAAACCATATGGTAAATAGGCTCCTCCCTCAACTGCAAACTTATGTGGGCCCGACTGTAAGTATATTTATCCAATACACCGAGTATTCTCATACCTCATACCAGCACATACAAACGTTTGCAACATAAAAATAGCTAACTTAGTAACACTTTTCTACACTTGACACCCAGAGGACAAAATATTGTGTGTTCAGTGTATCTTCTGGGTGTTCTATGGCCTACCTACACTTCTACCTAGTTAAGCTAGATTCTTTCCTCCTTTCACAATTCAAAATCCTGGCCTAGAGCCTTTCCTTGAACAAATCTAACTTATTAAACAAGTTTGTTAGTAGCTTTAAACAGTAGAATATCACTCATATTTACCAATCCGTACCTCAGACTGGTTCAGCTCAAGGCCAGCCAGTACTTTGTCCAGGTGGAACTCTTGTATGGGTATTTTGCGAGCAGCGCTGAATGTGATGTGTCGCAGAAGGACGTTGGAGCCGAACGTCAGAGCGTCCATGTCCTCTGTGGCCGTCGCGTAAACCTTGCCAGCCTTCACCAGAGCAGCACATTGGGCTTCCGCTTCACCCGGGGCCTATGTCAAAGAATCAATAAATCAGTAACCTGCTTTTACTAAGAGGGAGTTACTAGGACATAAAAGTGTTTTCTACAGCTGTTAGGATGTGTCAATAGCCTATGGCGGTTGACTGAATTGAGGGTTGCTACAAAAGCACAAAATATAGTAGTTGGGGAAGCTATCCCCCAACTTCACCCTAAGAAGATTTTTTTAAATTATTTAAAATGTTAAGAAATATTTTGGGTCAACAATTACCTGACCCTGTAACAATGGGGAATGCTCATTAGTTTGGGATCTCAGAATTTGATGTGAATGTGTTCCATTCCCGATATTCACAAAAGTTTGTACCCCTAGCAATAGTGATCATTCATACAAAATGTGATCATTGTCAAGCAATTTTTGACAAAGATAAAAATTCTGTTCGTCTTTAGGCCTACAATTTTTTCCCCTTTTGAGTAAATGAATAGTGAACAAGTATTAGCTGCTTCTTGAAGAAGGGACTCAGCGTAACCAAAGCCTTGTTTACCCAAAGCCAGTAGGCAGGCAGGTTATTCGCTTCAGGTAACTTGAAATACATTACCTGAGGCATGTAACCTTCCTGACCCTCGCCTGGTGTAAACACAGCTCAAAATACAATCAAACACAATGGGGGATAAAAGAGCAACAATTACCTCAAAGTAAGGAATACCCATCAGTTTTAGAAGATCTTTACACTCCTGAACGTGTTGTTTGCCAACCTTGACAAGCCGACGATTGAATTTGTCCATTGCTTCCGTGTCACCTAAAATATACATGTACAATGGTGAACAAGTTTCTTTAGTTAACATTTCACTTATTTAGTTGGTTTGGTAACATCTAGTAGGCTGATTCTGTTGACTAGTTCTCACCATTCCTACAGCTAAGTCTCACATATCAAATTCTGTGAATATAACAGCCAACAACAAAATAACGAATGCAGTATAATTTAACTGTTATTTTACCGTATATTTATTTTACCTTTCATGCATAGATTCACATGATAAAAAGGCAATAAGTACTTTTCAATCAAACCATATATGTTAAGATATGCACATAATATTAAAAGCACATGAACTGAGTATAACAAAGGTATTTATAATTCATCATGCATATTTAGCCTAAATTTATTTAAATACAGTTTACCAAGGCTATACATTTTTTATCAGAGTTACAATGGAGCATTCTCTAAAACTAACGTTAAATTAATTCAAACGTGTTTTTTTAAATTGATTAATTACTGAACTAATAGCGTACCTGTGCTCTCAGCCTGCTCCAGCTGTTTCTTGGCCTCTTCCCTTCGCTCAGCTCGCTTCTCAAGCTCTCCGGACTTAAGGTTCGGAGGTTTACCATCAAACACGTAGATTGGTTTAATACCATTTTCCATTAAACGTATATTGCTGTAGAACGTTCCCATTAAATGACTGAAAATAAGCAAAAATGTATGAAAAACTAGTTGTACTTGTTATAGCTTTTCTTTTTAAATATACATGCTTGACGTCTTAATTTTCATAAAGGCAAGTCTTTGTAGGGTACTACACTTATTTAGAGGCTGTGATTTAACAGAAACATACTTAATGAACTGAAAAAAATTATGATTGCGCAGTAGGCCTACAGTGTTAAATTTTATTGACGTAAAAAATCAAAATTATGACATAAATGTCTATTTATACAATATTATAACGCTTTTATGGGCCTATTATAAATATGTATACAATGGACTAGGCCTACCTGTGGTTCTTAGTTATCCGTAGTACGCGTAAAATACCTACTATGTATGGTCGCCATTTCATCGAACAGTATTAACAGTACAGAATTTTGTTTCTTGCTAGAGACAAATCCGAATTATAGACGGTCCGGATTTTTGACGTCCAAATTATCGACATTCTACTGTACTAACCTTGTGAGCAAAATTATTTCAGATTATACGAACTAAGTATATGAATAACTAAATTATCATTAGGGTTTCCAAAAGGCTAGCTTAAGCAAGAAATGAAACCTTAGCAAAACAGAGTTTACCTTGTAGTTTCTCCATCAGACGATGTCAGCTGATTTCCTTCAGACCTGACAGCAGTCAAAAACTGATACAGACACATGGAGGCGTCAATGGCTACCTTTCTACCTGAAATCAGGAGAGACCAAAGGGTAATTACTAAATTGAAACATGCATCGATAATCTGCTTTCACCTACTAAGCAACCAAGAACTAACCTTGTACAAATATCTAATTCATCAGCATGGTTGGTGTACAATGCCGGTGTGTCCAATACTGTTTTGTATGAAAATGCATTGAATCACATAAAAATAAAACTTTACTTAACTTGAAAAGAATAACATGACTTGCTTGTAAAAACTGTAGGCCTAAACATGCATTGACCTACTGTTTTTGTTTTGACAAACAAAAAAAAAACATTGTAATTAAATAATTACTATCACAATTATACGTGTTACTTTATTAAATACAGTTGGTGTAGGCCTAGTTAGTCATAAGTTTGATTAGCGACTAAGCAGTCTAAGGCAATTTTTTATCCACAGGCTTAGGTTACCTCATAAGTTATATGCTAATGACTTAAATAATGCTAATGATTAAACCTTTTTGATTTGGTTGTATGGTAACACTGATTTGATTACCCATACGATGTGGATATTAAAGCAGTCATAGCCTAAATTGATACCATTGTGAATTCCACTGGGCCTAGCTTTTGGGTTCAACATCTTTTGTAAATGTGATGGTGTTGGTTAAGTTACAGGCTAAGATAAAAAAAACAAAGGTGTACAAACATTAGTTTGAGAAGGTACTATAGGCCTAACACATTGCTAAACTAAAGTAAGTTTTAACCGTGTTTCATGAAAAGAGAGTGAGAGATAATAAAGGCCAATTCACTCATTCATATTTGCCAGATTCTTTGAAGCACTTGGAGAACTGGGACTGTGGCGTTGTCATGTAATCTAGCTACTTGGAGGTCACAAATTGTGGATATTTGTAGGCATGATCTGTCGATGCAATACTACCTGGTGTGGATTAACGTTGGCACTAGGCCTAGTGAGTACTACGACTATATGCAGTACAGTACCTACATTAGACCAATTTGCGTTTAAACATAGCAAAAAGCGCTAGAAATCAACAATTTTTGGGGCTTGAAAATTTTCTTTTTTTACCTTGTTATGTTTTTTTCTTATTATTTAGGCCATTTGAAACACTTTTTTCTTCAAACACTTTTTCGGCAAATGCCGTTTTTACCCCAGAAAACCAAGTTTGAGAAGTCGTAAAAAATAACTAAGTTAAGTGCCAAAAATGACCCATTTTCGGGTAAACCAAATTAAATATAATCCAACCCAACCTAACCCAACCCATGCTTAGGTTAGCAAAGTACCAAAAATGGCCAATTTTGTGTAAACCAAGGTTAGGTTAGGTTAGTATTTAGCTATTAACACATTTACCGGACAAATGGTCCGATATTTAGTGATTTATATCGCTTTTCACGATTTTCAATTAGTTGCGTTTTCATGATGCCTTGTAGGCTAATTCACGATTTGGTTTAAGTTTAAGTATCAGTATAGTACTGCGGGTAGTCGTAGTACTATACTAGTGGGGACGTTAATCCATACCAGGGAGTAACGCATCCATAACTAATTGCATGCCCATAAATAATCAAAATTCCTGACCTCCGAGTAGCTGGATTACAGGACGACGCCACAGTCCTAGTCCACTATAAACTGTAGGTTAGTGTAGGTTAGTTGTCATTGGCTGTATGAGTAATAAACAGTCCTGTTTAAGGAACATGACGGCCTTATCAGTAACAAAACTACAGATCATCCAATACTCATCTCCATTCATACTTGGATTCAAGTACCTACAGTACCTTCGTTTGGACGCCATTTCAATTCAAAGTATTAACTTAGAAATAAGTTATTGTTTTATATGATAAGAAAAAGGTTTTTAAAACTTACCAAAATAACTTTTCAAGTCAGTCTCTTTAACTGCATGGGGAGACACGTCTGCAATTAGCTTTGCTAGTCCTAGAATACCCATTGTGCAGCAGGAAAGTATGCAAATCTAAAATAATAAATATTTAACTATTTGAATTAATTAATACATCGAACAGATTTAGTTAACAAACAGAAACTTTCCAACAATAATTCCAACTTACTGAACTGACCAAGATCAAGAGAAGAGGAGAGGAGTGTTATTGTTTTTGCCTGCTCCCGCTGGCCCGCTAGTCCCGCTATTGTGGTTTGGCGGGAACGATAGACATTGTCAACAGTGTTTCCACACGACCAAAAAAATAATCCCGCTTACAGGGTCGAAAAAGCCCGTTTTATCCCGCTTTTAAATCGGTGAAAAATCCCGTTTTATCCCGCATGATTTTTTTGGTACAATTTCTAGTATTAAACTTTACGTATCATTTTTATAAGTTGTTTAAACATCACTATTATATTTTGCTACAGTATTTAAACAATTTGAGTTAGTTTTTCTCTAAAATTGAGTAGAAAAAAAAATAAAAATAGTCGTCACAGCCGAAAATCCCGTTTTATCCCGCATCCCGTTTTAATCCCGCTCAAGGTCTAAAATTCCCGTTTTCGGGATAATAATCCCGCGAATGGAAACACTGATTGTCAAAGACTTTTAATATGAGAAAGTAGTCTAACTCTAACATTGACTTTACAAAAATGTGGACTATTTATAATCTATGAAGGTAATACCATAGATAAAACATACGTTGGTTAGTCTATGGTAATACCTTAATACTGAAATTATACAACTTATGTTATAATGCATTTTTTCTTATTTTTTTACGCATTTACGCCTATCACTGAATAATATACCCCAATCAATGAAAACTACAAAAACTTTGATATCCGATTCCATCGTATTATACCAATTATTATCAATCAACAATCAATAGAACAATTGGATTTTTGTTTGGTTATTTTGTATCAAGTCGAAAATTTTATTGTTCTATAATACGACAGGGAAAGAGTTTGTATATCAAAGATTCATCAATATAACCCTTGAAAAAGTATACACATTAAAGCCATGGTGGAAGGACAACCATATCAGCTATCAGCTATATTATCTAGTTATCTAGTTTTTTTTTTGTTTTTTTTACCAGAAGAAATTTAACATGAAACAGTTTTTTTTCTCTCGTATCTACGCCAGTGGCATTTTTGTAGTGAAGTCAAACACTTTTAAGGGAAAGCGGTCCAAACCGATTAAAGTTAGTTAGTTAATATTGTTATTTTCAGTAGCCCACTCAAGTTAAAAACCTTAAAACCCACTTAAAAGTCCTAATGAGCCTCAGTTGGGTTATAATTTTAGCTCAGTGTCAGTTGGCGATATGAGTAAATTAAATCTATGGCCGTATTAAATATTAACATAAAACACTATGGATAAAATCACTGAAAAAAAAACACTGACTTCATTCTCTCTCTACGGTGTCTCGGTGTCTGTCTGCTCTGCTTCTGCTTTCTGCTAAAACTTGTGTCAGAGTCAGAGGTGTGTCAGGTGTTCGGTGACACCGATTCTTACCCTAGTTCGATCGGAATAATTTACAAGTAAATTAACTTATACAAAATGCCGAATATTGTAAATGAAATTAAGTTGGACTTTAAAGATGTGATGCTAAGACCTAAAAGAAGTACCTTGAAAAGTAGAGCTGATGTAAGTATTAATAACTTCTTTTAACTTAATCCTGCCCTAGCTTACACCTACCACCTACCTAGGCCTACTCTGTTAGTTTGTTAACAAATTCACATACGATTTTGCAGGTCAACCTCTACAGAGAAATTACCTTCCGAAACTCAAAACAGACTTACAAGGGAATTCCATTAATTGCATCAAATATGGATACAGTTGGAACTTTTGAAATGGCTAAAGCTTTGGCAAAGGTAAGTGTAAACATTTAAAGTTAAGTACAGTACCATTGACATTCACAAATTTAAGTTCAGGAACTTAACATGTGGTTTTGTCACTGCCCTTAAGCCTCGTTCACACGGGGCGAGTTTACACGCTACTCGCCGGCGTGTAAGAAGCCGGCGAGTTGGCGAGTGTGCTTGTATTCGTTCACACGGAGCTTGTCCACTAGCCAACTCGCCGGCGTGTAGAAAGACGCCGGCGAGTCGGCGAGTGCGCTTGTAGTCGTTCACACGATGCTTTTTCCACTCGCTCAGTAGCTGGCTTGAACCAAATCCTCCACCATCTTTGAATAACACGCGCACAAGCACAATCAACTGTGTTCACACTGTGCTACTTTACACGCCTACTTGCCCAAAAGCTGGCGAGTTGGCGTGTAAAGTAGCGGCAGCGTCAACTTTTTCCAGAGCTTTTTTACAAGCAGCTTTTGAGCGAGTACGTCGTTCACACTGAGCTATTTTACTAGCTGCGTGTAAAAAAGCCGGAGTGTAGCTTGTAAACTCGCCCCGTGTGAACGGGGCTTTAAATAAAAATCCAATGTTTTCAATGCAGTTACATTTTTAACACCTAAGTTAAATCTTGCTAATATTTATAACACAGAGGATACGCGTCCGGTAACCAGACGTGGATTAGGCGTCCGGTAACCAGACGTGGATTAGGCGTCCGGTAGGGGGTCCCGGAACGCCATTACCACAATGATACTTTGTTCAACCATCAGTGTTCGTGGTGTAGTGGATAGAGTGCTCGACTGATATGCGAGAGGTCCCCGGTTCGAAACCCATCGGTGACTTTAACTTTTTGTCACAGATTTTGCTTTGAATGTAATTTCTTCTTAACTGTACATCTTTTGTTAGAATTTTTGGCATTTATAATTTTATGTTATGAAGAGAATTGAACCTTCATTTGATTTTTTTCACTATCAGCAAGTTTGGTTGGTTAGGTTAGGTTATGACAGTAACTGCCGGACGCCTAATCCACGTCCGGTTACCGGACGCGTATCCTCTGCGTATTTATAAAGGTTAATGTTAATGAACAATTTTAATCATACTTATTTAGTAATACGGTTTATTTAATTATTTACTATATTCGATTAAGATAGATTATTTAAATCCCACTCGGAAAACTCAGATTTAAGTCGTGAAAAGCGTAGTCCCATCGCATATTAACGGCTTATTCAATATCGATTTAATCAATATCAGCAATCGCATACCCACCTTAATTTACAAGTAAGGATATGCTAATTTCAGTAATGATCGTGTCAACTCAAAGTTAATAAGCTGTCCCTACTATTCATATACGAATTCTAGGCTACATTATATTTAACCGTCTTGGTCTGCTTGCAGACAGGGACGTCTAATATGTCTCATGGTGTTGGTAGATCCAACTTTTGGCCTAACAAAACCAAATCTATGCCTGCCTAAATCTCTTTTAGCATGGACTGTTTACGACTATGCACAAATATTACTCAGTAGAAGATTGGAAAGATTTTGCGGAAAAGAATCCTGAAGTCTTGCCTCACATAGCTGCTTCATCAGGCACAAGTGAGGCTGACTACGAGCGGCTCACACAAATTCTGGAGGCAGTGCCCGGAATACGCTTTGTTTGTCTCGATGTAGCCAACGGTTACTCTCAGCATTTTGTAGAATATCTGCGGAGAGTGCGAGCAGCCTTTCCTACACATACAATCATGGTAAGCTTACAATCAGTGTAGAAACGTAGCAGATAAGGTTAGTAGGTGAAAGACGTATTATTTTACAATCAATTTATTTAATGAATGACAAAATATTAAATAGGATTAAAAAGGTTTCCACTTCGTCTGAGTAAAAAAATTAAGATTTAAGAAAGTTTCGATGAATCAGACATCTTGGAATTCATTTTATTGTTTTGTAAATTCAATATTAAAATTAAAACATGGGTAAATAAAAATATGCCAAAAACTGACATTCCCAAATCTAGGCTATCACACAAAAGAGAGGTAGGCCTACTCTTCTTGAAGGTTTCTAAATCATATACATACTTGCTCTCTGGTGTAACAAATTACCCCCCATAAAATTATACTCTCAGGTTTTTTTGGGTTGGTAAAAATATAAAGAGACTTTTTTTTTACAAATTGTGTGCACTGATGTTAGTAGGATACTTCATAATTCAAAACACCTACTACAAGTGATAGGAGATATCTTTTATTTTACTACAAAAATTTCAAAATGCCCGAAATTATTTTTGGACCAATCCCTCGGGCCCCCTCCACTTGCAAGCTTATGGGGTAAGACTCTCACTACTGTTTTGAATTTTAATTTTCTCAAAAGGAATTGTTTGGAAAATACCAATGCTGTTCAAGATCGAACCCAACGTAGTTTTCAATATTAGCACCTTTTTTGTAGTAACATTTGTATGACATGTTTGAATTTTAATTTTCTAAAAAAGAATTATAGTTTTAATTTGGAAACTACCAATGCTGTTAAAGATTTAATCCAACATAGTTATCAATATTTGCACACTTGTCCTAGAATGTATGTGTTTAGTACTTTGTTTGCTGTAGGCTGGCAACGTGGTGACGGGTGAGATGGTAGAAGAGTTGATACTGTCTGGCGCAGACATCATCAAGGTGGGCATCGGCCCCGGCTCCGTCTGCACCACTCGGATGAAGACCGGCGTAGGCTACCCACAACTGAGTGCAGTACTAGAATGTGCAGACGCCGCACATGGGCTGCAGGGACATATAATCTCCGTGAGTTGATGTTTGCCCATGTATAAACCTAACTCTTGCTAAAACAATCTTAAGCTAGTGGGCCAGTGGCTCAGTCATATGACTGATTAAAAATACTAAACAACGATGTTGTGATGGAATAGTTAGTTTGATAGTTATTGTTTAACAAACAACATCCTATTTAATTTTGTTTAGTAATTAAATCAATTCTCTGCCTTGTAATGGAGTTCAATAATTGAATTTGAATGTTTATTAAAAAGCATGTTATTTCCATAACAGTTTTAGACTGCAATTGCTAGGTGAACTTAGAAATGAGTATAAAATCTCTCGGCAAGCTGGGCCTCTATGACAAAAAAGTCAAATTGTTACAGAATTACTTGGCAAATATTTGTTTTTACTCAGTGATCAAATACAAGTTGGTTATTTGAAACAATAGAAAACAATATAAAAAACACGCAGAGCGTTGATTCGTTTATCAATGTTTAACAATGATAACCTGGCATCAGATCTAGGTTATCAATAGACCCCCTGACCTTAGACACCCACTGAACGTCTGGCTCTACTACGACATTCCAGCCATGCCCTACTGCTTATGATCCTCTATAATAACATTAGTCTAAACAATTTATGAATTACATTTATTATCAAGGCGCTCATTGTTTGTGATATCAAAGTGGTATGGAAAAATGGTGTAATGAATGTTTAACATTTTTTGCTGGCTCTACTTTTATATCCTAACCTTGGCCTACTGCTTAGTTTATTCCTAGTAGGCCTATATCGGAACTTCAACAACAACATAAGTAAAAAAAAATGTCCTTGCAATGCTCCTGAAGGCGCTAAGTTCTTATTTCTGTGAACTTAGGCTTTTATACATTAGTATGTTGACTTTGGTTTAGTTAAAATTAGCATAGTAGGACATGTAAGAAGAAAGTAGGTAATAAGTTTAGGAGCGTTTTGCGAACCAAATGTTTTTAGAACAGGTAGTGTCACGGTTGTAACGCATGGAGTATGGGCGCTGATAGCACAGTGAACGTGTGATGGAATATCCAATATTAGTGTTTTGATTGGATATAAATTAGTCATGAAAAAAAAAGATTTGTTTGAACATGGTTTTTCAAATAACGGTACATTACTATGAAATACTTTTCAGAAAAAAAATAAGACGATTACATAAAGATTACATAGAAACTTAATTTCAGAGCAAGAAACGTTATAACAGGATGTAAGGCGGTCATAAAAAATTGTTATGTAAAAACATTTGAAAAAAGGCTCTCAGAACAGTGTCATAAATTTTGAAAAATTACTAAAATATGTTTAAAATGAAACGTATTATTGGCTCAATTTAAATTTCTTATCATTTGGAAAGCCTAGATTCTCCTTTCTCATATGAGTGTATCCAAAATTCTTCTTATCATAATTTTCAGGTGTATAGATACAAAACTATCCACGTAACTAAAAGATTTTACATATTCACTCAAAAAATGTAAACCCCGTTATTCTAAAGAGCTATTGATGAATCCTCAGAATGTGGTCAATTTTTACACCCAAGATTTAAAAAGAACTGTCAGTATTGAGTGCTCATATTCACCTTGAATATAGAGGTATTAAAAGACTAGTCCGGATGGTCTACTTGGCCTAGTGCCTACTTGTTAATCTGTGCCAAGTTTATCTCCTAAAGATTAAAGATCACCGCACAACTGTTGATGGTTGTCAGAAATAACAAAATATTTATTTTATATCAACTAATTTTTATGCTTTAGTTCAAAGATGATTTGCGTTGACAAAGTTTTCATGTTAAAACTTTCTTAATGATTTTTTAGAATTTGATTTTCTTTTAGCTCGCTATAATTTTGTTTGTAATATTTTAAACCTTGCTTGACGATCCAAGGCTGGTAGGTATTGTAATGCATTGAATATTGTAATACATACAACACGTTATTGTAATACTTAAAATAGCTACCAAGGAAAATGTAATTTGTTACAGTCATGGAACATTTGATAGTTGTGGTGATAAGAGTTTTCAAACTATCCTCTATTTTTAACGACCAGGAAAGCAAGAGATTTACAGTCAGGCAAATACAATATTTACAGTACAACACTTAAACAATCTAATAATTGTATAATTTTGAAAATGAAACACAATATGCCAGTGGCTTGGATATACTTGTGTGGTCTGCTTCTTGGAGTAGTTTCTGAGAAAATTCTACTGTATATTAAGCAGCAAAAAGTAAAATCCCTATGAATCTTTTCAAAGTTTAGGTTAAAAAATCCTCCTCCTATATATGAAATCACAAATATATATTTATTGAGAGTAGATTATTTTTATTTTTCAAATAACATCTCTGCTAGCAAAGCACTTTAAGCAGGGGTGCCCATCCCCCCCTAGACTCATGACGCACCCCCCCCCCCCCAATTGAGCAACAACCCCTCCCCCCCACCATAAATGAGGTACACAACAAATGAGGAACATTATTCCCCCGCCCAGCACTATTTGTAAAACTAAAAGAAGTTTTAAACATTTTTTTAGATATTGAAAATTCAAACCCAGTTAATCTATATAAATAAAGTTATAATTTTGTCAGTACATTGCTCAGAATCATACATATTTTGGGTTATTTTTACGTTTTATACATTGAAGAAGTTGAAACATGTCTTATCTCAATTTATGTCCGTCTGTCACGGCCCAGAAGGCATTTTACGCAGCCTACTCTAAAGGAAACTATAGTACCGATTATGATTCTAATGGTTCAATTGTATTCACAGGATTGGCGAGAGTGTCCTTTAGCCATTAAAATATGGCCTCACCATTTTGGAAATAAAATAACGGACGATCAAAAACCCAATTTTGTGTGATTTTTCTAGTTTTTTCCTCTGTGTTTACATACGTCATTTATGAAATACTAACAATCTGTTAAGAGAACAGGTCATATATGGATTTAGAAACAGCTGTTTTGATAAAGATTCCTTTTTCTAGCTGTCACTGATGTTGTTTACAATAAATGTTGTTTACGAATACTGTGTAGGCCCTAACCATTTCCGATCACGTTTGTAACCATTTCCGATCACGTTTGTAAGCAAATCCAAAACCAAGTGAGATTAATAACCGTGTGGCTTTAGCTTAAATAACGGGTTTGATCACGGGTGCTAATATGTAACTGTAAATTAAATAACTATAGCTATCATCCAGGTCAGGAACCGGAGATTATGTGTGTATCAAGTTGTACTTGAATTTTGATTACCGGGAAAAGACCATGAATCAGTGTTGTACAGGACTGGAAAACTTATCTTTCTATATAAATAAAGTTAAGAGTTTTATATGTCACCTCAATTTTAGGTTTTTTTTATTGCCAGAATAGATATATAGCGTTCGTAACCTCTGCTTAACGAATAGACAGCGTCTTTCTCTTGATATAACGAATCCCCTATCCCTCCCACATAATCGTTTTGGAAACATCACAGCTCCTTTGATGAAAATGAAATGGAAACATCGCTTGCGCCAACAATCGTCTGCTCCGTTTTACACTCTTCTGTCTGCTGTGCGCTATGTTACAACAGATTTAAGATACAACAGCTGGTGAATGATGACGATATAATGATTAGTAATACTGTGATTGAGTGATTAGTAACCGTGGTAACTTTAGTAAGGCTGTGATTGGACAATAAGTAGGCCTAAATATTTCGACTTGTTGAATTTGTATATGAATTGAAGAGAAACCTAATAAAGAACACAAGAACAAAGAAAATTAATAACAAGATTGTTCTCGTTACATTCTTTTTTAAGAGTGTTTTTATTATCTCTAAATATAATTGTACACTTTTTTATTACTTATCTATCAATTCCTATGCTGTGATACAGCACCTACCGGTAGCCTATCTGTCTATCATGAACAATAGCTTATACTAACACTTTCTAAAGGTTCCTTTAATACGTTATTTATAGAAATGCAGTGTTTGGCTAGTTATTAGTTGAGTTTGAGTTAGCTATAATTTTAAACGTTGCCGTTTGTACAACTGAACTAAGATAAATTAGAAATGTACAATAATAATGTTATTGCACAATAATAATGATTGTGCAATATTGAATTTCGTTTATAAAAATGCAAATCGTGACGTTAATGGCTTTTTACAGCGTTTTAATGTGTTTGTCATCTGTTTTATACTATATTGGATTAACCGTATTTTTTATTACCCCCCCCCTCCCACAGGTAACTCAGGTAATCGAGTATCTACACAATAGTGTCAAGTATTGTAGCCTATACTACTTGATTGTATTTTAACGAGTTTATGTCAACAAAGTGTTCTGTGCTAAGTCGTGGTGTAGCTGGACGTGTCTCTACCACGCTTTATCTTTTATCTTTCACAGCAGTTGAGCCAATCCGTGCCCTCCCTCTTAGATCTCACGTCTTGCTAATCTTGAATAATAACTTCCTACACGAATCAAACTATCCTAAAATCCTATTTTAACTAATTGAATTCAATAATATAACTATTGTCATTAATTAATCGACTTTCTATCTGGCGACTTTGTAATATATTTTTGATTGTCGTCACGTTGAGCACTGTTGCAATTAACTGGCATTAGCCCCCCCCATTTGAATATTTTGCAACCCCCCCCAAGAATTTCAATGACGCAGTCTGCGTCACGGCCCCCCCTTGTGGGCACCCCTGCTTTAAGTTAGTTCATACTTGTAATTTATTTTAATTAGTCAAGCTATTTACCATTGGTATATTTTATTTTATTTGTATTCGTAGTCAATTCAAGCCTTATCTTAGAAATCTTTGATTTTAGAAAAAATGGGTTTACATTTACTTAAAACCCACTTTCTTGTTTAACATGATTATGTGTGCTTGAAAATTAAATTGAAACCAAAAAAGTTTACATTACATTTTTATTCTTCATCACAACATTAAAATGATGTTTAAAAGAAAAATTGTGACAAATAAACTTTATTACTGTAATGGCATTACAACATATTTTGATGATACATACACAGTTGGTTTTCAGTAATGAGATGCTTAATCAGCGCTAACCTAGAAATATTTCCAAACAGGTATTGATGCAATTTGTTCTATAGGAGCTATGCAAGCCAAGCAAATTATATCTAGCTGCGCCAGGCATCAGTTAGGAAATTAATTCTAGCTCAGTGTCCTGCTAAGACACTTTGTATTGTTTTCATAATGAAAAATTACATATTATTATGGAAAAATAATGGATTTAAGAATGTCTAAATTTTAGTGTTTATTAATATATGTTGATACATCGTCTTGTCTGTTGTATATAAGTGATGTTCTGCATGTGTCTATGTGTACACAGCCACAGACTACATATGTGGTCTGATTTGACCAAATTTGGTTTGTAGGGTAGGCCTACTAACTAACCCATAGTTTCACCAGTTTTGTTTATTTTTTGAAAATTTAAAAAACCATAAAATATTAAAATAACGGGAATATCCCTGTCACAGCAAACCTGCAGACTAAGCGGATTTCCATTTGCCTGATTTGATTTTCAATTAAATCGATTTTAAATAACATTAGGTTTAATGAGTATCTAGGTTTGCTGCTACAGGGAGGGTAATAAAATGTGTGTTTTTTTTGTAAAATATTAATAGCCAAGTATAAAATAAATAAATGTGCCAAGTTTGATCAAAATACATCAATAAACAAGCAAACTACCAAAGTTTATTATTCTACATAAAAATAACATGGGAAATTAGATTTAAATTTTTTAGAATTTTCTTTGTAACCAATTAATTGGTACCAAAACACTTCACTTTACTAAATTATTTGTTTTTTCAAGCTCTTCAAAATGGTTTAGAGAAATTGGAATATTTTATGTTTAAGGGTCAGAAATTAGAAAAACCAACTTTTACCCATAAATCCCCCCATATGTGTTTTTGGCCTCTGGGGACATCCAAAAGAAAAAGTAAATCGGTCCCGAGTCCAGGTCTTACCATGAGACCTACGGTAATAGCTTATAAAAATTGTAATAGCCCTATATGGGAAATTCGCTAAAATGGTTTTTCACAAAAACAGATTTAAAAAATTTGATTGGAATTTAGTATGTTCCAATAAAATTATTTAGTTATTAGTAGTCCTTTTAACTCTTAACCAAATGGTATATCACCCAAAACTTGAAAATTACAGTTCAAAAGCTATTACATATCTTGTGATTATACAGACAAAAAATCATTGTTCCATTATCACTCTAATCACTTATAAGTGATTGTGAGAAAGTATGTGTCATACTGTTTGTTACTATTTTTTTAACTACTAAACTTAGGGATAGATATTCTCCCCTCCCCTTGTGTTAATTGATCTTGTCTATGTAGGACGGAGGTTGTACTTGTCCGGGAGATGTAGCCAAGGCGTTCGGCGCAGGTGCCGACTTTGTGATGTTGGGAGGGATGTTGGCCGGACACGACCAGAGTGGAGGAGAGATTAAACACAAACCTGACGGCACTAAGGTCAAGCTGTTCTACGGCATGAGCTCCGATACAGCCATGAAGAAACACGCTGGCGGAGTCGCAGAGTACAGGTACACTGACATACATCTTGATACTTTATGGTCACTGACAGTATTTACATCTAAGAGTGGTTTGAATTAGCGAGAGAGAGAGAGAGAGAAGACTTCAGGTTGAGTTGAATCACCGTTCAGGTCAAAGCTTCGGTGTCAAAACTGCTATTAGTGACGATGAAATATTCTAATTTTTTACAGAGTTTTTACAAAAACGGCTAAATTTAGTATTGTATAGCCCTTTGGATTCCTGACAAATCGGTATGACCCCATTGCTGTTAATATTACTGTCCAAAAGTTACTGCAACTTAATTGATTTTCTCACAAAACCCATGAAACAAAGCAATCAGATACTCAAAAAAATTGATTGACTGATCTTGTTAAAATTTAGATTTTATGACCCTTGTAACTCTTTAACTCCTGATAAAGAGTACAATTCAAAAGTTATTTCAACTTTTGTGATTTACCCATAAATACCGTAGTAACTCCCATCGATCATAAGAGTTGTTGACAAGCTAATGGGAGAAAGTATTAGATTGTTGATCTGGTTTTTTTTGCAGGTCCTCGGAGGGCAAGACTGTGGAGGTGCCTTACAGAGGTGATGTAGAGGTTACTGTGCTAGATATCCTGGGAGGTCTAAGGTCCGCTTGTACCTACACTGGGGCCGCCAAGCTGAAGGAGTTGCCCCGCCGAGCTACGTTCATCCGATGCACTCAACAGCTCAACCCCGTCTACGCTAATCTGTCCGCCAGATAAATCAGCTGTCTCAGCATTCATCTTTCCCGCTGAAGTAGCTCAAATTTTGGCTCATTTAGATTATTTTAAATTATTTCATAGACTTTAGATCTTGGTTGTCCTTGGCCATAGCTTCGCCTGAGGTGCTTATAAAGAGCTTGCATTTATATCGAGTCAGTGCCTATAAGTCGGTAAATGTAGCCACAATGGCTTTCATGTTGACGTTATTTGTTTAAGCATATTTATGATATAAAATATTCCTGCTTATGAGTTTTTAAATATTGTTCTCTAGCATTATATTTTGAGAATTTGATCAAATTTTGTCAAATTTTATGTTGAAAAACAATATCTACATGAACCATTTTACAATTTACTATGTGAAATACTGTGATACTGTAAGATGGTAAGATTTTAAACCATATGACCAAAGAAACAAAAAAACCAGTATATAAAGACATTTTTATTTTATCTGACCTGTACAACACAAACACAAATCGCACAAAGTGTTAGTAATGAGTTGGACAGAGTACAGTTTTATCATTAAATTTACACCATCTTCTAACTAATCCATTTCTTACAAAGCGTAAAGAAAAACTGTTTTTATCATAGAAGAAGTACAAATAGACCACACAACCATTCAAAACCCTGGCTTTAAGCCCTTTCCTTGAACAAAACTATTTTTTCATTACTTTTAAAAGTAATATAATTGAACAAATTTTAATTTTTATACGTTGTAAATATTACAGGTAATGTGGATATTGATGTAAGATCAAATGCGGTGAATTGAAATGAACCCTCTGAACTCAAGAGGTCAATATCCTTGGAACCAAAATATCATTTAAAAAAACTTACTACTTAAAACTTTAAAAAAATACTGAAACAACCTAAAACTATGCCTAGTATGTACTACAACCTGATAGTGAAATTTAGTTCAGAGATTCGGGTTTACCGATGTTAGACTCAAAGTTGACAATTATACCAATTTTTAAGGGTAGAATTACATTACCCATGTGGTTTATTACTTTATTAGTTTATTTATCATGCCTCTGGAAATTATATTGTAAATGTTTTTTATTCTCTTCTTCCATTATTTGACTGTAGTATGTTGCACAAAATATACTAAATGAAAATAACTATTTCCCTATTGGACAATTTGCTAAGAGACTGAAATATTTTCTATGTACTTCATAAAATGAAGAAAAATTACCATTACAATATAAAATGATTTAATATTAAGAAAATTTTGAGGGTACTTTATTTATTTGCTTACATATGAATTGAATTTTGGCACCATGAGTGTCAGTCTAATACTTAATTTATTTTTTTCACAACTATCTGTCGTATCTAGTCAACATTTCCAAAGGAATTTTTTGTGAAAATTTTTCAATCTTCTATTACCTATCTCTAGTCAATTTTGTATAGAAATTATTCATTGTGAAACTTATTTTGATCTTTTTTCTATAATTTATTTTATTCCATTGTGGAATTCTTTGTAAAAGATATACTTTGCATCAATTATTTTGAATATTTTGATATATCTTACTTAAACATATCTTTTCCCTTCACTTGGGATTTTATGACCAAACCACACATCTCAATATGTATCTGCATCACGTAAAATTTCATATTCAAGAGAAAATATAACTTTTTTACCCTACCTGTTGCAGCAAACCTAAGTACTCATTAAACTAATTCTGTTTAAATAGGGAATAAATGTGATATTTTTAAGGAGACAATTTAGTTTAAATCTAATCAGGCAGATGGAAATTCGCTAAGTCTGCAGGTTTGCTGCAGCGGGGGTATTTTCACAACTATCTGTCGTATCTAGTCAACATTTCCAAAGGAATTCGTCGGGCAAATTTTTCAATCTTCTATTACCTATCTCTAGTCAATTTTGTATAGAAATTATTCATTGTGAAACTTATTTTGATCTTTTTTCTATAATTTATTCCATTGTGGAATTCTTTGTAAAAGATGTATTTTGTATCAATTATTTTGAATATTTTGATATATCTTTCTTAAACATATCTTTTTCCTTCACTTATGATTTTATGACCAAACCACACATCTCAATATGTATCTGCATCACGTAAAATTTCATATTCAAGAGAAAATATCTTTTGGCTTGACCTCATAAGGCATGCCTCTGTCCTTTAAATTTATAAAAAAAGTCAGACCTCTTTTGGATTTATTTATTCCACAGTCTTGAGTTGCATGAAAATATTCTGCTACATTTTTAGTTATAAAATCTGCACTTAATGCCTTGTAGGCGTAATATTTTAGAACATTATCTAAAATAGCAAATAGTTAAAATCTTGGAAAATCTAGTGATAGACTAAAGCCATCCTTATCATTATAATTAGGAAATCTTATCGCAATTTGAATTATAAATAATTAGTTACTTAATATTGTAGGTTTGAGCTTGTTGAAGTGGTTTATCCACCTTAAGTAAAATCTCACAATTTTTAGGTTATAATTTTAAACTTTGGACTGCTAAATATGGAAATTGAAAAAGGATTGACGATACATTGTATGTTAAAAGTTATCTCTTATGTATTATGTTATGTTTTGGGATCTATTATGTTGTTATGGTATATTACTTGTTGTCTATTTATTGTACTGGCTGGTTCAGTATGTATTAAACTATGTCTCACTGTTAACAATTTGATAATTAATTACTACCCTTGTAAAAACAGCTGATTTTTAAACAGTGGCATTCCATTGTTAAACGATACAAGCTGCACCTAAAAAGTACATAAATCATCAAGAGTATTTCATCACTAGGGCTTAAAAAGTCATTTTGTCTATTACAATTAATTGTGTTAGTGTATTTGAAGCATACTACCGATATATCAAAATATTGGTAAGGAATGCAGCAATAAGGTACAACCGATGGTATCAATAGATAATTTTGGGACATGCGATTGCTGACGTTTTTTACCTAGGGACTAAAAAGGCAAGACCTGCAACGCATTTATTAAAACAGCTATTTTTGCTGCAGTATCACAAGGATGCTTTTATGTGACTCAGTTACTAATATGCCTACTTTAGTATACTAGACAGGGTACATTCTTCAGTCTCAGAATGGTAAATAGTTGACTTCGCCTTTTCAGACTCCTTGAGACTAAACCTATTCTTGAACAAGTTCAAATCATCAGAAGTAAGTACTAAAGTGAATTTATCACTTTTTAAACCACACTTTATGTGTGCAAAGTTACTTATTTTTTAAAGAATTTCAACAACTATTTAAATGTGGTTTAACTTATTCGTAAATAAAATGTAGCAGACAGCAGAGTTTAACAGTTTTTATCATCACACATCATTTTCGGATGACTAGTTACAGAATGAAATTCTAAAAGGGTTGATATTCGTAAAGATGTAAGGCTCCTGACAACACAAAAAGTCACACCTCTAGACACTAGTGGTATTAAATTAATCCAATGGAAATTATTTGTTGGGGTGACACACAGATAAGAAGGGTTCATGTGCTCACGTGCATCCTGCTCGCCACTCTAATTGACACGATTTATATTGGCAGAGCTATATAATTTCATATCACATAGTTACCTATTAGCTCTTACAATAGACACACTGGAGAGTATTTTTTAATGGTTTTTATAGGGTTTATATGTAAATAGTAGTAACATGACGCAATCTATCCGACATGTCGGTCAACGATGTAGAAGACAAGTATTTCAAGTATAGTATTTTAAGGTGAAGGTGAGTGAAAAATGGATAGGTACATTAATTTAACGTTTGAAAGTTCCAACAAGGTTTTGCAATGGTGAAACCAGTTTTACAATCTTCCCGCTAAAAAAGTTTATCAAATTCTCAATTCAGAATTGAAACCGTTATTTAGCCTAAGAAAATTTAGTTTTAACGATTTACCAGGGGCTCAGGGGCACTCACAAATTGCTAAGGGTAAGGAAAGTAGCGGTTTCAATTACAATAATTTTACACCCAGTTTGTATATGATATTGGTTTATTTGAGGTTTGCTGCTAAGATAAAGAAAAAAATAGTTTAGGCCTAATTAATTAGATATAACTTGATAAAGAACTTGGCTGAATATATATCTAGATAGTCTCAACTCTCAAGCGAAACATAAGTTATTATAGAAGTGTTGAGCTATAAACAAACAATTCTGAATAATTCACATACAAATTGTTTAATTTTCCCTCGATAAACCTAACGAGAGCAAGGGAAACGGTACACTGCGGATTTGTGTTAGCTCTTTCGCGGTAACCAAAAAGTGCAGACTACAGAAGTAGGCTGAAACTAAATAGTTTTGATTTTTAAAATGGCAAAAATCCAAGTTAGGTTGCTAGTTAAACATTATTGGAAGCTTTAGATAGAAATAACCTCTAATTCTTAAGAAATAATTCATTCTAATCGTTGTAGGCTCAGGCTGAGTCGATACTCAGATTCAGAAACACTTTATTCAAGATTTACATTTTACAAATATAAATGCAGAATGGCGTCAATAAATACAATTAATTCTATAAAATATTATCAAAATGCTCACTAAATGAGTAGTAACATTTGCTTATTATAAATATTTTCAATTTCTTTTTAAATGTCTTAATATTATTAATTTCCATTATATCTTTAGGCAGAGAATAAAAAAACCTAGTACCTGCAGCGGTGGGTTTTTTATTATAAAACTCTAAATTATGCCTCTGGATGGCTGGGTAGTTCCGATGCCGAGTATTATAATTATGTGTCATTCCCAATTTCGGAAGTGTGTATGTGTATTCATTTCACTTTTTAGGTTAATTATAGTTTTATAAATATATAATCCATACACTGTAAAGATATTTAATTTAGCAAAATAATGTTTTGCCGATTGGTTTTCTCCTAAGTTTAACATGATACGTATCGTATGGCTCTCTTTTGTAAAATTAATATACTATCTAAATTTTGAATTGTTGTTGCACCATATAATTCAATGCCGAATGCAATATGTGAGTTTATGTGAGCATAGTAAACCTTCAGTAAAACATTCAACGAGCAGAGTTTAGACAAGTTGTGCAGCATAGACCTGAACCAAGTAATTGTTATCAATTTTTAAATGAGGTTTTAAAGGTTTTTTTTTTGGCAGTTGGAAAATTTATGTAATTTGGTTTTCTCTGAGTTACTAGAGACAATATGGACAAAAATCACTAATCAGCACGAATACTTGAACAGAACCGGTATGGATCATAAACATAATCAAATAATTACGTTTTTGGCCCGAAAATTAACATAGTTTAACATTATTGATTAGATGGAACTGTCTAGACCATTTTAGCGAATTTCCCTATAGGGAAGTAGCTATTACCGTAGGTGGCACGGTAAGACCTAGACCCGGGACCGATTTACTTTTTCATTTTGATGTCCCCAGAGGCCAAAAACACTATTCGTTCAAATTTTTATATATGTATATATATATATATATATATATAGACATATATATATATATATATACGTCCGTGAACGCGATAACTTGAGTAATTTTTGTCCGATTTTGATGAAATTTGGTTTAAAGGTGTAAAGCGGGATAAACTTGAATGAGTTCGCGAACCAGCATGATCGGACCATGGGAACGGGGCTTTACGGGGGGTTTTATGGGGTAAAAATTGGTTTTTCTCACTTTTGACCCTCAAAACACAAAATTTCCCAATTTCTCTTTAGACCTTTTTAAAGAGCTTAAAAAAACAAATAATTTAGTAGGATGAAAGTATTTTTGTTCGATTATTAGTAACGGAGAAAATTAAAAAAATTGTAAATTTAAAATTCCCATGTTATTCTTATGGAGAATATTGTCAAATGTTGTAGTTTGCTTGTTTATGAATATATTTTGATCAAACTTGGCAAATTTATTTATTTTCTACTAAGCTATCAATATTTTACTCAAAAACACACTTTATTAGTTTCTTTGTAGCAGCAAACCTAGGTACTCGTTAAACCTAATGTTATTAAAATATATTTAACTGAAAATCAATTCAGACAAATGGAAATTCGCTTATTCGGCAGGTTTGCTGCGGCGGGGATATTTTTATGTTAATGCAATGATTAGTATTGGATTCGGGCCAAAAACGTAATTTATGTTTATTATTTTTAATAAGAATTTATTTTACAATCTGTTTATAAGAATTAGGGCCTACTTATATAACAATAAGTAAAATATTGAATGAAATGTTGAATTCGAATTAATAAATTACTATTTTCGGCTTAAAAATTACCCTTCACTAGTCACTACGGAACAATCAACTCCTCAAGGTTAATAAACCAAGAGCAGATAGTGGCAACACTGACTTGAGGAATCATCAATGAATCACTTTCCACCAATAGCAGCCCAGTTCTAGAACAATCTCGACGTTTCTCGGCCAATCGGCGAGCGTTTCTAGAACCGGCGCGGCGCGGCGCGTGGAACAGCTGAGAAGTTTCTAGATAGCAACAGCTGGCCATTAAAATACCGAGCGCGCGCGACCAGCGACAGTGACAGTTTGAATTGAGACAGCAACTAGTATACACAGTGCGAATTGTGTACGTTGAGTTATCGTGACATTCTAGTGAACTGAATTTGTTGTGACTATTTGTGCTACTGATATTTTAGTGACGTATTAGTAATCTAAAGAGTTGAATATTGTGACTTTTTGTGCTAAGATGCCAGTGAAAATGCCAGCTATTGGAATCGACCTGGGTACGACCTACTCCTGTGTGGGTGTATGGCAGCAGGGGAAGGTGGAGATCATCGCCAACGACCAGGGCAACAGGACGACTCCCAGCTACGTCGCCTTCACAGACACAGAGAGGCTGATTGGAGATGCTGCCAAGAACCAGGTAGCTATGAACCCCCAGAACACAGTGTTTGACGCCAAGCGGTTGATAGGTAGGAAGTTCGACGACCCCAAGATCCAGGATGATATGAAGCATTGGCCCTTCAGAGTCGTCAGTGACTGCGGTAAGCCAAAAATCCAAGTTGAATATAAAGGAGAGGTTAAGAAATTTGCACCAGAAGAAATCAGTTCAATGGTTTTAACCAAGATGAAAGAAACTGCAGAAGCTTTTCTAGGTGGAACCGTCAGGGATGCAGTAATAACAGTACCTGCTTATTTTAACGATTCTCAGAGACAAGCCACAAAAGATGCTGGAGCTATTGCTGGTCTAAATGTGCTTAGGATTATCAACGAGCCTACTGCAGCTGCTTTGGCTTACGGATTAGACAAGAACTTGAAAGGGGAGAGAAATGTTTTGATTTTCGACCTTGGAGGTGGAACCTTTGATGTGTCTATTCTCACCATCGATGAGGGTTCCCTGTTTGAAGTGAGGGCGACAGCAGGTGATACTCACTTGGGAGGAGAGGACTTCGACAACCGATTGGTCAACCATCTGGCTGAAGAGTTCAAGAGGAAGTATAAGAAAGATCTACGTTCTAATCCAAGAGCCACTCGAAGACTACGGACAGCTGCAGAGCGAGCAAAGAGGACCCTGTCTTCCAGCACAGAAGCAAGTATTGAAATCGACGCTTTGTATGAAGGGATCGATTTCTACACCAAAGTGTCTCGAGCAAGATTTGAAGAACTTTGTGCTGATTTGTTCAGGGCGACATTAAATCCTGTAGAAAAAGCTCTTAATGATGCAAAATTGGACAAGTCTGCGATTCATGATGTGGTATTAGTTGGAGGATCAACAAGAATTCCCAAAATCCAGAACATGCTGCAAAACTTCTTCTCGGGCAAATCTTTGAACCTCTCTATCAACCCAGATGAAGCGGTAGCCTACGGTGCTGCAGTCCAAGCTGCAATATTGTCTGGAGACCAGAGTTCAGCCATCCAGGACGTGTTGTTGGTTGACGTTACACCACTCTCCCTGGGAATAGAGACAGCTGGAGGAGTTATGGCCAAAATAATCGAGAGGAATGCACGAATACCTTGCAAACAATCCCAAACCTTCACCACCTACTCGGACAACCAGCCGGCCGTCACCATCCAAGTGTTTGAGGGAGAACGAGCCATGACCAAAGACAACAACCTTCTCGGCACCTTCGACCTCACAGGCATCCCTCCTGCGCCTCGCGGAGTACCGAAGATAGACGTCACATTCGATCTGGACGCAAACGGTATCCTCAATGTCTCCGCCAAAGACACCAGTTCTGGGAAGTCCAAGAATATCACCATCCAAAACAACAAAGGTCGCCTATCAAAAGAGGAGATTGACAGGATGGTTTCTGAGGCAGAGAAATACAAGGAGGAAGACGATAAACAAAGAGAGCGTATCTCGGCGAGGAATCAGCTGGAAGCCTACGTCTTCAACGTGAAACAGGCTGTGGATGAGGCTGGCGACAAGCTGAGTGAGAGTGACAAGTCGTCAGTGAAGAGTGAATGTGACGAGACTCTGCGATGGCTGGACAACAACACGTTAGCTGAGAAGGAGGAGGTCGAACATCGGCTGCAGCAGATACAGAAGCAATGTTCTCCGATCATGGCCAAGTTGCATGGTGCAGGACAGCAAGGTACTCAGGGTCAACATGGCAGCAAGACAGGACAGGGACCAACCATTGAAGAAGTTGATTAAATCAATAATTTGTAGGTAAAAGATCAATTTTATAATTTTGTTCCTATTGTAAATACGTTTGAAGATGTAAATACAAATCCTGTAATTATTTATGTAGGTACATAATCCTATTTATTTTTTGGACATTTTGTAAGTTGACGTATATACAATAAAGATATTTTTATTTATAAATTGTATATATTATTTACCTTTCTCCTTTCACCTAGTCTCTCTTTATCATTGATTATTAATTTTTAATTTAATATCCTAAGTTAAAAACATTCATAATACATTTCAAAATGAAGAGGTAGGCTAGTGTAATTCTTTGTTAAATGATTTTCATTTTGTAACAAACATAATTCTCTAAGCTTATAGACTAAATAGACCATTATGGAAAGATGGGTCTTTGTCTGTAGTAAGTTTTACTACACAGTGAAAGTGTAAATATCTTAGTATTGCATCAAAACTGACATAAATAAATATCAACTAGTTAAAGTACTGCAAAACTCAAAAATATAAAAAAAATTAAGAGTATATTGAAATTGACCTTATAGTATTTTATATATGTTTACGTGAATTGTTGTGTCCAATATTTTTGCTGAATACTTTAAGAGGTTCACTAGAAAGAACATAATTTTTTAAATCTTATGTCAAAATCCAATGATTGTTATTAAAATGCAACTACTGATGGAATCGTTAAGAAGTCACCCAAGTGACAATATAAAGATAAAAACATGACACATTTAATTAAAAACTGGTTACTTTAGGCCTTTTAATTAGATCAACAATTAACTTTATTATATAAGAAACAGTAAATACTTTTTCTTTATACTTGAATCGGTACTTATATTCCCAAGGATTCATTTTAACCTGTAAGGTGTGGTATCGTTGCATTGTCTTGGAAACATCCATATAAAAATATACATTTTTCACCTCAAAACCAAAATATCTGTTTCTCTTGCTATGAACACCTAACTTACTTTGTAATTTATGTTGGGAAACCTGTTTGCAGTAAACTTAAGGGAAGGGTGGCTTTTACCTGATGATGTGTTTCTGGAGACATTTGACTATTTTTAAGTTCTTGACTCCTTGGATGAGGCTCAAGAATCTTCACAAAAACTCCGAGATCCGACCATTACCTTTTCATTGCTCCAGTTAGTCCACATAGTATTTTATTCAATAAAATTATCTTCATGAAAGGTTGAGGGACCCCTTCCTTGTAAGTGACAAACAGTCGTTTTCAGGGCACTTTTAACTCCGATACGCTGGGACTTCTCTGATAGTAGAATGAAAATGATTCTAATAGATACCTTGAGTTGTAAGGATATGTAATTTTGTACAGTATAGAGAAGGGGGGAGGAGGGAAAATGTGAAAATTGAAGAAGTGTCTTCAAATTTCAATCTTAAATTATAAGTCACAACAAGGAACACATAAACCCAATTTTAGTAGGACAGAACAAGGCCACACTAAAAAAACAGGCCGTAATGCTCGTCTAGCATGACGTCACGATAGAAGACGGCAATGACGTTATTTTGCCGTTTGTGATCAGCTGCTTGTTTTAATCTTTCATTGGAAAATAAATAAATAAGTACTTGTACGTCATAGCCGTCTTCTATCGTGACGTCATGCTTGGCGAGCATTACGGCCTGTTTTTTTAGTGTGGCCTTGGACAGAAGGTACAACAGTTACTAACAAATTTGAAACTAACCATCCCATTGTGGTATTCTGGTTTTGAAATAACACATCTGATATGAATAACAATAACATTTTATTTTCAATATCCCAACAAACAAGCATGCACAAATAAACCTTGCCCAAGCTAAAACAATACTACAATATAGTTTGTACCACGTTATTATGAACTAAACTCAAAACAAAAATCTAATGAACATTTTTGACATCAGTTCAAAAAAACAAGAACAAACCACCACGGCATTTATTACATCAAGTAAGTAAATTTAATATTTTCCCAACAAATCTTACTTTAAATTTGATACTAAACTGTTGGAATGTCAAATTTTTAAAAACTTTTACATCCATGAAAATGGCATAATCTATTATTTTAATAGAAACCGAAACATCTACGACAAACAAGATAAATAAGGTGATTCTTTTTAATATGATAATGATGTATGTATTAACAAAAGCAAAAGCACAGTTTGTGTACACCTAAATACAGAAATCAATGATAACACTTGGACTAGAATTTCTACATTACCCTGTAATGAAAATTAGACAGAACTGAAAACATAGGTGCACCTTTAACCCCTAGAGTCTTTCTTTGGCTAGGGGTTGGATTTTTAGTATCCCAAAAGCTTTTTTGAGCCTTTGATTGGATTTCAGTCCTAAAATATAGGTCGTACAAATATGTTGACATACATTCTTTCAATGTATTTTCTGTTGCAGTTTTATTACTTACTATAATTTTTATTTTTATTATATGTAGCCAGGCTATACATTTTTGTCAAAATAATTAGGTTTTGGCTCTGTTTTTTTTCTAGTCAAAATCCTGCCTACTCCGCACACAACAGGCTCAAGGTAACAAAAGGTAAATGCAACAGATTTCTGTTCAAATGCTTTGGTATTTTTCTCTAGCAAGGCAAACTTTGGTACTTTAGTTTAAAATATTAGATATAAAATAAACACACATTTATGGCACCGGTATCATAATTACTAAGTAGTTCGCTAACAGTTACATGTAAAGGAATGTTACGTAGGATATAAAAATAGAAGACATTACAAATACACGAGATGGATAAAATAAGGATTCTTTAAAAGCAATAATATAAATAAGCTGAAAATAACAACATCAAAAGAAGCTGTACGACTTTCATTATTTGTATCGTCTAATCAAATCATCTGGATACATTGTGCAATCGTTCGACACACGATTATAAAATACGGTGGATGATTTCAGTCAACAGTGATATCAAAGTACAGTTTGTTCAACGTGAATTTGTATAGATCATAACAATTAGTTATTCACAATATAGTAACCTCAAGACTAGATATCATATGAAATAGGAAAGCAATAGTTTTTTTTTTTGCTTTGCAAATAACAGAAAACAAATTACAGTAGAATCCTGCTAATACAAATTAGGTTGGAAGGTGGAATTTGGTCCTGTATATTAATTAACTTATTAAGCGCCTTTGAGGCCTCTATGTCTAGAATTAAATACAATTAAAGGTAAGAAATTAAAAATATTCTAATTCAGTGCAATGTAGTGTGGCAATAACTATGAAAGGTAAAATCAATTCGATATGATGGGTATTTTGAGAATATTAGCGGATTTTCTGTACTTTATGTGCTTACAGGTCTAGTAAAATTTGTTTTCAAAAATTGTTCTGCTTTAGTATTAGCAGGATTCTACTTGTATGTTACGGACTAAAAAGCTATAACAGATTTGTATTCAACGACAATATTAAGTATTTCGTATTTCTTTGGTCTCTAAAACACTCTTTGAGCTTTAACATGAAAAATACTTAGGCACTACAGCAACCCATTTGTTAAGAGGCACCTTGGAAACCGTTGGGATTTTTCGCCTGCCATCTCCACATATCTTCACCTGGAAATTACATCAGCATCAATTCACACAAGTTGCTATCCAAATCCAAATAGATCATAAATATAAAAGAAAATTGACTCAAACATTCCTTTATATAATCATAAAGTGTTTCAGTACGAGTCTTGTCTTTTTTGGATGACACTGACAATATATTCCTTCAACAATATACACATATTGTAATAGACATCGTCAAACTTAACTAGCAAATAAAAAATAAGGCAAAAAATATTTGTTCTGTCAAAAGACACATATAATATATAAATAAATGTCACAAAAATATATCTAATCCGTCTACAATAAGGCCATATCAACTAGGCAACAAAAACTCACATTTCATATATTCATGTATGTCATAAAAAGGATTTTTACTAGCCAGGAATACAATACATTTTCAAATTTTCTTTCTGATAAATTCAACCAGGCTTTTGGTAACTTGTTTCATATTAACTTGTTGATAATTTTTCTTGAAAGTTTCTTTATTATTTGAACTTAATTTATAATTTTGTAGTCTTTTCAGTTTTATAACGATAGATGTTGACAGATTCTATTTAAATTGGTCATAGTTAAATGGGCCACTGACATAATGTGCTGCTGTCAAAGTTTGATTTTTCCTTCGGTTTTTGATAAAAAGATATTTGATGTAAAAAAGTGTTTGGTTAAAAATAAGTTGATCATATCAAATTGCTTTGGAGAAAAAGTTTGTGTATTTATGCAGTAACACAAATTAGTGACTGACATCAACGCAATCTGTCGGTAACTCAACTCATCTACATTAATATTTATACAAAAATCCTAAAATTTATACAAGATCCTAAAATTTCATTCCACTGTTCACCCAAATGAAGGTATGTGCATTTTAAAAAGATAGTATATACTCACACATCTCTTTCAAAGACTTTTCCGCTTTCCAGTTAAGTTCCTTGGAGGCCAGACTTGCGTCACAATATGACTCAGCAATGTCACCTTCACGTCGACCGACCACCTTGTACTTGACATCTCTGCCACTCGCTGTCTTGAACGCTTCAATCACCTGCCAAACAGCGAGTGAAAGTTGAGGAAAGTTATCGAATCAGCAAATTGCATTTAGCGGCTTGTTTTGGCACAAAAGTGGTACTATCAGGATCAGGCTGTAATTGGACATATCCTTGTCATCTGTTAAAGAACGTTGTTCTAACACCGAAAATGTATATGGATGTACACGTACACACTCATGAATACGCATCAATGTACTTTTTATGTTGTTTGAACAAATTATCTTCAGCAAAATATGACTAAGGTAAAGACATGCTCAAGTCTAGCCTGAAAATAGCACAAAATGACAAAGCTCGTCACTAAAAGTAATCTGTGGATTGCCTAAAGGAGGTATTTACATAATTTCAACTGAAAATATGTATAGGCTCATAGCTAACTGAAGCGGAAGGCTGTAATTGATACACTTTGACTACAAAGCTACATCTCACCTCCAACACAGAGTGGCCGGAGCCGGTGCCGAGGTTGTAGGTTTTGAACCCCTTCATCGTTGTGTCTCGGAGCTTTTCTATGGCACAAATATGGCCGGACACTAGGTCCATGATGTGGATGTAGTCTCTCACACCTACGGAATAAATATTTTTACTGATGCTACATTGTCGAGAATCTATTACTAATTCATTTGCAACCGAAATAAAGGCTGTCGGTTTTTTTATACTTCATTTAAATTTTTGGTTGTTGTAATGTATTGAGATTCCTGAACTGGAAACAACATGTACACAGGGTCAAGGTTATTTAGTATAAGTGTTTTGTCACTATTAAACACAACTTCTTGTCACCTTAATACAACTTCTTGATCAGCATCGTACATGTTATTAAAAAATACAAATATACCTGAAAAAAAAATTTGTCAAAAACGTTTGCAATAATATAATATTATATTTACACTTCTCTGTAATCTCTTTGGTCTGTTGACTCACAAGACGGTAAATACATGTAAAAGATGGTAAGTGGTGATCTGTTTCGATTGGACTCTCCAATCATCATCAGACCCAATAAGCGAAAGACTGGAAGAGTTAGGAAGAGAGGTCTCGCCTTGTGCGTCATTCAACCTTAAATATGGAGGGATATACAGTGAAACATGTTTAATTCAAACTACATTACTGTCAAAACCACTTAGATTCAATTTTACTTTGCCCTTACAATTACCATATTATAGTGTCTAAATAACGTGGTTAATTTGAATAAAATTTTGGATTATTCACATGGCTCAAACAATAATATGACAACTAGGGTTGGCAAGACCACAAATAGCATGCACCGTTGGCCTAAAACTGATCACCACACAGTCAAGGTCATTGCCTTCTACCGCTACTCCCTCACCACACTTAATTTCAGCTACGCTATTTGGACATTGGTCGGTCTCCACTAGCAGCCTCAAAGCCCTTTCATTAGCTGCCAAGCCAAGCCAACCCTTTTACTAGAGTTATGTGGATCAGGGATAAGTTGGTTAATCGTAAGCCTTTGCACATCGTCAAAATCTGTCGTATCACTGTTTTCAATATCAAGTTTTTAAGTGTAAGTTCATACATTGTTTACGCTTGTATCAAGCAGCATCGAAGGCAAACCAAAGCTATTATATGAGTATACTGCTTTACCAGTGCCGTCGCGAGTGTTGTAGTCATTCCCGTAGACCAGCAGCTCAGCCCGCCGCCCGACGGCTACTTGCGCGATGTACGGCATCAGGTTGTTGGGTTGTCCTGCTGGGTCCTCGCCGATATCTCCACTCGGATGTGCTCCCACTGGGTTGAAATATCGTAGACTGATAACTCTGAAGCCCTGCCAAACAGTAAAACATCTCGGTACAGATGGAATTTTCACAGTCCGAATCAGAAGAAAGCGCCTCAGTCCCTTCACTTCTTCACTTCTATCTATTGGCAAGAGATTCAAGTCAATATTACAAATTAATTAATCTATAGTATTATGTAAACATTAAACTGAATAAATCCGATTGTTAACTAAACATTTTGCTTCGTTTATCAAGTAAAAAAAAATATGAAACCCAGATATTGAAAAAATTCATAAATAAATCTGTTTATGTTCACAATTCCAACAACTAAAGTTCAGCTGATCCGAGTAACAGAAAAAGAGAGGAAGAGAGGGGGAAACGGTACAGAATGTATGTTAGTAAGCAGCAACAGCCAATTTAATTATATTGTAACTTAAATAAATAAAATTAATATTAATTAGAAGTACAATTCACTTTCATTGAAAGCCTTTAGAAGCATTAACGCAACAAATTTTCTCACATATTTACAACGATTAACATTACGTACGTATTTAACCCTCCGAGTGTCACTCGTCGAAAAATCGACGTGCGACACACTTTGTGTAGTGTCACGCGTCGATTTTTCGACGCGCGAACATCGTTTACGGCGAAGGCTCTATGACTGACTGAATCGGATTGAACTGGATCGAGTTAGGTATCGTTCTTCTCGTTATATTCTAAGCTTTCTCCAGAGGTCTGTCTCAGCGCTGTATGTTCTCCGAGCCGATCATAATTGTAGCAGACAGCTGACGTGCGTATTTGTAAATAGCTAGGTTACCCTCGGACCGATGACTGATGTGTTTTATTACGTTTATCATTGTTTTAGTGTTAAAAATCAAAAGTAGTGATATACGTGGTGCATTATAAGAAGATTTAAGTGATTTTGAAGGGCTGGTTGATGATCCTGAAGAAGTAGGTAGTGATATTGATGTAAATTATCAGCCAGATTCCTAGCTATGGTTAGGCTATGCATTCTTAGCTAAACGCTATGTACTGAAATCTGTTTTTTGCCCATAACTTATTTATTTGCAAATCTACTTCCTTATATTATTATATATTTGTAATCCTCATAAAATTTAGAACAAAGTGGCTATTTTCAAATATTTATAGGCCTATAATTTATCCAATTTCATTGAGCGCAAACTTATTTTTTTTTTGAAAATTTTCTAAAATATTTTTTTTTACCTAAACATTTTTTTTCAAACAAATGTTCCTTATGTTTTATGTATAATATTGAAGCCCATGATTTTCCAAACAAAATGGTATATAGAACAGTAGAATTAACATTGTTTTAAGCTTCTCAGATCGGTTTTAATAAAACCTTGCAAATGCGCCAAAAATAGGCGGACATTAAGGCCTAAACTATGGACACTCGGAGGGTTAAATGTTTAGATCATTACATAGGACTATGAGGCTTAGTATTTTTCACAAAATCTTACCTCTGTCTGTAGTCCAAACTTTCCATTAAAAGGGGGCTGAAAAAGTTTTGTTACAAGTGCAACAATGTAAAATTGTTTTAAACATAAATATGATGGCACTATCTTTGTTTGTTTAGTTTTACGTCCGTGCTGTGTGTGGTGTTTTATGTACCTATATATTTATTTTCATGTTTTGAGGTGTTGCACGCTTTGACAAATTTGCCCTTGCAACAAAACTAGTCAGTAACTTTTTAATGGAAATGTTGGACTACAGACCAAGGTAAAATGTCTGTTTTGTCATGTAATGAGTCTAAGGGATATAATATAGATTACTAGTATGTTTAATGAGCGTACTTACATTGTCAGCCAAACAGACATCTTTCAGGATTTCCTCCACAAAATACTTTGACTTTCCATAAGGGTTTGTACAACCCTGACCCGTTGGATGATCCTCCGTTAGAGGCAGAAACTGTGGGTTGCCGTAGACAGTAGAGGAAGACGAATAGACAAAGTTTTTTACTCCGTTCTCTATCATAACCTGAAATAAAGTTTGATTTTGTAAACTTGATCGATAACATATGTATAAGGTGAAAAAAAATCAACCTAAGCCTAAATTTTTTTATTTTCTTCTGACTCCTAGCGAGCCGTCCCCCTGAGAGGGTAGGCCTATTGTATCACTGAATAATGTTTTAATATTATTTTATTTAATGTTCAGTAACTTGGTACCAAGTCTTGTAGCTCAATTTTTTTTACTTTTTGAAATATTAAACTGTCCCAGAACTTTTTTCACCCTGTATATGTGTCTCTAAGCACGATAACTAGAGTAAAACTCATCTGATTCCAATTTCGATTAAATTTTGTACAAAAATATTAACCTAGATTTATTAAAATAAATTTGCAAACCAGCATGATAGGACCATGGGAATGGGGTATTGTACGGTTTTATGGGGTGAAAATTGGTTTTCCCATTTTTCACCCTCAAAGTATCAGATTTTGGAATTTCTTTCAAAACCAATTTTAGAGCTTAAAAAATAGTAATTTAGTAAGTTATATGTAAAGCATCATTATACGTCTAATGGTCACGGGGAAAATTCCAAAAAAATTTTAAATTTACAATTCTTATGTTTATCTCATGGAAAATAAGTTAACTATTGTAGTTTGCTTGTTAATGGATACATTTTGATAAAACTTGGTAAACTTATTTATTTCATACAAAACTATTAACATTTTTAAACCCCCACTTTGTGGCATTCTTTGTAGCAGCAAACCTAGTACTCAACCTAGTGTTAATTAAATGGGGAATAAATAAAGCATGTTTAAGGAATATTTCAGAAAATAAAATCAGGCAAATGGAAATTTGCTTTGCAGGTTTGCTGCGCCAGGGGTAATTTGAAACCTTGTGGTCTATTGAAGACTCGACAGCTGCTAATAGCCTAGACAGTACTCCGGGAAAATATGATATTTAAATCACGTTTTTTTCAACAAAATGTTTTAGTAAAATCATTGACTATTGGATACTGAAGTAGACGACAATATGAACCAGCTGTCGCCAATTTTTTATTTAAAAAAATAACGTCGTTGTGTGACCCAATCCTAAGATTCTATTTTCTACCTTTTTTTTACTGACCAAGTTGATGATTTCATTAGTTTGACTTGGTAAAAACGTTCTTGTATTCGACAGAAATTAGTAATATAGATCAGCACAATCTGTCGGTGGCTCACATCAACTATCAACTACAACAATTTTGAAAAATCTAACGACAAATTTAACATGGGAATAGAATGTCTAGTTATATCAATAGTCAAAGGTAAAATTAAAGATTTTATTCAGCCGTTTGGCAGGTGAAGTTGATATCTGATACTATACGCTAATAACATATCACAAATCTTTTAGCTTAAGACAGTTAAAAAATAAAAAAAAAAAAAAAACTGTTATTACCTCAAGTAATGTGATTGAGCCGGTAATGTTGTTGCTGTAATACAGCAAAGGCTTCTGGCACGACTCTCCCACTGCCTTCAGGGCAGCAAAGTGAATCACGCAGAATACACTGTGCTGCGAACATTATAATAATTCAGAACTTATAAGGTACTATTTGAGTTTACATTTGGTCTACGATTCTAGACAAAGAAACAGAACCCACTAAAGTTCTAAATCAAGTTTAATGTCATGTTAACACTCAAGGTTAAGTCGATAACTGTACTTAAGGTTACGTGAAAAAGTCCTCAATTTTTCTGTTATCTTAAAAATATGATTAATTTGAGATCTGAAAAAGTTGTATTTGATTTGTAATTTATAATTGATCAAACATTAATTTAAGTTTATTATGCTATTATCATTATCCAGCTTTATGTGAAATGAAACTAATAAATTGTGTATTCTTCCAAATTATGTCTTAAGCCTTGTTTGTACCGGAGTTTACAATATTTGTGTTAAAAAAGTTTTGAATCCCAGAAATGCTAGTTTTGTCAAAAGGTTTTTAATAGTTTTTCAGTGGACTTAATTTAACGTTTTTTCTACAAGAACACTTGGTTAACACTGGAGTTAACAACAAAGTGTTTTAAGTTTAAAGCCACGTTTACACTAAATAAACAGGCCGTAATGCTCCTCTGGCCATGTTGTTATCGTAGGCAACGGCAATGACAAATGTTTGCTGGTTTTTTTTTGTTTTTTTCCAATATTTTTGTTTTCCAAGAAAAGATTACAACAAGCAGCTGATCACAAATGGCAAACATTATGTCATTGACGTCGCCTATGATGACGTCATGCCAGCATTGAGGCCTGTTTATTTAGTGTTGCCTTGGAACAAATTGTCAAAGACTTTAGTTGTAACTGTTGTAATTATAGCTGACAGCAAGATTTTAAAATGTTTTGTTTAAAACTCCAGTGTTAACATGTGTTATTACCATGTGTTGTCAACAATTTGAGCCTCAAATGTTTACAATACTCAGAGAGCATTTGTCGACTTCTTTTGGAAAACAAAATTCCTGTTGTAAGCACTGAAAAACTGTTGACAAAATCTAAGTAATGTCGTGTAGACACGGCTTAAAGATTATACTTTTACTGTTTATAATTTCCGATGAAATGGCGAACCATACAAAGTAGGTATTTTAAGCCAAGTATGAACGGAGGTTATTAGGCTTCGAAGTTATTTTTATTGTTAGCTTGAAAAAATTGACTACAACATATATCATAAATTATTTTCACTAATCAAACAGTTGATTGATGCAGTAGTATATATTATTACAAATACCAACAGTGGTAATTTCCTGTGAACAAAGTTCATAGAAGCCGAGAAAATTGGAAGTCTAATTGAGAAATAATTGACATGAAAACGAGGTAATTGTAAGAAAAACGTAGCAAGTGCCAGAAAAACACTTTGAACACATAAGTGACAACTTTTCAGCTTGATACAAAAAAACGCCCACACAATATCAGGCCTGAGTAAGATTAAAACTGAAAAAACCTTATTTTATTAAATATGTTTTAAGGAAACAAAATGTACATAAAGTGCAAATTGAAAAATAATTTAGTGTAATAGAAAAGTTAATTACAAGCAAGGGAAAATCTGCTAATTTATTCCCATTACTAAGTTTTAGGGAAACGATAATGTTCTTCGAGATCGGCAGTCATAGAAAACAGCTACTTTCTATACCATGTAATGGAAATACCTTTTTGAAGACTTTTGATAAAGCTCCTCTATCGCTGAGGTCCAAGTTGTAGAATGTGACTTTTCTCCCTGCCAGTTTCTCTACCCTCCTGAGGCATTCTGGGAGTTCTGAGCTCAGGGCTGTGACAACAATTAATTAGTATAACTAGAAAAAATATCTTTAAATCAGTTGGCATCAAATAAAATACCCCTGCCACAGCAAACCTAAAGACTAAGCGAATTTCCATTTGCCTGGCTGGATTGCTACTAAAATGTGAAGGTAATTTCTATGAAACACTACTCCTCCGTTAATAATGGACGGATTTGTACAAACGATGTGTCAAAATTAAGTATTTTTTGTGTAGACATCACCATAATCTTTCACCAATTCCTGTACAGTAATAAAAGTTCCTCGGGCTTTGCCCCACGGGCCATAAAAATCCCAATTTATTTCTTATAAAGTAAATTTACTAACCCAGCTGTTTAATAAATCTTACTTCAGTCATGGAATTTGTCAAGTATCAAGATATTTTGCGTCATGTGTGCATATTGTTAGTATAGTATAAACAAACAACACATGGTCTAATATAAAGCAAGTATTTGGTTGGATACGAATAAATATCAGAATTATCAATAAGTACGATTGAGCTTTGCCTTTATGTTTCCTGGTAACTGTGTTGTAACTGTTTTTTATAGTAGATTTAAAAAAACCAAATTATTCTTTTCTGCATTCTCACCCCGTAGCGAAGCACGGGCAGAACAACTAGTTCCCTTAATTGTCAGATCTATTTCCCATTTAAATAACATTAGTTGAGTACTTAGTTTACTACTTCAGGGAAGGTAAATAAGAGGTGCGTTTTTTTTATTGAAATGTTGATAGCTAAGCGTGAAATAAACAAAATTGCCAGGACAAGGTCCACCACGACTCCACCCAACTCGATCAATTGCCAAATTTGATTTAAATATATCTATAGACAAGCAAACTACAACAGTTTATTTCTTCTCCGTAAGAATAACATGGGAATTTTAAATTTCAAATTTTTCGAATTATCTTTGTAACCATTAGCATCCAATAGTCAATGCCGTTAGGTGGTGCGTTCGTGGTGGTTTGAACAATGCTTCAATATACCAAATTATTTTTGTTTTAAGCTCTACAAAATTGGTTGGAAAAAAATGGGAAATTTTGTGTTTTTGGGTCAAAAAATGAGAAAACCCAATCTTTACCCCATAAAGTCCCTTGTCAACTCCTTTTCTCTTAGTTTTATTTGTTTTTTAGTTGTTTTTTTTAGTTTTTTGTTCCTGTAGTCTGATTAAGCTGGTTCGTGAACTCGTTTGAATAAACAAAGGTTAACACATTTGAACCAAATTTCATCAAAATTCGGATAATTTTTGCTCGAGTTATTACGCTAACGGACACATACACATATGAATTTAAATGGACGGTGTTTTTGGCCTCTGGGGACCTCAAAACAAAAAGTAAATCGGGGTTTTTAATCAAGGTCTTACCATGAGACCTACAGTATTAGCTTATTTTCTATATGGGATTTTGCTAAAACTAGGTTGTGAAGTTTTCTCACATTTTTATTTTTATTGGAATCAGAAATATAAAAGTTTAAAAGTTTTAATTAGTTGAAATGTTTCTAACGTGTATTTGTATACCATTGATACATTTTTCGTAGATTGCTTGTTTGTTGTGTGTTTGTAGTGTTTTTGTAGTTAGCAATGTTATCATAAGATCATTTTTGAAAATAACTTTTTTTAGTCACTGATTCCCAAACTTGATTTTAAAATTTACTAGGCTTATCTCCTGTTGAGTCTGTAATGAACAATTAGGCTCAGATATCTGATAACCTAATAACAGCTGTGTACTACACCTGATTGATTCAATTGTTTTAATCAACAACCGTTGTCCCACTGCACACAGAGGAGTATGGGCGAATATGAAGATGACAAATATGACGGATACATAGAGGTACAAGGGAGCCGTGATAACACAGAGATAAATAAAAGAAAATTAATAACACAAAAAACAAGTTTCAGTAATGCATATTTTTGTACGTCGTAAAAAACAGCATTCATAATTTTATAAATCTGAATGTACATTAGAAAACTACCTTCTCTGTGGCATACGTCGCAATAATGTTTGCAACATATACTATTATGATGAGCTGTCAGTATTTACTAATAGTAAACCATGGTAAAAAAACAGAAATTTATAGGTACAGTAGAGTCCCGCAAACTCGGCACTCGATAACCCGGCAGTCTGGATAACTCGGCCATCACCTGGCTCAGAAATTTGTGATTTTTTGAGTCCGAGTTAAACATGGGCTCAAGTCAAATCATTCGCAACTCGTACCAAGGATTTGTTGTAGGCTTACTATATATGATGACTTAATACTGACTTGTAATATAAATATAAATAGGCTAAATAAGGCAGCTAAAAGGAATAAAAATTGTATTGTTCTTATTTTTAACCCTAGTTCCCGATAAACCAGCATTTCACAAACTCGGCACCCTTCCAGTCGACATTACGCCGAGTTTGCGGGACTCTACTGTACTATTATTGTACAATCGCTAATTCAACTAACAAGATTAAGCCATTAAAAGACTTTCAAGCCTAGAGATAAAAACTACTATATTGCACTCTTTGATTAGCAGAATTCCTTCAATTCGTGACGGGTAGAAGTCATTGCTATCAATGCACTCTTCCTAAAAACAAATACATTACTGGACCTTTTTCTGATCGGTTTTCTCTGCAAGATAAATGTGCCCAAAAACCATTAAAAATAATACGCTGACAAAAAAATTTAACTCAATATATGACATCAGGTCAACAGCAAAGTAATCGTTTTATATTATGGATTGCAAAGGCAGTGCCTTCTGGAGTGAGGGAAGTTTCAGACTGTGCGCCCAACACTGAGACACAGCAATCCATATTATAGTGATAACCTAAACCTAAACTATAGCAGGTTAAGAATGAAGAATTAATTCCATGCAAAACCTCATTTTACCCACACCAATAATACTAGATGACTTGCATGTGGTACATACAACTTCACAAGGTTGCATTAATAAATATTATCATACACATATTTTCATCACAGATTTAACATTGTAAGAGCATGTTTATTCATTATACAATAAATAACCTCTGAAAAGTCTCTATTAAATTATGCCTACTTATAAAAATGGCACATTTTTAGTTACAATTTTTAAATCAAAATTGTATTTGCCATAGAAATTTTAAATGAATCAAACTTACTTACAGTAATTTATGCTGATGGAATTTATGGATTGAGAACACAAACCAGCAAGCTGTTTCAGAATGACTGAGTCCAGAAAAACGGTAGGCCTATTCTACAGTAACGTAACTTAATACTAAGAGTAAACAGTTACTACACTACTAACTTGCAGACGTGCACACACACAATATTAAAATAATACCCTAAACCTTGGTGATCCACAACCCCTCACCTTTATAAGAGTTTACAAGATTGTCAACCACCACCACCTCATAGTCTATTTTGAGCAACTCCAACACCGTGTGAGACCCAACATACCCTGCGCCGCCAGTCACCAGAACTGCTCCGGCCATTCTGCTCCTGAAGATAATGCATTTAATGAAATTGAGGAGTAATGTGCTGTAGGCATATCTCATTGCTAAGTTTTTAAACACTATTGTTGTTGTAGTAGCCTATAATGTAATACAGAGTAAGTTTGGTTTTCTCACTGTTTACCAAAATTTATTTTTGGGTAGGCCTACATACAGTTTCTTAACTGGGCTATGCTAATATCGATATAGATTGAAACTATCAAATTGAAAAATTGATTAATAATCAATATTTTTTAAATATAAGTTAGGCTATAATATAGCCTATATTAGGCTATATTAGGGCCTATATTATATTATAAAATGAAACTGTCAAATATAATATAATATTATTATATATTATATTATATTATAAAATGAAACTGTCAAAACCTAACCTACCTAACCAAACTTGCTGAAAAGGAAGTTAAGTTAAAGTTTAGGTTATAATGAATTGAGTTGTTAGTTTAAGTCACCGACAGACTGTTTTTGTAAAATTAAAATCCTGAGAAAAACACTTCAAATTACTATTTCAAAAATGGAAGCGCCACTACGCAGCACAGTAGTATGAGTACGTGAGTAAGTTATTTTTGTTTTGTGTTCTAACTTAGTTTCTAGTTGTAGTGAAGTAAAATTACGTCACTAGGCCTATTGCCGAAGACACAATCAGAGTGAGTTAATAAAGTTGGTTCAAAAGTTGTTTATTCCAGCTTGTCGTTTGTAGCCAAAACAGTCAGCTGTAGGCTTAGTTAACACACTACAGTTCATTTACTTGTAAATGTCATCCATCCTACCTTGTTTATTGTTATGTTGTACATTTTGACGGCGATATCTTGAGAAATATTCATCAACGGTGAATAATAATGGTAGGCCTAGGCTATACTTATTTGGATTCAGGAGGTAAAAAATATAAAGTAAGATATAAAAATTAGTTTTAAAGGCACGAATATTATGGCTGCACTTTACTTTAGGTCCTACACTCATTCGAATAAAAATATCGATTATTCAGTTAGGTTACGTCACAGAAAACATACTACTATAACCCAGAATGCCAACCGCATGGTAAAAAGCATTAAGTGTTTTGAGAGAGCTTTGCCTGTCAATCGTAGGCAGCGCCACCAGCGTTTGCTATGCTGAGTGCATGGCAACGCTGATGGCGCTGCCTACGATTGACAGGCAAAGCTCTCTCAAAACACTTAATGCTTTTTACCACGTGGTTGGCATTCTGGGTTATAGTAGGCCTAATATGTTTTCTGTGGTTACGTTAACCTTACCTAACTAATCAAACGATATATCGAATAATCGATATATCGATCGATATTTTCATTTGAATGAGTGTAGGACTTAAAGTAAAGTGCAGCCATTATTACTAAATAAATTACAAAAAATCGCATCAAGTTCTAATAATAGAATCGATAGTTTCAATCATCAGCAAAGCCCAGTTAAGAAACTGTACCCTAGCCTTAACTTAAATAATAACTTGCCTAAAGTGTGAACAAAATAATACCAGTACAAATTATTTAATACCAGTAGGTCTATAAATTGCTTTATTTAGAGAATATATCAACTTGACTTACCCTTGAGGTTAAGTTCGAGTGCTAGGGCTAGGACTAAGACTAGATGCAAGAATTTGTGTTCAATTGTTTTGACTTTAGTATACTTCCAAGGACATTATTTTGTTTTTCAATAATGAAGAATGACGATTCTAGCCCTAGCCTAAATTGATAAGACCTGACTGAGATGAGATAAGGCAGGCGACAGGCTAAACCAAAACAAAACTAATAGTATGAGTATGGCTTCCATTTTTTTCTTTTTTTTCTGATGTGCAATGTGATGGCAGCAAGACACTTGACTCAGCTGGCAAAGGCAGGCATCAAACTTCACTCACCATAAACAAAAAGAATTTCTTTTTGTCTATGTTCTCACTCACGACGGCCACCTATAACTCCACAAAAGCGTCTACAGCCTGACTGATCACTTATTGCAAACGAAAAATCTGGCTATTGGCCATTGATAAAGAAGAACTAGTTTCTCTTGATGACGTATGCGATCTGTCGTCTGTTTTGCTTAGCTCGTCCGCTCCTGTCCTGTCTGTCCCGACTCCCGAGTCTCGGTAAGCCTGACTGGGTAGTGGACCACAGGATCAAATGGAGCCGTTCACACGAGCGTAGGGCGACGACTAGCTACTAGCTAGCCGCGTTCGAGCTCGGCGTCCCAAAACATAGTCGGGCCCCACTTCCCAGTCACTCATAGCACTTACCCAGTCACCCGCTCTAGCGGCGTAGCCTTATGGGAGCGTTCACACGAGCGATCGGTAAGTAGCGCTGCTTCCCTCTGTTCTATTGTGCACCAGTGATGGATCCGAGTGGTTTGGATATCGATATTTTCTTCGAGTCCGTGGACATGTCGCTCGTGTGAACCTGTGTATTATGTGGTCCACTACCCAGTTGGGCTAACCTAGTCACAGCCTAGTCAGCTAGATAAGTAATTCTCGTGTGAACCGGGCCTTAAGGCCCGGTTATACGTCGGTTATCAACAATTTCGATAAGGTACAAGTAAATGTAAGTACTTGACGTTCAATTTCGGATGATACTAGGATGATATTGACAAACAATAAAAAACTGAAAAGGTAAGTTAATATGACGCCTAGCCTGACTTTATTGAAAAAAAAACAAACAGCTAATAATCAAGGCCCCACTAGAAAAAGCTAATAATATAATACCAGGGATACAACATCCTTTACAGTCCGACCCACTAAAACAGTGACAATAAGTGCCTGAGGGGCTAGCCATAGCTGACCTCTACCTATGTTAATATAATTAATAATGTTATTTTTTTCTTTCTTATATTATATCTAACCTGTATAGCAATGTAATGCTGATCGGTTAGTAAAATTGTTATAACAAAAAATATCCCCGCCACAGCAAACCTGCAGACTAAGCGAATTTCCATCTGCCTGATTGGATTTAAACTAAAATGTCCCCTTAAAAATATCACATTTATTTTATTCCCTATTTAAACAGAATTAGTTTAATGAGTACTTAGGTTTGCTGCAACAGGGAGGGTAAACAAGTTTTTTAAATGTAAAATTAAGGTAAAATTAATTAGTTAAAAGGTACTGTGGTTTAGTAAGAAATTAATGTATTTTCCAAATTTGATCAAAATATGTTCATAAACAAGCAAACTACAACAGTTGACTTATTCTCCATAAGAATAACATGGAAATTTTAAAATTACATTTTTTTTTTAATTTTCTCCGTAACAATTAGGTGCATAATAACGCATCACTATACTTTTTTTTTTTTAAGCTCTACAAAATGGTTTAAAAAGAAATTGTGAAATTTTGTGTTTTTAGGGTCAAAATGAGAAAATCCTATTTTTACCCCATAAAACCCCCCATAAACCCCCGTTCCCATAGTCCGACCATGCTGGTTCACGAACTCATTCTAGTTTATCCCACCTTACACCTTCAAACCAAATTTTATCAAAATCGGACAAAAATTACTCAAGTTATCGTGCGGATGGACACACACACACACACACATATATATATATATAAATTTGAACGAATGGTGTTTTTGGCCTCTGGGGACATCAAAATGAAAAAGTAAATCGGTCCCGGGCTTAGGTCTTACCATGAAAAGGGTAATACATACTGTATTCATATTTAAGAGGAATAAGAGAATTTGTTCAGCTGTTTTAACTATACAAGTTGGTTCTATGATATAAAATAGAATTTCACTTTTTTATTGTCTCAGTGCAGTGGTAGACCATTATGGCTATGGTAGATGTGCTATCACGGTCACCTTTAACTCCAGGCCTTCGAAGTGGCAACATCGCAAGTAGGGTTGTAACAGCTTTTTTGATTGGAAGCAGCTAATGGTATTTGTGTATTTTTTAAGAATAAAGCTTGGTCACTGGGCTATGCAAACATTAACTACACTTTAAATGTACAAAAAAGTGTTTCAATTTAAATATTGTTTTGTTTTATCAATTCTATATGTTTTACTGCCAATCCTATATATTAAAACGAAACAGGGTTTTTTTATTTCAAGATTCTGAATCAACCCCTCGACGGATTTTTATGATTTTTGTGTTGAAAGAAAGATAATTTTGAGAGCTAGGGAATGTCGAAGCCATAATTTTAGTTTAGGATTTTAGTTTTTTAGAAATTAAGTTTTAATTTTAAAAAAGTCTAGCAGCCGACGGACGAGTTAAAGTCGTTTTAGTGGGGGTTTAACTAACAGCTGGTGTCTAACTGTCATTGAAATGTTTATGTTACAAGTTGTTTGTATACAAAAATATTGATCGTCAGAGTTTGCCTACACACTATTTTACTTTAAAATGCAGTTTATTTTCTACCGTAAAAGATCTATGTTATCAGGAGATTGTTTAATTTTGAACTAAACATTTTAAACGTATAATCAAGTTTTGTCATAAATGCAATCCGTCTAAGTATAAGTGCTTAATCCTTTAAGATATAAGTGGTTTACGTGTTGATACATCTTTTTCTATATGTTTGAATATAAGTATGACTGCATACAGTACACATTTTATTCGTAATGAAAATGTCAACCGGTGTAGTAGGTCTCCAGAAAACTGACCAGTAAGCTGCAGGGTGTCAGTAGAAACCAAAATCGATTCATACCATATCATAACTATCCCAGTAGTACTGTATGATTCAGAAACTTGATACATTCCAAAAGTAGACCAAAAGGCTCGGATCTCGGATGAGCTGGGCAGGCTTTGCATGGCGGAGAGAAATACTTCAACTTTTAAAAGTGTATTCCAAGGAGTACTACAAGGTAGACGACCACTTGGAAGACCAAGTAATGAAAGACTGGTATCTTCCTGTCATCCAGAAATGGCAGGGGATAGAAGAGAACGGGAGGCCAGGATCATTTTTTAGAGGTTTCAGTGGCCAAGGTGGTAAAATAAGGTACGATAAGTGATAGTAGGTTTATGCAGTGGAAGGTGGTATGTAGCTACTGTACTCAAAGCCAGTGTGTGTGAATCGGCCACCAAGTTGTAAACTAGCTGTTCTGAATCATATTCAGTTTTAATTGACTAGGTACTCGATTCCCGTACGTAGGACGGGCCAACAGCTCGTTTAAATATATAACCATAGATAAAATATACCCCTCAGTGTGTTTTATCTATGTTATAACTATCACGGCCGCCTTCAACTAAAAGCGTCCGTGCTAATTATAATGGTTGATATGTGTTTTGAATATGGTGAGTTGATTTAATCTTCATGGCGCAAAACAAAGCCCAGACAATCGTAGTATCAGAAAATAATTCCCGCCAAGCATTGGCCTACCGCCATTTCGTTTTGCCGTTTTGTTTTTAACAAGAAAGAGCATTGTCTGTTGAGTTGATTCAACATTTTTCAATTTTCACCTCTTTCTTTCTCTTGCCATTTTGTTTGACTTTGGGTTGAATGAAAGTTCTGAGGATAATTGATAGTTGTCAACGGTAAATTTGGTTTGCTATTTTAATTTCAAATTAAACTGCCATCATAAATGTAGATTCCTGAACGTGAATGTGGTTAAATTTCATTACGATTGGTTGTGTTTTCCTATGTAAGTATGTATCCTACTAAAATAATTTTAAGTGAGGTAAATGTCTTGTCAAAAGGTAATTTAACAGAGACTTTTAGGTAGCCTATTACAAAATGTTTACTTAATTTAAACTTATCCCTCTCCCAACATACAAGATATGAAAGGCGAAGCTTAGGCTTTCAAATTTTAATTAGGAAACGCAGAGGATAACCGGACGGTAGTTACTGTCACAACCTAACCTAACCAACCAAACTTGCTGATAATGAAAAAATCGAATTAAGGTTAAATTCTAACAAAAGATGTACAGTTAAGAAGAAATGGCATTCAAAACGAAATCTTTGACAAAAAGTTAAGGTTACCGATGGGATTCGAACGAGGTACCTTTTGCATATCAGCTGAGCACTCTATCCACTACACCACGAACACCGATGGCTGTAGGCTACTTCGTATCATTGTGGTAATGGTGTTCCGAGCCCTCACAACCCGGTGACGTCAGTGCTGGACGCCTAATCCACGTCCGGTTACCGGACGCGTATCCTCTGAGATTAGGATACTGTATAGGACCTAGGTTTGCCTAAAATGGATTTTTGTGTAGTAGGCCTAGGCCTACACCATGTGCGGGCATGGGACATAAAATAGCTAGACCACAGAGGGTGATCACAAGGAGTGATGTTTTACACCCTAGGCCTTGTTAATTTTGCCACGGTTGAGTTACCTATGATTACTGTTGCCATGGAATGTTACCATTGTCATTTTAGCGAATTTCCCATATAGGGAATAAGCTATTACCGTAGTACTCATGGTAAGACCTGGACGCGGGACCGATTTTTTTTTTCGTTTCGAGGTCCCTAGAGACCAAAAACACCATCCGCTCAAATTCATATATATATATATATATATGTGTCCGTTAGCACGATAACTCGAGCAAAAATGATCCGATTTTGATGAAATTCGGTACAAACGTGTAAACCTACGTTTATTCGAACGAGTTCGCGATCCAGCATGATTGGACCATGGGAACGGGGGTTTTATGGGGTAAAAATAGGGTTTTCCCATTTTTGACCCAAAAAACATAAAATTTAGCAATTTCTTTCCAAACCATTTTGTAGAGCTTAAAAAAACAAATAATTTAGTATATTGAAGCGTTATTATGCGCCTAATGGTTACGGAGAAAATTCCAAAAAATTGTAAATTTAAAATTCCCATATTATTCTTATGGAGAATAAGTAAACTGTTGTAGTTTGCTTGTTTATGAACATATTTTGATCAAATTTGAAAAATGTTTTTATTTCTTACTAACTATTAACATAAAAAAAAAACAGTTTTACCTCCCTGATGCAGCAAACCTAAGTACTTGTTAAACTAATTCTATTTAAATCGGGAATAAATGTTATATTTTTAAGTAGACATTTCAGTGTAAATCAAATGGAAATTCGCTTAGTCTGCAGGTTTGCTGCGGCGGGGGTATTTAATTTTTACATCATTGTTTCTGTTTTTGTTAATTTTGCATGGTGGTATTACCTATTGTTACTAGCCTATAATGGATGTTTTCATTGTTATTGATCTCATAGTTTAATGTCTTGTTTCATCCCTGCATTGCTTCTTTAGTCAAGTTGAGAATTGATTTATATTTAAGCTTAAGTTTTTTGATAGGCTAACATTTTTACCACATGGTCATTATTATATATCCACATTGGAATTGGTGGAAGTTCGCCTTCAGCAATATATGATGGTAGGCCTACAGTAATCGGTATTAATTTCCATTAACTTGACCAAGGGAACCTATAACTTAAGATATTGATTTATCAATAGAGACTAGATTTTTAACTGATGTCGTAAGTGTGTAAAAGATTTTCCACGCTCACAAATATTAATGGAACTAACTTAAACTTATGGCTGTTTAAAGTTTTGTTCTAGGCTACTTAATCTACTGACTACCTACCTACTTGTTAACTTACAATATTTCCCTACCAGAAACTTGATATAAGACCATCAAAATTTTTTTTTTAATTCTATTTGATTTAGGCTAAAGTAGGATAAATGAGCTATTTGACTCACTTTTTACCTGAAAACAACGGTGCAAAAATTTCTCCGAGGACACAAATTTTATCTGATCTACGGTCGTTTAAAGTTTTGATTTATTGATCTGTTATTTTGATCTGCTTGCTGCATTTCAGTGAACTAAGTAAAACCGAAATGAAAATACAAAATCTGATGTGTAGAAGAGAATCCCAAATAAGTTGCAATGGCATTCAAAGTAGCCTGTTACTAACATCTAAAACATAACTGAGCACTAAAATATTGGAAAATAATTATTATAGATCTTATTTAAGAATGTGTGGAGGGCAAGTTGGGCTTTATGCGGATTCGTGGCTGTATTAGTTTAATTGTTTTGAAGTTAGGTTAGATTAGGAAGGTAAAGTGTAGGCTTATAGCATCGATAAAACATACTCCCTAGTAGATTTCTCATCCTTATGGAACAGCTGAAGTAAATTTCATTTTTAGTTCTGTCCAGTGTTCTGTAGAGGTTGTGTTTTGTTTAAAAATGTTTTCTTGTTATTTTAGCCATTTAAAATCTCATTTAGCCAAATTAAACTATATACTTAATCATAAACATTAACTCGTATAACCAAACAGGAAAGCACAGACCATAAAATTAATCCTAAAATAATATAAAAAAATAAATTTTGTTGACACTAACTCCCAGTGTCACCAGACATGAACTAGACACAAGAAACAAGCTTCAAAATTTAAAATGGAATTAAAAGTCTACTTGTGGTTGGTTAAGCCTATGGTTATAGTGAACCGAGTTGATAATTAATATTACACCAAGGCTGTTTTTGTGCTGTTGAAATAGTAGCTTAAACACAACTCAATAAGGATTCAAAAACTGAATTGCATGTATTCAGGTAAAAAATAAATCTAATAGGTATTTACTTCAAGTCACCTCGTTTTATATCAAGTTTCTAGTCAGGAAATATCGTAACAAATAGTCAGTAGATCTACAAATTAACACAACTTTACACGGCCATAGTTTCGTTACTATTTGTGAGCGCAGACACATTTTTGCATTGTTCAATTAAAAATCTAGTTTTTGGGGATATAAATCAATATATGTTTCCATGATCACATTAATAGAAATAATTGTGTAACATGCTATACAAATGCTTACGGTAACTTTCAAGTGTGATGGACTCCCCTCCTTACTGTTTGTGAGACAGTAAGTTTGCCTAATCCTAGCTTAAATGATCAGGAATGAATTTTACAGTATGTGTGAGCTACGCTTTATTACGGATTGTTGTTTAATACATGCTAGGCCTATACATAGACAATAAGAATTAAACATAGACTGTCAGCAGTGCTGCAGTTACCATACATGGCTACTATAGGTTCTGGCGCACACCGCTTGGAGTGCTGTGTAGTTACGTAGCGCGTACGTTATAACTACATGGCGCACCCAACGGTGTGTGCCAGAACCTATGGTAACCACCGCCCAGCTGACGGTCTATATTTATTTCTTTTTGTCCATGGCCTAGGCCTATATGACTTGTAGGTAAGGATGGGCTTCAATTTTAAGTTATTACATTTTTTGTAGAATTTTGGTAGAAAGTTTAAATCGGTTTGACTAAATTTTTGCCATGTAATAAGATATTTGTAACATAAATACATAGGAAAAAATTTCCCTCTAATCAAATTTAATTAGTGTTTTGGAACTTCAACATTAGGCTAATTTGTATAATTTTGTTGTAGAACGAGCTGCTAACAATGAATGTAGCCGCCTTCTCTCCTCGGAAGCTACAAATGCTGAACCATTGCTCTCCAAGAGGATCAGCTCGTAAGCGCAGCCTCTTCCCATCCAACAGTCCGCAGTCTAATGACTTGGGACTTATATCTGAACTGACTTCTTCAGACTCAGAGACCTACAGTCCATCGCCTCCTTCACCAGGTTCTTGCAGGGATCAAAACTCTCCACTTAGACCTTTGTTTAGTAACAGACTTAACTTTGACGACATCCTACCACCAACAAAATCCCTGCGGCATCCAACAAATAAATCTTTTGGAAAGGAAAATATGGAAAGAGGATTGTCTGCTCGAAAATCACCCAAAAAGTCAGCTCGTAAAGCGTTTCTAGAGAAAATGAACTTTGGCGATAGATATACGACAATATTGTCAGAGGACAATGATGAATTGGCCGAGGGATTTAAGTTAAAAAAATCTGAAAACTTCACAACTCCGAAGAAAAACACTTTAAACACAAATAAAAATGTGGTTCGTCGCAGTCCCCGTTCAGCCTCTAAAAAAGAAGCTGTCATCAAGCCTGTTAGCTTTTACGGTTCGAATATGGCTCCAGTATTGGCGACCAACCAAACGAACCGCATTGGGGGGGTAAAATGTGTCTTTAGACCTGACACACACCAATCGAGAGCTAAAACTAAATTAAACTTTGAAGTGGGACGGCATTCGAAGAAACGAGAGAGGTCCAAAAGTAAAGAAGCTCAACGTGAAGCTAAAAGGAGGAAAGCCATATTTACAGGTGTTCATCATGCCATACCTAGACCGACCAAGCACACTTCCCCTACTCTTGTTGAAAAGAAACAAATGTCGATCCGTGAGAAGGCTCGCAACGTCACTGACTTGTCAAGAACTCCGTATGGTGTTAAGAAAGAAAACAAAAAAACTGATAATGTTTGGGATTATACTATGAGGTTCACTAAACCACTTCGTTACGATGAGTCACCTTACTTGGGTGTGAAGAGGAAGTTTTTCAAGACAACCGTTCGTGAGTCGTAAGTATCACTCATTTTTAAATGAAGTTTTATCAAAAGATGTTTAAATAATCATACATAATCAAACCAAATCAAATGATAGTTTGGTAATCCTAACACTAATAATACACTGTACATTTATATCCTCAGGGCCCAATGACATTTTGATAAATATTTAATAGTTAACTTAGTAAACATATTGTAATAGACATTAAAATGTCTAGGAATACATGAGACGTTACTACAAAAGTTAACAAATAATAAAAATCTTGAATAAGAAAAGAAAAAAAATCCAAACGAGATCCCTCCTATCTATTGTTCCAGGTAACCAAAAATTACAATTTGGAACTAACCAAATAACATTGCTAAATTTAGGCCTAGTTACGTCATTGGCTTGTATTTTTAGCTCTGACATGAAGGTTTCTCACCAATTCCATCAATATGTTTAGTAATTAGGTCTGGAGTTCATTTAATGTTTGGAACTTTTATAAAGATAAAAGAATTTATTTATAAAAATAAATACCTCTGCCTTAAAAATAAGGTTGCCAATGACACAGAAAAATAGTACACATAAAATATCGAAGGATTATACAGCTATAAGACTGATTAATTTTGATGTTTGCCATATAGATGATTTCTCATTATGGTCAATGAACCTCTTAATGTTTCATGAATAATAATTTTCAAAAAGGATCTGTCCAAATCATATTGTTTCCAAAAGTTCACAAAAAATTTTGATAATGTTCCTCTAGAACCAATAAACAATTCAATCACCTCAATTTTTGAAATTTTAAAATTTTGCTTGAAATATTCAAAGGTAGAATCATAAATTTTGTCTTTTCTTCATTTACTTCGTTAGCTTGATTTATGTTTATTTCAAATCAAATTGTAGGATCGAGAATTATGCCTTTGTTAGTTTCTCTTTCGATCAATAAAATATCTACTCTTCTGGTGTTTCCGTTAGAAGAAAGACACTGTACTTCTTCTTGCACTTCCCATGTATTATACCTTTTTCGGAAGGCATTTGCTATGATACTTCTTATTTTGTGGTGCCTTGTGTTTCTTAGAAGTTCACCAAACGGACAGAAGCCAAGGGCATGTGCAAGGGTTTCAATCTCACCACAGGCATGCCTGCAGCGGTTATTGCCCTGACTTCTGCCGTGGAGAACACACACTGGCACCACATTTGCAATCATTTTTATACTGTCTTTCCACTCAGATTCTGACAAGCCTTCTTTATTAATAATACTTTTATTTCCCGGAGTATAGTCCTTGAAAAGTTCAACACCTTTACCCTTGTGTTTTAAACTTTTCAAATTTTCAAACTCTTTTTCTCTTAAGTCATTTCTTAATTTTTGGGTATTTATTGTTTGATTACGATCAATTTCTTCTAGGTGTAATTTTTTTAAACAAATTGTTTCTATCCGTTTAAATTTGTCTTCATTTATTGTATAACAATTTTTAACCCGTCTGAGTATTTGTATAGAATTAAGTTGTTGAATATATGCTTCCCATTGAGCCTTGATTAATCCAAATCCTTTATATTTTTTTGGGCTATATAACATAAAATCTGGAGTGTCAGTTGGTAAGCTTAATATTTCTTTAACACTACTTTTAACCAGTTTGTCTAAGTCAGTTAAAAATGCTACTGGTAATTTATGGAGTGGAACATTTTGAAATGGATATATTAACGTTGGCCATATACATTGATTAATTATATTAAACTTTTGGCTTGACAAAAGTAATGTAGTCGATGTTAGTTTTTCTAATTTTGTAACTCTATATTGTAAAGAAAAAAGAAATCCTCTGACTTAGCCTAGGCTATATTTAAATATATGTTACTACTCTCTCTGCAATATTCTCAAATGATTCTACAACAATTAATTCTTTACAAATTTTGGTTGACCCTGGGTTGGAAGAACAAAGTGAATAAAAATAAACAACAGAGCGTTGGCAGTGGAAGCTTGGTGTTAAGTAAAAATTGAGTGGGCCCTGTAGAATAAAATTATTCCCAGAGATCCTTAGGGGACCTAAGGATCCTAACAAGACCTAACAGTCCCTGATACTGTTTGTAGTTCTTCCAAAGCTGAAAACAATCTTAAATATACACTGACTCTACTTTGCACACTACCACACCAATTTTAGTATTGCACCTCAATTTGAATCTTTTGTAGCGGCTTCTTATTATAAATACCAAAATCTGTTGAATGAACTGTATAATACCGAGAATGAAATACCAAGGTTATTGAAAATCCTGCAAATATAACAATTTGATTTATTGTACTGTACTTTTATCAACTGAACAGAATGCTAGTTTTTTCCCTACAATTACAATATTTCAACAAACATTTCAAAAAAGTAGATATTAATTTTATTATTCGAAACTTGAGTGCAATATCTTTATTTTACAAAAAATTCGGAACCAACCCCTTGGTAAGAGAAGAGTTTGACGCGGCTACAAATTGATTACGGCAATGACAATGAGGTGTGAATTTTAATTTAATATTGAGATGACTAGTGCTCACTATTCCTTCTCGTTGGCCAACGAATATAAATTGAAGATCAAGTCTCGTAGTCCAACTTATTACACAGTATAACTGCTTGTAACTCAGTAAAACGTGTTGAAAGATTATTTATTATTAATGGCTACAGAGCACTATGGCGGTTCATCTATTGTAAAACACACACGATCCCATATGACATTGTCGCTTCAACTCAAACCTGCAGTCTACCTCAACTTCCAATTAAAAATTATTTTATTTCCCAAATTTAACAACAATGGCTGTTACACTCTCAGTTGTGCTAGCTGTTAAAGAAATTTTGCGACTTTTCCTTCTCGAAACTGATTTTTTTTCACTTCGCGCGGCAATTATATCCCTGCGGGATATAGGCTTTACGATTTGATGAAAATAGAAATTTGTCCAGCTAACACCGCGAATGGAATTGATTTAAGCACGACCCGGTTTTAGCTCACCTAGTACCTTCGGAGAGGAGAGGAACACAACTAGCCTAGTAAATGATCCCCGGCTGGGCTCATCCCTACCACTCGTACTGCATGTGCATTGTGGGTATCGTCGTCTGTTGTCTAATCAGCTGACGAGTTCTTCGCGTCTACTCATATTTGATGTATATTACAACAAATTCAGTACAATATTGACGAATAACTACCTATATAAAACCTTTTCAGTTTTAGAGCTATCTTTAGAATTGTAATTATCTGTTATGGGACTAACTTTGAATACTTATTTACCAGGCCGGATCAGTTTAAGCTGTGCGTCTCGCCTGGCAGTAGTGGGGACGAAGCCCCTCCTGTGGTCCACAGGAAACGCAAACTACTCGACACACGAAAGAGTTATCTTGACCGAACATCTCCGTTGAAACCCAATTTGAGTGCATCAGACATCTGTGAGCTTATTGAAGATTACAGTGACAAGTTACAGGTAATTGCAAATTATTGTTGTATTAATATTAATAATAGAAAATAACTTAAGATTGTCACGGATAATCATAAACATTTTTCCCTAGTGGGCCTACAGTAGACTCTAGAGTCTTTATGATCCACAATAATGAGTGACTAAGTGATTGTGGATAATTTAAATAGCGGATAATATAAATCTAACCTTAATGTCTAGATAATAATGAAGCATAAAATGACGTGTACCGGTACACATCTTTCAAGTTTTTTTCACACACATGATATATTTATTTACAAAACAAAATTGGATAACTATTTCCTGATGATGGGCCTCCTCACACTAAACATTATGCTGTCGTATAATGTAAATTTAACTTACATATACATGTGATATATTTTTGATTTGGATTTTTTTTGTGACCGTGGTTAGTTTTCAGTGTGTTTAATCCACTCAAATAAAATCGTGAGTCCACTACATAGGCCTATTAATAAAAAAATATATTACTGTAGTACTATTTATTAAGCAGCCATTAGCATTAAAATCAACTTAACTACATTTAAATCCATTACTTAATACATTGAATTTTGTTTCACCCAATGCAAAACAAGGCACTTAAGGCTAGTTGAAAAGTAATTTTTATTTTGTTGGAATTTTTTGTATAAAACCATGTTTTTTTGTGATCAGTGATTTATTAATTTACCACCATTTTTTTGTTAAAATAGGAAAAGCCTGAAGTAGATGATATCTTGCTTCGTTTGGAGGAAGATGATGAGAATGAAAAGGAGGCGGAAAGACAGAAGCTGATGAACATCTTGGAAGATTCACCAATCAAGATTGCAGCTATTGACACTCTGTCGGACTGTACTGCTTCACTGGACATCAACAGTTCACCAAGTAATATCATAGACTAACCAACAGAAGTAGACTTCTCATCCCATTGTAAATTTTGTGTCTAGTTCATGTACGGTGACACTGGGCGCTAGTGTCGACGAAATTTTGTTTCTATTATTTTAGTGTTAATTTCTTGATGTGTGCTTTACTTTTTGGTTATATAACTAGGGGACAAGTTATTGTTTATGATTAGATCGTATTATTTGGTTAAACGAGGTTTCAAATGACTGTAATAACGAGAAACAAATTGTAAACAAAACACGACCTCTCTGCACCTTCTGCACGACCTGCATAAACCATACAGAACTTAACAATAAAATTGTCTTCAGCTGTTCCATAAGGATGAGAAATCTACTAAAGGAGTATGTTTTATCTATGGTAATATTTTACACCTAGTTTTCATTACAAAAACAAAACAGCTGTATATCTTATAATAGCATCCATTATCTTTGGTTTAGTCATAGATAAAACACTCGCCTTTGGCTCGCTGGGGGCTCCGCCCCCAGGCCCCCTTTTTTGGTTGGGGGTAAATGAGCCACGGGAGTCAGGCCGCAAGACCTACAATCGGGCCAAATTTCAGACATCCAGTTAATCTAGAAATGGGTAAACGTGATTTAGACTTATGCACCTGTAAGAATAACATTGGGGCGGGGGAGGATATAATATAAGGGAGGGGGGGGGGGGAGTTAGAAATACGATAGGGGGATAAAACTTTAAGTAAACCAGAGTATATACAAAATATTAATAATGTTTGCAAAACGAATTTACGTGTAAAAAAAAAGTAAAAAAAGCGAAAATTGTAAAGATTTTTATAGAAATTTACCAAATAAAAAGTAGGGCGTTTTTTGAAGTTGAAGTTGGTGATTTCCGAAAAACACTTAAGAGTGTTTTGTAGAAAATGTAATTCCTGATCATGAAAACTCTTTCAAATCTTTTCTAGCTTTTAGAAAACCGATCAAAATTTGAAAAAAATTACCAAATGTTGAAAGTAGTTTTTTGAAGTTGAAGGAGTGCGATTTTCGGAAAACGCCTAAGAGGGTTTTGTAGAAAATTTAATTCATGTTCATGTAAATTCTTTTAAATCTCTTACGGTTTTCGAGCTATAGCTATTTGAAAAAAACGTGTTTTATAGTTTTTAGATGTCCTGCCATTTTGGATTTTTGAGGTGGTTAAAACTTTAAAATATGACTTTTGCAAATTTCACCCTTAACTTAGGATCCCATACTACAATACTACAAAATTACAAGTCTATAGCACGTTTCTAAACAATTCGGATGACCATAACAAAGTCATTAAATTTCAAAGTTATCCTCCTTAAGCATAACATGGGGCTCGTAAAAACTTTCAATTTTCGACATTAAAATTAAGTTTTTGGGGCCAAGGAGTAAAGTTACGAAAACACGTGTAGTAAGTAAAATTTAAAGTAAAGTAAGGAGAATACAAAGCAATAATAATATTTGCCAAAAAAGAATGATTTAAGTTTGAAAAAATAGCGAAAACCGGTAAAAAATTTAAAGAAATTTATCAAATTTTGAAAGTTGGGCGTTTTTTGAAGCCGAAGGAGTGTGATTTTCGGAAAACACCTAAGAGGGTTTTGTAGAAAATTTAATTCCTGTTCATGAATATCCTTTCAAATCTTTTCCAGCTCTAACTGTTTTCCAGCTATATCCGTTTGAAAAAAAACGTGTTTTATCGTTTTCAGAGGTCCGCCATTTTGGATTTTTGGCGGGGTTAAAATTTGAAAATGGAACTTTTGCACATTTCACCGTTAATATAAGATCCCCTACTACAATAATACCAAGTTTCAAGTCTCTAGCACGTTTCTAAACGGTTCAGATGAGCACACCAAAGTCGACCACTTTCAATGTTATTCTCCATAAGAATAACACGGGGCTTGTAAAAGTGGTAAAAAACCTTTAAATTTTGACGTTAAACCTAAGTTTTGGGGGTTAAGGAGTAAAGATACAAAAAAACATTAAATGAGTAAAATTTAAAGTAAAGTAAGGAGAATACAAAGCAATAATAATTTTTGAGAAAACAAATTATTTAAGTATGAAAAAATGGCGAAAACCGGTAAAAATGTAATACAAATTTACCAAATTTTGAAAGTAGGGCGTTTTTTGAAGGTTAAGGAGTGTGATTTTCGGAAAACGCTAAATAGGGTTTTGTAGAGAATTTAATTTCCTTTCGCTAAGATCCTTTCAAATCTTTTCTAGCTCTTACCGTTTTCGAGCTACATCCGGTTGAAAAAAAAGTGTTTTTTCGTTTTCAGAGGTCCGCCATTTTGGATTTTTGGGTTGGTTAAAATTTGAAAATGGGACTTTCGCATATTCCACCGGTAATGTAAGATCTCATAGTACAATACTACGCAAATTTTAAGTCTCTAGCACGTTTCTAAACGGTTCAGATAAGCGTAAAAAGGTCGGCATTTTTCAATGTTATTTCCCATAAGAATAACATTGGGGGGGAAATTCTAAAATAAGGGGGGGTTAAAATTTGAAAATGCTACTTTTTGGAATTTTCCCGGTGGTTTGGGCCCAAGACCTACAAGCGTGCCAAATTTCAACTCCCTAGCTCCTCTAGAAGTGGTCTAGAATTAGTATCTTCCGTGAGTGAGTTACATACGCGGTTGTATAGTATTTAGATACTTCCTTAGTAGAATCCTCATCCTAATGGAACAGCTGAATCCAATTTTATTGTTAGTTCTGTGCTGTGCATTGCAGAGGTCGTGTTTTGTTTTCAATTTGTTACTTGTTATTTCAGTCATTTAAGACCCCATTTAACCAAAGATCCAATCATAAACAATAACTTGTCCAAGTTATTTAACCATAACTAAAGCACAAATCAAGAAATTAAGCCTAAAATAATTGAAACTAAATTTCGTCAACACTAGCCCTTTTTACTTTTAATTTGATTTTTTCAATACTTTTTACTGTATTGAATTGTGGTTGTAAAATTAAAGCTACGACACGGAAAATTCATAACAACCCCACACTTAAAATTCATATGTTATTGTTATGAAGAAAAGGAAAACTGTTGTATTATTTTGTTTATAGACATGTATTTTGATTTATAAAATTGTGCATTAGGCCTACCTATATTTTTATTTTATGCTATTAACATTTTTTAGTCCTTACCAAAAAAACTTTATTCCGGCTTTGCTGCAGTCAAAGTACTGAACAGTTAACAAATTTGAAGAAGGAAACCTAAATACTTGTTAAACCTAATGTTATTTATATAGGAATTAAATCTTATATGTTTTAGGAAATATTTTAGTAAAAAAACAGATGGAAATTTGCTTAATCTTCATATCTGTTTTGGCCAGGGCATTTTGGTCCTATATCTTAAGAGAAAGCATTACCATTAAAATGAGTAATATTGTAAGGTGTCTTCATAATGTTCCTAGGAGACTTAGTAAAATGGTACATTGATCTCATATTATAGATACTCTAAATAAGTTATTCTTTTACTCCATCTATTTGAAATCTCAGGAGCTATAATCACTATGTTGTCAGATGGATGCACAAGGTTCAGTTTGGAAGAAGATAGCAGTAATAAGGAGGAGCCCAAGCGATACTTCTCTGTTTTTAACTCCAAGTCAAGTGGGTAAGTGGTTAAGTAATTATATTTTTTCTAGATTAGTACATTGTCTAAACTGCAAACACCTTTCATCTCAAAGTTTTGTAGAGCAATCAATTTTTTGGATCAAGTGGGACCGGATTCCATCAGTCAAAATATTCATTAACAAAGCCACACAGATTGTCTCACTCCCATCTTAAATGGTGTTTCTTGGTAGTAATAACATTGCATTTCAGCGATTTTAGATCCCCATTCTCTTTTATTTTGGAAACATTACTTAAAGTGAAGTTTGTTGTACAGTAATCACATGTCTAGCATTTGAATGTCTGGAATTTCCTACAATAAAGATTATATACTGTGGAACCTTGATAACAAGTCTCACTTTCAAATCCCCTAGAATTTATTTGACCCCTAATTGCATATTATTGCAAACCTAAATAAAAAGTCAACCTTCATAACAAGTCTTATTTAATAATCTCCATGAGAAGATGAGAGTCTTGTTGTCGAGGTTAATGCCACCAAACAATTCACGGCGTGTTTCTGAATACATTATGAATTTTTTCAAGCAAAAATTAATGGGAGTTATTTAGGCCTACTTTTTAATATACAAGTAATGAAAAGGGGGATTTTTCATTTTGTTCATAACCATTGCATTGTTAATCTTTGTTATTGTATAAAAAGTACTTAAAGATCAACAAAATGGAAGAATTACTTTATCCAACCACAGTTGCTGGTATGACACCATATATTGTCATACCAGCAACTGTGGTTGGATAAGGTAATTCTTCCATTTTATCAATTACATATTCCAACCAAGGGTCACAATGAATAACTTAAAAATCATTTATATTGGTGCTTTTGGCTTAGAGTTGTCTTACTTACCCTTTTAATTCCAACACAGTTTTACAAATTTAATTAATTACATCACAGTTAAGACTGTTTTCATTGACACATCCTCTAGCATCATTGAGATGTAACACGTAATGTTCCAGAATATTAGAAACTCTGTATATGGCCAGTCTCGACCATGCTAGATTATCGGAAGTTCACTGTAATTCTAATTTAAGTTAACAAGTGTGATTTACAGATCAAACAGCGGCAGCGGAGGCAGTGGCAAGCGCAAGTGGCGAGGTGTCGGCGAGAGTCAGATGCAGATTGACGCAGGTCAGAAGTGGTACGGACCACACAAGTGTCACGAGTGCGGCATGTTGTACCAGGCTGGCGAAGCTGAGGACGAGCTGCAACATCAACACTTCCACAACAGCCTCAACTTGCTCAAACACACGGTCAGTTATACAGAACAGCTGGGGATACTGTAGTAGATATACCATCTATATAGAATAGCAGTCAGGTTTCTTGCCTTTAATGTATTTCCAGTTACCTGAGGCAAGTAACCTTTCCGCCAACTGCTCTCATGTGAATGGGACTTAAGGAACTAGTCTAGCCAGTTTTACTTTCTCCTCCTATACATATGGAGAAAGTATAGTTTTTGTCAAAATTTCTGAGTTTTAGTAAAAATATTAATTTTAGGTCCCCCTAAACCCAAAAAGGGGTTAATAAAGTGATGTCTATGTAGCTACAGACTACACATGTGGTCTGATTTTGGTGAAATTAGGAATGTGGGTACTCATCCAAGGTATCCAGGTTTTTTACTTTCTCCCCCTTACTGTACTGTATACTGTACTCTGGTACTGTATACTGTACTCTGGTACTGTATAATGGAGACAGTATTATTTTCATAAACATTTTTGAGTCTGATTTTTGGGTGAATGTATCCGTTTTTAGTTCCCCTGCCCAAATTTATTTTCAAAGTGATGTCTGAGTGTGTTTGTCTGTCTGTCTGTATGTGTGGATGTGTACAGAGCTACAGACCGCACATCTCAGCCGATTTTTATGAAATTTGGGATGAGGGTAATAATCCATTGTATCTCCAGGTGTTTTTTCCATTTTATTTTTAATGGTGATTTCCCCATAAACCATTAAATAACAAAAAATTTCCCAAAATTGACATTAACAATTTTGGTTAACATTTTGATGCTAAGGTTCTTTTAACTCTAAACAAAACGGTACAACCCCCATTGCTCTAAAAATTACAGTTCAAAAGTTATTGTAATTGATGTTTTTTCCCCATAAATTACAATAATTTAGTATGTTGTGGTCCTTATGATTTCAAACAAAATGAACTTATGAACTTATGTTTTCGGCATGCTAATGGGTTACAATTTGCTGATACAGTTTTTTTTTATTTTGTTTTATTTTAATTTTAATGGTGATTTCCCCATAAAATAAACAAATTTACACAAAAATGGCTCTAACGAATTTTGATTGAATTTGAGTATGTTATAGTCCTATTAACTCTAAACAAAACTGCACAACCATGAAAAAATATTATGAAGATCCAAGAACCATTCTTGAAGATTCCTGGTTTTGACCATCAGTAATTTGACCCACTGGTTTTTTACATTTTTTACCCACTGGTAATTTAACCCTGTCTAAAAACTTGACTGTCTACTCCCATGGCTCGATAACCCAAATTCAATGTGTCCTAGAACACCTTTTTAAGTCAGTAAATACCATTGTCATAACAGGGTTGGAAGAATGAGAAAGTTGTCGCCTACTTTAATATGGACTACATAATCGAGGTGTCTGGTGATCATCCTCGTCCGTGGCAGCAGAAGGCGCTGGAAGTGATGGCTGTGGTGGATAAGCATCTTGGCATGACAGTCGAAACTCCGACTGAGATCACCAACCAGAAGGTAACAACAGTTGTCGAATTTTTTTGTTAGATTTCAGCTTAATGGCACATGATCGTTGATATTCATATAGAAGGTTTGAAGTAAAGTTTACAAAACACATAAATGAGTTGGTATGGTAGCATAGGAAGTATTTAGAGAAGTCAGCTTTTGGAGCTAAGCCGTATGTACTTCAGGACTACTATTGGATAATTTTGTATAGGCCTAAGTATACAATAAACTTAATATTAATTACTTTCAGATTCAAATCCCGACAAACTAAAATGGGTTTGGCCGCTTTCTTTTAAAAGCGTTTGAATTGACTAAATTATAAAAATGCCACTGGTGTCTAGACAAAAAAATATGATAAGGCCTATATACAAATACCTTTGGTTACCGTTGCTTTTACAAAATAACAAGTTGCATTTTCACAGACCGTCACAGCTTAAACAATCTGATGAAATGAAATTTAAAAAAATGTTCCATTGGCAAAATTATTTTTGTTGTCAGGTTTTTGATTTTCAGAATAATGGAATAAGCTTGCTGCTATCTCAATATATTACAAACCACTGATATATTAAAACATGAGAATCCTTTCTTGCACCATCCTGTCCTCTATGGGGATCGCTGTATAGTCACATACCAATTTGTGTGCTGTCAAAAAATGAAATTTTGTATGCTATCAACTGCATGTCCAGCACTATCCAGAACTACCGTCTCGGATAAGTTGTGTCCTTATTCCCTCTAACTTAAATTACTTAGTGCTGTATCTTCCTTCCAGTAAATGATTTCACTTGTGTAGTAGGTTGTCTAAACTGTTGTGTTTGTCTAGGTGTACATGTATGTTGCTGACAAGCGTATCGTCGGCTTTGTCGCCACTGCTCCATTGTCACTGGCGTATCGCATGGAAGGCTCAGAGAATGACGTAGACTTGTGTAGTAGGTTGTCTAAACTATTGTGTTTGTCTAGGTGTACATGTATGTTGCTGACAAGCGCATCGTCGGCTTTGTCGCCACTGCTCCATTGTCACTGGCGTATCGCATGGAAGGCTCAGAGAATGACGTAGACTTGTGTAGTAGGTTGTCTAAACTATTGTGTTTGTCTAGGTGTACATGTATGTTGCTGACAAGCGCATCGTCGGCTTTGTCGCCACTGCTCCATTGTCACTGGCGTATCGCATGGAAGGCTCAGAAAATGACGTAGACTTGTGTAGTAGGTTGTCTAAACTATTGTGTTTGTCTAGGTGTACATGTACATTGCTGACAAGCGCATCGTCGGTTTTGTGGCCACTGCTCCATTGTCTCTAGCGTATCGCATGGAAGGCTCAGAGAATGACGTAGACTTGTGTAGTAGGTTGTAAACTATTGTGTTTGTCTAGGTGTACATGTACATTGCTGACAAGCGCATCGTCGGCTTTGTCGCCACTGCTCCATTGTCACTGGCGTATCGCATGGAAGGCTCAGAGAATGACGTAGACTTGTGTTCCGAGCAGACATTCCCTGTCAAGTGTGGCATCAGCAGAATGTGGACAATGTACAGTCAAAGGCGACGAGGCATTGCTTCAAAGATGATCGACACTGTGCGGTAAGTGAGCCAAAATAAATTTGTCATGGAATATGAACAATAACATAGGAATTGATTAGTGCTGTGGTTTCAAAATGATGATTTATAGCAATCACAAGTACTTGAATAAGGTTTTTGAGAGGGATAGAGTTCATCTAGCTTACCTGGTAAAATCAGAGTCTAGTGGCCGATTGATACAGAAATAAATTATCACAAAGACAAACATAATGCTGATATAGTTTTTAATATAGGACTTCTTCCAGTAACTAAGAGGATGTTATTGAGAAATTTCCCGGACTATTCAGAAAGTAAGGAACATTTCCGTCAACTCCATTAGGAGCACTCTTTCTCAAATCATAACAGTTATTCCATTTATGATGTAGATCTACGGATTACACCTACTATCTGAGTAAGTCATATTTTAGGAATGAAATATCAGTGTTTCTGTGAAAGTGTGCAATCGGTGCTGCCCTCCTAGCTACAACAATCACGAATGTTGAATACGTTCATTACTTTCTGAATAGCCCTCGTACCGCCAACAGAAGCAAGTGACAAATTACCAGAACAGTTTCGTTGAGTGGTTATTGTTTTGAGTATGACATTAATGTTTTTCCAGACGAAACTTCATGTACGGCTACATCCTGCGCAGAGAAGATTTGGCATTTTCCATCCCTACTCCTGATGGCAAAAAGTTCGCAGCCAACTATATGGATTCACCGAATTACTTTGTATACACAGGTTTTAATTTCTAAGCTTAGTGTAGATTTATAAATGCTCATTTCAGTTAATTTTAGCAGTAGACAGTAGCCTATTAATTTTTGAGCTGACCTAATTTTCTAAGTAAATTCCTACAACAGTGAAAATAAATATTTTGTATTTAAATATAGTAATATTTAGCAATTGGTTAATGATTTCAAAATTCCGTCTAACTGCTGGTAAGTAATAGTTATAGTTATCTTGTTTGTCATAATGTAGTATGATTTAAATTAATTAATGGACCTTTTCCGTTAATTCAATACCACTACTTTTTTTATTGCAATTCTTTTTATTTTCACTACCAAAATTTTTCATAATCAGCAAGTTTGGTTGGTTAGGTTAGTTTAGAAAGAATAGTTTCATTTTATAATTGATATATTCATAGACAAGGCTAACTGTTAAAAATATCAGTATTGCAATAAAAAACGTAGTGGTAGTGAATTTACGGAAAAGAACCTAATTAATTATTTGAGAGAGTTCTTGTGTGTAGATGTGTTGACGATTTAAATTGTTTGGGTGAATTGGGTAAAGTTGTTTATCATAATTGTGTAATTATTTGTGTTGATTTTAAAGATATAGCCATTGATTAAATTATAAAATTAGCTAGTAGACAAAAACAGTAAAACTTGCAATAATTACTGGAAGTGCAGGTGTCCTCTAGTAGTAGGGGAAGCTTTTTTGAGATTGGCTTAGGAGTCTTCATATGTGCCTTCACTGCCTTCTATATGGTATGGTATATTTGAAGTTCTTGTTAAGTTAATAACATTTCCATTCCTGAGGTCAAAAAAATATTTAGATATAAATGTTCTAACTTGTATTTTGTATAGGCCCTCCCTCCGATTATACTAACCGTTAGCATAGTAATGTTATACATAGTTCAACTGCTTTAAGTTTTTTCATAAGGATTTATGAAAATGTTGTATGATGAATGTAATTAAAATAAATAATGTGACATATTGACTTTTCACAATTTTAAAATAGCGACGACACTTTTTTTCCATGATGTAAATTTCTAAGGTACAAAGAATGATGTGTTTAAGTACAAAATGCAAAAGGCTTATTATTAGTTGTAGTTATTACAGTATATTGAAGCAGTAGAGCTTAACAAGTGGTTATGGTAATAATTTAACAATAAATACCTTACTTGTATTTTAAAACTTTTGAATAAATACATTGGACATCTACTATTTAAAGTAAGGAAACAACAGTAGAACGAACATGTAAATTGTGTGAAGGTTTATTCAGGTTTTCTGTATTACATGATATATTCAATGTATTTAGTTCTATGTGTTCTAGTAACACTTGATTCATTATATTGTGCTTTATTGGTGGTTGTATGTTAATTTTTCTTTGACTAATAAACTTAAAAAAACACCATTCGCGTCTGATTTTCTTTATCCTTAAGGAGTTTTTTTTAAGTAAGGAAACAAACTTTTGTAAGTAGTTACATGAACATCTGGTCAAGTTTGACTAGAACTGTATCATAATTTGACACTTAAAGGACAGAACAATCTTCATTTTGTCTGGTAATAAAAAAAATTATGATATTGAGCACCTTTATAAGGTAGTAGAAAATTCACTTCGCAAAATACAACTAATCTACCAGAATATATTGGTTTTTTTAGTTCAGAAATTATATATTTAAGTAGGCAATTTTTCATCCTGAAAGCCTCAGTAGTCTTAATTTCAATGCTTAAAAAAAGTAACCCTTGTACTTCAAAACAATCTTTTTCACATCAAACACAACTTTCAAAAAATTAAATCCTTTCATTCCTTTCCTATGCAAATGTCCTTTATAATAGCACGGTCGGGAGATTCATCTTCGTCTGATGACATTAAAGAGAAAAAACTAGTGGGCCCCTGTAAAAACCCAGGACCTCTCCAACTTATTAAAGTTGCAACCCGGCATTTTTTTACTCATTGTTTTTAATTTTGGTTTCCAATGAGGCTGTGGAAACTTTATAACCAACTGAAATCACATAAAATAGGCAACACAGAAAATTATTAATAAATTATTTTGAAACTTGTTAGAATGTTTTATTACTGAGATGTACTTTTCAATTTATAAAAGTTTAAACACACAAAAAAAGATTGCTATGATTCACAAATGCGTAAAATGACTATTTAAAATCAACTCTGTGTAACAGCAGACTATTTTTTTTTTAAGGTTTAAGAAAACCTGTGAATAAATACTGAGTTAATCGATTTTACACTACTTTCTTTATAGATTTTCGATTAATAGTTACAACTAATGCAAAAAAGTTCAATTTCAATCCAGAATGTGACTTTCCAAATTAATTTTAAAGGTCACTTGTTGCAAAAGGATGAAAAATAACAAGTTTATAATATAACTTATACTTGTTTAATAAAATACTTTAATATACATAAGAAACTCATATAGGTACTTTAAGGTTAAATTCACGACGAAATATAAAAATGTGGTTAAATAAATAGTTGGAAATACATTTCACTGGCCAGGCCCCGACAGAGACTTGTCCATAAACTTCTTCTTTGAGAAGCACAGCCACCATTTGGAAGGTCTGCCGTCTTCAGTGCTGAATACCTTCTCACACACACGCACTCCAGCTTCTTGCCTTAGTTGCTGAAGATACTGTCGCATCACATCTGAGGAAACAAACTGGTTAATACTGTCGTAATGTAGATGTGCTTGCAATCAAATAAATCCCAGATGGGATGTGTGGCTGGGACTACGGATGAGCATCGATAGGTGAACCATTGATGTACTGATAACATTGTCGTGAAAACATTTGATTTCAGGGCAAAACCTGGATAATTGTATTTTTAGTTTTGAGTTTTTCGTCTTCTTTATGCCAAAGCTAACCTAGCTACTAGTTAAGACGTTCCAGATAGGCAGGTTATCTTTAACTTCAGATTCAATATTTCATCAGCATTTCAATAAAATAAATAAAAAAATCAATTTCATGTTATGACAAACGTTTAAATTTTCATTAAAATTAATACAATTCAGGAACAGCAAAAATATTGATATTTCGACAGATGGCCAAAAACATCGGTTACCTACTAAGAAACTTTCATGGAAAAAATTGATCGATGCTCATTCCTAGCTGGGACGTCCCACTACTGTAAATACATGGGGAACATACCTTAGACTGATCCCGTTGGATAATAAAACTCAACTCAGGGTATAGCTATAAGAATAGTCGCTCTCAGTGATGCTCACACTCAGCACACAGCTGTAGCAGTTAAAGGATTGATTAAATTAGGACTTTTGATTGCCTGAAGTCATTTAATGATTTCACTTCCTATGGATTGGATAGTCTATGAATAATTACAAAGATGTCGGTAAAACTTGTGTGGTGATTATAAATTAGTGCAACAGCTGTTTCGTTTTGACGGGACAGCTGTGTTGCCACTTTGGTCTCGTTGCGGCCTTGTGTTGGAGGAGGCTATGTTTAACAGTATATCGACCAGCTGTATCCAATATTTCATTAAAATCGAACGTAGTTGAATACAACATCATATCAACATATTGTCTTATATTCAACACATTTGATTTTGTCTAGGGTCAAAGAGTGTTAAGCCCCGTTCACACGGGGCGAGTTTACAATCTACAAGCCGGATTTTTTACACGCAGCTAGTAAAATAGCTCAGTGTGAACGAAGTATTCGCTCAAAAGCTGCTTGTAAAAAAGCTCTGGAAAAAGTTGACGCTGCCGCTACTTTACACGCCAACTCGCCAGCTTTTGAGCGAGTAGGCGTGTAAAGTAGCCCAGTGTGAACACAGTTGCTTGTGCTTGTGCGCATGTTATTCGAAGATGTCAGAGGATTTAGTTCAAGCACAAAAAAACCACAAATGAAAATGACGACGATGATGATGATGATGAAATGATGAATGAATGATGAATGATGATGATGTTTTTTGGTTGGCTGAAAATGATACAAAAAAGTTTAAAAATTGTCTGAAACAGAATTTGATTAAAATTGCCCCTTATTCTCTTGAAGAGTTTTGGGAGAACAAATAAAATAAATATTCTGTCTTATTTTTAGTTCTTAAATGTAAAACATTTTATTTTGTAAGATCTGACTCTATTCCTGTACAATTGTACTTAAATGAATAAAGGATATTTTGATTTGATTTGATTTGAAGCCAGCTACTGAGCGAGTGGAAGAAGCATCGTGTGAACGACTACAAGCACACTCGCCGGTGTCTTTCTCCACGTCGGCGGGTGGACAAGCTCCGTGTGAACGAATACAAGCGCACTCGCCAACTCGCTGGCGAGTAGCGTGTAAACTTGCCCTGTGTGAACGAGGCTTTACTACTGTCAAATTATATGTTTCAATCAATTTTTAATACTTCGATAGTTGAAGTAAAAGTCATCACATCCCAACTTCGAAGGTTAGGATTGGTAAAGACGAAGATCATGGCCATGTATCTTAAATTGTTTTCATTTATGTCTTTGTAAATATTTATATGTGTTCAATCTTTGTACAAATTGTACCAAATCATCAATATCTCAAGTAAGAGATGGTAAACAAGAAGTTTAGCTAGCCTATGAGACAAAAGGACTGAAGATAACATTTCGACGTAGAAACCTAAGTCTCCACTATAAAAATAAATTGGATCACAAGGTAAGCCTTAGATTTATTTATGTTCAATAACAATCCAGAGGCTATATCTCCAAACAAAAAAATTCCCTAATAAATCTGATTGTACAAAAATAAATTTCATTTTATATTGTTTGTTGTTGTTCCGGATCGGTATGACATACAATAAATGGTACATTACATGACATCACTAGAGCAATATGAAATTTAGGGTCGCCGGATTTCTACCCCCGGATATTTACCCCCCATGAAAAAACGCCTACGTCATTTTGACGTCACGAGAAACAGCCCGCGACTGGACATCTACCCCCGGACATCTACCCCCGGAAATCTACCCCCAGTGGTCAGCTCTGCCACGTATCGGCCAATATTCATTGTTGTAATTGATTTTATTAATTGTTTGATGTAAATCAACGTCTCTTCGGTTAATCATTACCTTCTAATATCTAGTATTAAGCATGTGATATGTCATTGCCTTGTTTAACATTATCTATCTTCCTAATAAAAATAAGTTGTAACAGCCCTTTTTCACCCGAACTACTTCACTGATATTTATGATTGAGGTCTGATTTTAAATCTTAAGATCCAGCTCAACACAAAATGGTATTTAAAACCATATGTTGATAAAGGGCTTAAAAAGTGTGACCCTTAAGCATTTGATTCGTTTCCAGACAGTGATTTAAATGGTTGACAAACTTTCACATACAGTAACAGCTAACGGCGCATGCATGAGCGCGGATCG